GATGACATTTTTAGTGACGTCACTGATTGTTCATAACATGCACAGAGTATTTCGAATATCCGAAACAGCTTGTGTTTGTCCACAAACACATCTCTAGTTTTTTTTTCTTCTCCTTTTTCAGACTTTTTCTCCATAGGTTTAACACACGTTTCTTCTACCAATCCACTTTGCCACTTTTTAAAATCCAATTGATTTCAGACTTGGTACATACTTAGACCACCACCCACAGATGGTCCTAGAAGAAATTTGTGATTGTGACGTCATCAGGTGTCAGGTTACGTCACATTAAAGATGCATTTTTGCCCATATGTTTTGTACACGTTTTAAAACACTCCAGTTTGGCATCTTCGTAAATCCGATCGACTTTAAACTGAATTCATATTTAGACCACCACCCACAGATGGTCCTAGACGAAATTCGTGATCGTGACGTCATCAAGAGTCAGGTTACGTCACATTAAATATGCATTTTTCCTCATGTTTGTACATGTTTTAAAACGCTCCATTTCGGCACTTTCGTAAATTTGATCGACTTTATACTTGGTACACACTTAGACCATCACCCACAAATGGTCCTTGAAGATATTTGTGATCGTGACGTCATCAGGTGTCACGTTACTTCACATTAAAGATGCACATTTTCCCCATAGGTTTTGTACACGTTTTAAAACGCTCCACTTTGGCACTTTCGTAAATTTGATCGACTTTATACTTGGTACACACTGAGATTACTACCCATAGATGGTCCTAAAAGAAATTCGTCATCGTGGCGTCATGAGGTGTCAGGTTACATCACATTAAAGATGCATTGTTTTCCTACTGGTTTTATACACGTTTTTCTTCAAACTGAACTGCGGAAGTACAAGTCTGATTGGGTTAAAACTTGGTATGCAAATTCACATGGATGTTTTATAGATGGAAATTGAAGTGGCATCATCATCACATGTCATGTGAAGTCCCTTAAAGGGGCAATTTATTCTTTTATAGGTCTGTATCTACAGAACTAAAAAGTTCGATTTGGTTGTAACTTGACATGTACATAATAGATGACATTTATAGTGACGTCACTGATTGTTCATCACGTGCTCAGAGTATTTCAAATATTCGAAACAGCTTGTGTTTGTCCACAAACACATTTCTAGTTCCCATTACTTTTGTCGATGTCATTACTGAGTGCGATTGGCGATTGCAAGTAGATGGAGAACTGCGCAGATGGAGGGGTGACGTAGCACACTACAAACCTTTTGAACTCATCCGATATGTATCAACCACGATTCAAGTGAGGCCGAGCATTCATTTGAGGCCATAAACATATAAATAAACGAACGACAAATATGGATGGTGACGAACATATAGATTCTGCACCCGCTTTCCGCTTTGTGTTGTTAAGCATGGAGGGATTCTTATTTCTCAACGTTTTAAGCAAGTTAATTGGCAACACAGCAGGCACTGGTTTGTAGCCTTTGAATGGCGCCCTCGAACAAAGACATTGACAAACTGGGGAATCGAACCGCCAACATAGGGCTGAGCACCGGTACGTTGCCGCGGAGGTCGCAGGTTAAACCCCGCTTCAGCCAATTTCTTAGATCGATTGTATAATTATTTCAATTTGTCCTCGAATAACATTGTTTAGGCCCTTAGACCGATTTATAATTATTATGGAAACCTCTTGATGCATGAAGTGACCGCAGCTTCACCAACACCTGCTTTCTCAGCTAATTGCTGATGTTATCAAGTAGCCTTCCTGGAGGTTGGTCCTCTCCCCGGCCGCTCGATACTCATCAGCACGCTCGTCACTCAAGAGCATCGACCCTGCATGTGCCGGTCAGACACTGGCCCAGCCATAGCCTTTAGTCAAGTCCCACGCGCCTATACTGGACCATCCGGACACGTAACGCACCCAGGATGCTGGCACGTAAAAAGACTAGCACGAGCGGCGAAGCCGCGCTCGTGCTAGTCTGTTTACGTGTCAGCATCCGGGGTGCGTCACGTGTCCGGGTAAGCGCGTGGGACTTGACTAAAGGCTAGCCCAGCCAGGGCTGCGTTCTCAGGCAAACGTTCCTACAACGTTCGCAATCATTTCTTACATAATGGGAAAACGTTTCAGTTGCCAACGTTAGCAAACGTTAGGTTTGCATATTGGAACGCATCCAGGCTTCACATCTCGGAAGCGATGACAGACACAAACACGTGTCATGTTAACAGCCGATTCTGTTATTTTTGACTATACTATACATCCCAAATGCATAAATCATTCCGAGCCATCGCTAAGCGTCCCCAGTTTTCTTTGGACGCCAGCTTCTATATTAATATAGGGAGTTACTTGGGTCTTTTAAGGCGTTTCTCGGAAACTGCCTTGGTCAAGGCTTCCCCACAGTGGTGATTTCTGCTGATATTAAGCCTGCCGTCTATTCGTGATGTGATCTCGTTGTCTTTACTCAGTTGTCTTTCATCCCCCAAGGCTGGAGCCAACTACAATCCCGGCTAAAATGGTTGGGAATAACCTTAGCCTCCAACGATCACCAACTCCCTCGGTCAATGTTGTTCTCTTCAGGGGATGGAGCACACACTGCGCAATGAGAGACAACATTGACCGGGGCCTGGGAGGTTGGGGGCCGAGCGAGATTTGGCCAGGATTGTAGGTAATACCTGATGCTCCTCTAAAACTCAGAAGTGGCTTGAACCTTCAATCATCATGGTATGCAGTGGAGGCGCAACGGGGGCATGGGGGCATTCCCCCCCCCCCTCCCCCGTTTGTCCCCCTTCCCCAGTTTGCCCCCCCCCCCCCCCCCCCCAGTTTGACCCGAACACTTATTATGTTTATTTTCTTCGCTGTTGATCTTCATAAAACTTGGGGCTAATGAAAGCATTCGAACATTGGTACTTAAAACAAAACACACCACACATGCCTTTATACAGCCGTAGATAGTGTGCAGCCATCGTCCGTGTACGTTTGTTATACACCATTCTGCCGCTTGATACATTTTTCATTCATAAAAACGACTACACCTCTTAAGTTGCTGAAGTGGCTTATTTCCGGACCATTGACAATGGTAAGTTCAAACGGCCTAGTGCCACTGCAACTAAATGTTATTACGGATTATTTAATTTGTTATTGCGGAATATTAATATGTTATCACGATCTGATACTCACATGCTGAGAACACGTGATCAGAATGCACTGAGAGCTGGATAGGGTTTAATCAAAATTTCGGGAACAAATCCCCAGATTGTCTTAAAGCATAGTATCATCGACCCTGATCACAGAGAATGGCCAGTCTTAAGTTTGCTAGATTAGATTAGACCGAGGCTCATTGGCGCCTCGCCATGGGGCCAATTTTACATTTAATCAAAAATTTGAGAAGATCAAAACAAGTATCATTTGATAGCTTAGATCTTGTAGCTTATGGAAATACTTATGAGTGATTTTAGATCAGACAAGTAATTAACTTAGGAGCGGCGCGAAAAGCGCGGAGGGGGCGGGGCCACAACCAAGTTTACGTAAAGAGGGCATACCTTCGTCGCAAAACGTCCATTTACCAAAACAGGTAGAATGTTAACTTTTCCCATCACATTGACCATGTTTAATGTACATGAGAGAGTGCGCATGAGATCGAAACAACAAATCATTTAAAAAGGTTGAATTGAAACTTCACACATGTACTACAGATATTTGGGTTTCCATTAAAATAATTTCAGATGTGGGAAGAGCATATCATCCCGGTACCCTGGGATGGGTCAATTAACTTCGTATAAAAACATCACTATTTATCTATTTATCTATTTTTCTATTCTTTAAAACGCAAGTTTTTTTTCGTGAACATAGTCACAGTAGTGCAAAGGAAGGATATTGCAACTATTATTCTACACTCATGTTATACATTCAGACCCAAAAGACAATGGGGGGACATCTAACATCCAATTCTCTTTTTTTTCTGTTGGTAGCCGCAACAATGATACGACTGCATAGAAGGCTGTGGACATGATTTTTTGTCGGTGGAATATTTTCAAATTTCTAGCAGTAATGCACTCTTGTGCACCAGCTGTTGTGATGTTTGTCCGACGTGCCTCTTATTATAATATATTCTGTTGCGCCTGCGTCGGCATTAAAACAGAGGGAAATAAAGATCAGATGCTCTGAAAAAAAAATCGTTTTTGGGGTCTGAATTTATGACATCCTTTAGAACAATATCAAATAAACTTCTTTTCATTATTCAGACTTAGGACATGAAAAAGTTGGCATTTTTAAGTAATAGTGCCGGGGTATATACAAAGTTCACCGACCTCTCAAAGTTCACTATGGGTCAGATATGAACTTTTTCGTCATTTCGGAGTCTGCCCCCCTCCCCCAAGATCTCGGCCATTGAGTGACGAAAAATTTTGAAACTTGGTACATGCATAGAGCAACTCATCGTGAAGACAAGATAAGTTTGCGGTAGCACCATGTGAATAAATCTCTTTTGTGAGTATGAGGGACTCTTCAGAAACCACACATACTCACAAAAGAGATTTATTCACATGGTGCTACCGCAAACTTATCTTGTCTTAGTATCTTTCCACCATGCAAACCTTCAAATCTCAACTCATCATGAACATACCCAAGACATTTCGTGACTATAGGTTAAAGGGTTTTGGAATTATGGCTAATTAATCATTCATATGTACGAATGGTAATTCTGCTCTGTACACACGCCGGAATTTTTTTTTCGCTGCGCGGCAATCCGTGTTCCGATTTATATATTTTTTGGTATCAAAAGATGCGCAAGGCTCGAGGCTAAAAAGTCATAACAGCTCGGGTTGCGAAAACAATGAAGATATTCAGTCATTTTTCGATGCGCGGGTAAAGTAAAGTTGCGATGTCAAGAAAATCGAAATGGCGCCCTCTAACGATACTGTGCAATAAAAACAACAAAGTGGATTGGATTGCTCGCCTTGAATCAAGACTAGTCTCCGGACCCTATATCCCACAATACATAATGCATTATACGTACGTAAAATGCGCGCGGACCGGAAACCAGACTATAATATGAAAACAGCACCTGCTGTCAGCGGCTCTGTCGAATTGCTGGTAAGAAATTCAACGAAAAAATGATGTATAATTAATTTGATTTGTCAAAATCTACAGACTAATTGTACCCTTAATGATAGATCCAATGTGTGATCGTACTCCTGTAAGAAACCAAGCGGGAAATCCGTCTTGATTTTCACATCTATGTTGTCATTTTTGTTTCCAATCACGACTGTCGACAACGGAAGAATGCCATTGCCATGGCATGCCTGTGTTATGTGGCTCTTGATTCAATTCATGGCATGCATGAGTAATTTTTGTGTATGTTTTCGATACAATAAAATGCTTCTCCTCTTTTATTGTAGTAACATAACAGACTCTAAAGTAGACTCCCTAATAGCCCCATAAATGTGGCCTATTTACTGGACTGCCTCCGTAAACATAGGCCACACATCCACGTGTACAAAAACGTGTCGACTTTGCCAAATTTTGATTTTCACATTTAGGCTTAGTTTGTAGGATTTTTTTGCTTTAGAAGCATACTCACCCTGCCTTTGAAAGTGCTGCCTTTTTCAGATGTCTAATTTTTGTGAAATTTCATGTTGAAATTTTGATACGCAAACGTGTAAAAATGAATCTGGAAATTTCACGAAAAATAAACATCTGAAAAAGGCAGCACTTTCTGATTAGCCTATAAAGAGGGTGAGTATGCTTCTAAAGCAAAAATAAACTACAAACTAAGCCTAAATGCGAAAATCAAAATTTGGCAAAGTCGACACGTTTTTGTACATGTGGATGTGTGGCCTATGTTTACGGAGGCAGTCCAGTAAATAGGCCACATTTATGGGGCTAACTCCCTAACTGATCAAAGGTTTGCTTTGTAGGATGATTATTTTCTGATGGTAGTGAGGATTTAGATACTGTATATTTCTTGTTGTTGTTTGACCTTGTCCAGTTGTCCTTGAATAGAGAATGTATGGCTTTGTCCCATGGACAACGCCACGCTCTGTCGTCGCATAAATACACTGGAAATTGTCACGCAGCACAACATTTCTCAAGTATTAACTTTTATAAGTAGTTGCATACAAAGCTTTCAGTAAATTCATGCGAGTGTAGGATCTTGCATTGCCAAGAAATTTGAGGGCAAAAAAACGACCTCGACCCGACAACAAATGTATGAGCTGAACTTTTGATTTTCTGGGGTCACGCATGGTATGCCCGGGTCATGCACGGGCAAAATGGTAGGAGCCGTTCTGGTCCTGACACCCATACAATCTCGTGTGTCGCGTGTTTCTTCGCAACGCTGGAGCGTGGCTAAGTATCAGTTTTGTAGAGGTCGAGACTGGTCTTGGTCTCAAGACCAGTCATCATCGTCTTGTAGCCCCACTAGTGTGGCCGCGGTATGCTGCGCTGAACCTCTGGCCACACATTGTGGTACCGCGCACTACTGAGGGCGTTTTCATAAAAATTACGGTCCATTTCTTACATATGGTTGTATTCTATGATGTCCCATCTATCACTTCTGGGATGCATAGGTGTAATGATGTTCAATTTTTTCGAGATATTCTTGAATCTTTCTGGAGCCCATATGCACTCGTAAAACGTCTGGTGATGGCAGCCATTTTGAATGTGACAAGAGATGACCTCAAGCTGTGACGTCGCATTTATGCAAATTGCTTGTCGAGCGAGGGCGCGAGTTGCAAATGCGACGGCTGTACCCTGTGCCGTGGATCCTGAATAGAGATCAGTGCACGTGGCCCCCAGACGATAAATGCATGGCACAGGAAGCAGCCGTCGCATTTGCAACTCGCGCCCTCGCTCGACAAGCAATTTGCATAAACGCGACGTCACAGCTTGAGGTTATCTCTTGTCACATTCCAAATGGCTGCCATCACCAGACGTTTCACGAGTGCATATGGGCTCCAGAAAGATTCAAGAATATCTCGGAAAATTGAACATCATTACACCTAAGCATCCCAGAAGTGATAGATGGGACATCATAGAATACAACCATATGTAAGAAACGGACCGTAATTTTTATGAAAACGCCCACAGTAGTGCGCGGTACAACGGTGTGTGGCCAGAGGTTCAGCGCAGCATACCGCGGCCACACTAGTGGGGCTACATCGTCTTGAAGACTTGATGCAAAAATGCAGTTGGTTCACTTTCATAAAAAAAAACCTTCTGGGCACGGTGTGCCTATTGTTACGGAAATGTCTGTATAGAAACAGTTCAAAAATGGTTTCTATTGGGGCCTTGCATACAATAAAAGTGACTACAAACATGTTCCCTATCCAGCATTAGGGTCCTCATCTCTCCCGTGTCACTGAGACCAACATCTCATTGTTCAATAACTTCAACAAGTTCAATGAAATCCCCCAATATAAGAGATTAGTGTTGTTAACAATATTATATGATAAGGTACATATGTAAATGCGCGTAACTTTAGGGTATAATAGTAGCCATTTTGATCGTTACTCTGTCTTCACAATTATTCAGTCACTTATATGCTTTAAAAAATGTTATTGAAGTAAGGATGTGTAAGTAGAATCACCTAAATATACTTTTCATAAAAAAATAAAATACAAAATATACCCAAATATGGGAACAAATATACCCGACAAGTATTTAAGATTGATGCAAATTAGGCATCCTTCCCAAAAGAATTTCAGGTGTCACCCCTTCAAACTATCTTCTCCAGGGCTATAAGAATCTATCTGCCAAGTTGGGTGCTTTGGACTAGTCTAGTCGGTCACGATTTTGTAAAATATTGGGTCTAACTAGCTACCTGACTATCATACTTCACCCGAAAGCGAAAGCGAAGAGAAATTCATGACGTCAACAATTGAAGTTTCATTGTGACTTCTCCATTACCTTAATGAGTTCGCTTCGCAACGTCATTCCATGAAGTATGAGCCGGCCATTAGGCCTAGGGAGATTCTTCTCTGAAAAAAATGGGATGGGAAAGAGTGTATTAGATGATTTAAGTGGTCAAGTTCTTTACATGGTTAAATCATACACGCTGTGTATATATAACTATAAACATTGCAGTACTTACAATGTAATGTGTATAAAACATTTGTAAGGTGGCACAGCATGTCAAATGGCGGCCAGCCATTTTTCCTTTGTCATTTCATAGCACTATAAAGGATTTTGACATTTCAGGTTTTGCTGCCTGTAGCTTGCCTCGAGGGTGAGTTGCCGGCTATGCGGGCGAGTCGCTCACTTTCTGGGTGAGTTGCCCACTTCACGGGCAAGACGCCCACTTTACAGGCTAGACATCTTCCTTGCAGGCGATCTCGATATTTCACAACTCGTGAACGTGTGCACATGTACACTCTTTGCACCTTATAGTATAGCGTTGATGCCGATTGCGATTAATAGTAGTAGAAAAATACTGGGCCACTGTTCTTAAACTAGTCATAGAAAATACTAAATGAATGATTAAATCACTGGAAGTTTAGCCCTAAAGTGCCCAACTTTGAGCGTTTTTTTAATTGTTCAAATTTCTGTAAAAAAAAAAAGTAAATAAGTTTTCATCACTACATTTGTTGTTATTGCTCTTATCCTTGGTACATTGGAAAGTCAATAGTAGTCACGTACATATTGATACACCCTGAAACACTGTCCTGCACACAGGGGAATTCCGCACTTTTTGCAGAAAATACGAGTGTCAGTGCTGCGTCCTCTCGCAAGAACTCGAATGAAACAAATAAATACAGGTTGTACCTGAATAAAAATGATATTATTAGAAAGAGCGAGAGCACCCCCTTGTGATAACATGCTTACTCTACCTCGTACGAGGTTAGATGTACGAGGTTTGGCGATTTTAGGTACGAACATTACCTCGTACATGTACGAGGTTGGCAATTTCGAACTAACAAATATACCTCGTACATGTACGACTTTGGCACTGAAAGAGTTACAAACTCTTCATGTATTTTGAATACAAATTTCGTAGATGAAAGTCAAAGTGTTTCTATGCTACTGAAGGCTTCCACATTCAAATGCTGACTAAAAAAAGCCACCTTTGTTTTGTTCATCACCTTTGCTTTGTTCATTTCATTTTTTTGTTAGCATGCTTGGATGTGGTTAACTGTACTGGTATCAGTGTGGCTTGTGGCTACCCCATGACCGGGTAAACCCTTTTCAAGAAGCTTTGAAACACTCAGAATAGCGTGAACTGTCAGTGTGCACGTGAGATTGTGCACACAATGAAGTCGCCCACCAAACCATGGCATATAGTACTAACATGTAGTGTGTACGTGGCTGGCTTGTGGAACCATGAACTGAGTCCTTGGGGCATTTGTAGGTTATCCCTGGCTCAAGGTTATGTCAGCGCACACCTGTCCTTCGTGAACAATGTGCACACTATGTACCGTACAATGCAAGTATACAAGTACCTTGAATACTACAATGTTTTGGTGTATTGATTTCATCGGGGGCAAAGACAGCAAAATGGTACATGAACAATGTACATGTATTAAACTTTTATTGACTTTAGCACTTTCCAATATTGGGTTTTGCCCTTCACAGACATATTTTTTTATTAACACTAGTCAGTGTTGTCCGGAGTGATGCAAAAACTTACCAATACACAACTTATTGCCAAACCAACAGTAGTTTAGTCTTTTAATTTCAAGGCAAGGGATCTTTTGTGAGAAAAATCCACTCTAAAGACTTTGACTTAAAATAACAGTACAAAGGTTATGGAAAACTCCTTCTGAATGTAACGCGAGTTACCATGGAATTATAGAGTCTGAAAGTAAAAGGTCACACGGCGAGCTTCTGGACCCCTTGTGCGGCCCACCTATGAGCATTTTACACTGGGTTGCTCTTTCACCTGCTATAATTTTTTGACGGAATGATTTCTAACTGTAATCACCTCAAGAAACATTCATGTTGGAATTTTATCTTGGTATTCCTCTAGAAAAAAATGATGAGAAATCGCTTGGAGATGGGTAAACATTTTTTTTACTTACGACCTTTCACATCCTCCATTTTTGTTCCTAGGTCTGCTTGTTTTTTTTTTCATGTTTGTTTTCACATCGCGTACTTTGCACAAAAACGAAAATTAAATTCACAAAGATTAAAACTTACCTACAGCTGATTGGTCTAGATTAAGTCGGGCTGGCATGAGTGCAGTCCTGATGAGTGGCTATTTTAGATTTTGTTGTAAATGCTAGTACCGTTAGTCCTTCAGGTTTATTAAAAAAGAATTGTATACAGTCGAGTCTCGTTAATACAAAATCGTTGGGACCTAGCCAAATTGTTTGTTATATCAGAATTTTGTATTAAGAGGAACACCAGTCCCATTCATTGTGCACATAAATACACAGTTGGGACTAAGGATTTATGTTTGTTATAACCAGAATTTTGTATTAACAGAGTTTGTACTAATGAGATCTGACAGTATATCCTAAAAGACATTTTAGTCTCCCAATTAAGTTTCATTTTTCACCTAATGACCGCCACAAAATTATTTCATTAATTTCAAAAATATTTTATTAATACGAGTACTCCAAGTTTCACTAGTCCACATGTATTTTAGATTTTCGGAAGTGAGAGGTCAATTTTTGGCACGATATTTGTCTTTCACGTCTGGTGATTTTTCAGATTCCATAAATCGAGATGTTAGTAACAATTGTACAAAGGCCTTTTTCCGGGGGGGGGGGGGGGGGGTCTTAATATATCTGTGATTTACATAACATGTACTAATGATTTCATCCATGATTTACATGTAAACATGTATGTTGATATGACACTCATTCCTTTATTGACAATACAAAAGTGTCAAACTACAATGTATTCATATAAAGATGGATTTTGTTTTGTCAGGTGCAGAAAAATCAATAGTGGGTTTTGACCTTCGGTGACATATTTGTTATAAATACTGTACACTCAGTGTTGTCCCAAGGGATTGTGAGAAAAAAGATCACTCGGGTGGGACTCGAACCCACGACCTCATGCTTACTAGTGCAGACATCTTACCACTCGACCACCGAACTTGCCGGGGTTGGCTGGCTGCTGGTGACTCACATTACACAAAATGGACCTGAAAAAAAAAAAAAAATACAAGAACCGGTACCTTGTGTTTGAAAGTTTCCTCATACTGTGAACTGTTGAAAAAGTCTTTTCAGTGTCCATACATCAATAGGGGGAAGTCATATATGCTACCATAAAATTAAAAAAAAATAGAAAAAAAATCTTGTAATCTCTAAAGAGATGTACATGTATAAATTTAGGTTACTCACATTACGGTAACTCATGTTACAGTTTGCCCATCTTTGGTACGAGATGAAGAACATTGTAATCTCACAAAAAACTCTTTTGTCATAAAATGTGAACCTTTCTGTCTGAAAACCAAGAACTCACAGTATTAGACAGTGCTTGCTTTTTGCATGTAAAAACAAAATGGGCCAAAATGACTACCCAAAATACATAATTCCCCCCCCCTTTTTTTGGACAAAAGAGCACACTTAACAATGTCCCAACTCACTGGCACATCACTCAAGTGAAAAATCTTGTTGTTCCCTTTAATTTGTTACCACATTTTGAGGTTGCGGTACTTGCAGCTCTACAGATTTCACTATTTTCTTTCTTCACTTTTCAGCCATGTCCACATTGTCGTGGAATTGCCCTGTAGTTGATTGAAAAACCTGAACAATGTATACCTGTAAGAGACTTTGGTTAACTTGGCACTTTTGTATTGTTTTAAAAACAAGTGTCACATAACAATAGTCAGTGTACTCTGTGATCTAGGGGTAAGTCACACCATGGTCACGGTTTAGTTTGATTGACCACAAGTGGTGGAGTAGAGTAGACTGTGGAGGAAAAGGGCAGATATTTTTCCTCTGTGTGCACGTACTGTACATACATACATGTGAATACAATATTTAACACATCAGTACATGTACGCTGCACATTTCCTGCTACGTACATCCTGGTTCGTACAAAAGGTTCCCATATTACGTATAGAACCAGTTGTATTGAGCATTTGGGGTCATGCAAGGACACTAGGGACTTTTCAAGTTCGCATGTACAATTGCACATAGTTATGCATAGGAATGTGACTGTGTAATCATGGCATGTGCCATCAAGTGACTGTTCTGTGTGGGAAATACCCTTTTGAAAATTAAAAATTGCTTGCATGGGCTGGCATTAAGTGATGTTTTCATCTTTTTATTGAACGGAAAATCTGTAATTTGGCCCCATAATTCTTTTCTTTTAGATCACAATATTGCTGCTAATATGTAGGCATGTTTCCTTGTGTACGTGTACACTATACATGTAGCTGTGCATACCGATAGGACACATACATTTTTGTGTTACTTGCACTGAAATTTTTTCCCCAAACATTCTTAAAGTATGTGTTACAACTGTTAATGGTACCTTAAGGAGACATAATGCCTTTGGAAGACACCAGACATTAGGGAGACATTTCAATGTCTCCTGAATGTCACAGCTCTTAAAGGCACATTTTTATAGGCTTGATTGTTTGCTCGTGGTCCAAAACATAACTACATGTATAGCACCCTGTCACTATACCAAACACCACTATACCGAGCATTCCGCTTCACCGAACATCAACGTTGGCTCCCGATTTCTGTGTACAAAACGTACCGAACACTGTTGTTGGAGCGACAAATAGCTATTATCCGAAGGAATAGAAGGGGAAAGCCACCTGTGTAAGCTCAAATACTGTAAAATACATGAGTCAATAGTCGCACGTGTTCAAAGTCGTCCTTCAGTAACTACCAGGGCGTACAGGTTGAAGTTCTGCTTACAGAACGAAAAGACGAATGGAAAAGTTTGGCGACTCCGCACGTGGTTTGTAAATGCCACTGCAACTACATGTATAACAATGGTGAAATAGGGCACCACTTACGATTTCACTAGTACAAACAAGTTATGTTGATCCTACGATGTTCGTTATAGCGACGTTCCACTGTATACCAAAATTCGTGGGGGTAGGATAGGGTAAGATTGGGGTTAGGGTCAACAAATTTGGAAGAAAAATGTGTGCATGAGTCTCTTGGAATGTCTCCCTAGTGACCCACTATTGGTAATGATATCATTATTATTATTGTTATTAAATTGATGGTGATTTGTCAACAGAATTCTGTTAGAGCAGATTCATCATGGCGCCCATCTTGGCCACGAGGCGGTTGTCAGACCCCCACATTGTCCAGCAGTTATGGGAGGCAGTCACGGCCATCCGCAACCAGAAACAGGTGGCCAACTTGGACCGCATCCTCAAGTTCATGAAGCGCGAGTACAGCGTCATTGCTAAGGAGACGCAGCAACAGGTAGGCACTACACGGGGCTTCCTCCGTCATATTTGAATCCTTGACTATGGAACATTGTATTCATTCACTGAAGAATCCTTAACCCGAACCTTCCCAAATCCTCCAAATCCTCTTTGCAAAATGGAGGATTTTGCATGATTGAGGCTACATGGGAAAAGTGTGTTGCTGATTTGGGAGGATGCACTGTGTCAAGGTCTTGGGCTGGACCTTGTGTTGTTTCTGCTCAGCCGTGTATAAATTTAGGCCTAGATTATACGTGAAATCCTCCGCACTGCTCCAGGATGTCACTGGCTCTGCCTGAACGTATTGACAGTGATTGCCGGAGGTTTTTTCAGGATTGAAGCAGTGGTCGCCCTCCAAGGACCACATTCAAGAAATAACGGAGGATTTTGGCGGATTGAAGCTGTAAGCAATTTGTAAAATGGAGGCAGTTGGAGGATTTTGCAGGATTGAGGTTACATCCAAGCAAAAGTGCCTAGGGAGTTATGGTTAAAGTACATGTACGCTGGATCGTTTGCAGTTGTTGTAATTTCATCAAATTGATCAATTTAAGGTCTTTTTATAGCAGACATCGGTCCACTGAGCTGTTCAATATTTTGTGTCCACTGATGCTGGAAAAACATGAAAAAAAAAGCATACTGTTCATTTCCAACCAGAACCTATAGGTCACAGGGAGTGCGCAAATGCTGGCTCTGTCATTGGAAAGTAATACATACACATACCTAGTGTACTCGAAAGTATGCATGAAGTCAACAGCTGGCTCGCGGCCATTTAACGGATGTAGTATTGGAGAAAACTGTTTGTTCTCAGCAATGGTTTGGTGCCAACCATCATTAGTAGTTGATAAAAGTGATAGAAATTCCCCTTCCCTTGAGAATGACAGCATGCCAGGCTCAATGATTTCACAGAATCTTTCATACTATTATTTACTTGCAATCAAGTGGGCTATTTCAAACTAATTGGCAGTTTTGTTTTGGAGGGTTTGCAAGTGATCTAATGTCGCTATTTATGTAAAATTTATTTTAGTGTTTGGTCGGTTTTGGCCGCTACAGGGAGTAAAAGGCAGGGTTGTTTCAGGGGGAAATGGGTTACATGAAATTGGAATTGCGACAGTGTGTACTTGATGTCAAGCTGATATGGGCTCAATAGTACATACCGGTAAGTATCTCCTCAGCAGAGACAAGAGTAGAGTTAAACTCTCGATGGCTTGCAGCAACTGCTTACTCAAAAGTGCTTAAACAAATATGCTTAATTGGTTTATGCATGTTCATATTAAAGGGAATATACATCAAATTTGCTTTTGCTGTAATTTTCAGAAATGGATGGAATTGGGGGGTTGGAAATATATAGCAAATATAGTTACACTGACTTTTTTGAGGTTTTGGGTTCGAAAATGCTATAAAAACCAAGAAAAACGATCATTTTCCTGTAGTCTGGTTCCCTGACTCCATATAAGAAAAAACAGAGCAGTTTACATACATTGGGGAATTGTAAGGTCAGGGAACCAGTCTAGCTGGCTCGTACCCGTTCATAGGTTTGTAATCGATTGCAAACAAGTGCGATGGTCAATTGGGGCCAGTATTTGAAAAAAAAGCCAGTTGTTTCCAACGTTGATCGGCCGATCAGCGTTGGAAATTGATACAAAAATAGCACTTTTCTTGAAAATGACAGTATACCAGGTGCCATGATTTTACAGGATGCTTTACACTGTCATTCACTAACAGTCCAGCAAGGTATTTCAAAATGATTTGGTAGTTTTATTTTTTGATGTTTGCAAATGTTGTATTTTCCCTTTAAATATATAGATACATTTAATATAGGATCATTTGCAAACACTCAACACAAAACTGCCACAATGTTATGAAATAGCCCACTTGATTTTCAGTAAATAATAGTATGAAACATCCTGTGAAGCCTGGTATGCTGCCATTCTCAGGGAAAGGGGAATTTGGTATTAGTACTACCCATTGTAAGGACCTAAGACCAAAAAAAAAAAAGAAGAGTTATGCTCCGATTACATGGCATTTGAATATAGGGTAGATAGGTAGGGAATTTATTTTGTTTTGGCAAATTTTTTTTGTGTACCATCATATGGAGGCATCTGCGTGTTGTCAAGGGTAAGAGGTAGAAATTGATGGTTTTGGGTGTTTTTTTTCTCATTTTTCCAATAAAAAAATTAGGGTAGGGGCTGTCAGAATAGGGTAGGTAGGGAAACCGGAAGCAGAACTATTTTTTTTTTTGGGGGCCTAACCATTGCACAGAACAAACAGTTTTCTCAAATACATCCATTAACCCTTACTCTCTGAGGGTAGTTTACTGCATGTCAGTTGGTTATGCCAATGCCCTCCAGCTGCAGTTATTTGGCAGATAACAAGTCTTAACAGTGAAGGCTCCAATTGGCAGGAGTTGGAGGCCCTGGAGGGTGCCTGATTCTGACCAGCTGGGGGCACTCACTTTGTTATCAGAGGACTCTCATTGTTCTCTGTGGCATGTATTGGAGTGCCTGTCCAGTTACCCTTGAAATGACATGGCAGATATTGGAGGGCCATGCAAAAAACATAGGAGATTTTCTTGAGGCACATATTGGCATGCGTTGGAGGGTCAAGTAGGGTAAGGGTTAATTAAACTCCGCGAGCCAGCTGTGGACTTCACGCGCATGTTTCGGTACGCAAGATATATGTGTGTTGTACTTTCCCATGGCAGAGCCGGCACTCAGACACTCCCTGTGACCTATGGGTTTTATGCATGACAGATTCCATGAGCTAGACTTTTGACGGTTGAAAATGAACAGCGGTGAGCTTCTTGTTTATTTTCAGCTCCTACGGACACACAAAATCGCAATGGAACGATGTCTGCTGTAAATGAATAGCCCTTAAATCTGTCCATTTCATGAAATTAGGGCAAATGCAAATATTATCCGTTACTATTCAAATTCTTCATGCGTAGTTGGTGCCATCTACATGTGATCAAGAGAGCGCATGTGGTGGGTCTTAGAATGGAGTTCTTGTGAGAGATCACAAAGCACCATCTGCGCTGTCTTGCACAGAGCCTATATTGGCTTGTTGTCAGCAGGTATCAATCTGAGCCTATGTTTGGCTTGTCATATGTCAGATATTGCCTTTTTAGCTGCGGGTAGCAGCTCAACAAATCATCATGTCTCTTCGTTAGTCTGTTCATGAGTTAGTTAGTTTTTTGGCTAGTTAGTTACAAACGTTGGCATTGTCTATTGCTCCTACATCCTTTGACCAATTTCAACCAAACTTTGTCAAAAGTATCAGTAACCCAGGTCAAAATAACATCAAATTCCAAATAAACTTCAGATGACAAAGGTAGCGCCTTCAACATGTTGGCCTTGGTCAAACATTAAAAAATGTCCATGGTGACCTCTTCATCTGACTTACAGCTATGGGGTCAAAGGTCAAATTAAGGTTAACGTGCATTTGTTGGCCCGCAGCTTCCGAGATCCGATTGATCTTGTTTGTTGGGTAACAATTTAGGTGGTTGGACAACCAGAAAAAAAGTCAGTATTTGGAGAAATCCAAGAATTTTGAGATATCCACGATAAGGCCTGATAACTCAGTGATATGGTATGACATCAAACCCCTGATTAACGTGTCAGCAGCCTTAATGGTACATGGAAACTTTTGCTCTTCGTGCATTTTTTTTTCATTTGAGGCAACAAAATTGCTCAAAATCTTGAGAAGAGTGCATGAAAAAACTAACTTGTTGAAGTTTCAGCTCAGTGAATACTGTAGGCCTATACATTTTGAGAAACCAGAGAGAATGCATTCACAATTTTTAAATTCCATTGCACGTCAAAAAACTGCTCCCATGGGCACATTTTCTTAAACCATCTTAAATGATTGGTTCTTCTGAATGATACCATTTTTAATGCAGAGTAATTTCACAGGGTGTTTGATACCATTCCTATCTTAACATTGAACAAATGATTTTCTTGTTAAATCGGTTTCGGTAAGTATCCTTGATTAAAGACAAAAGAATCCACCCTGTTCACATCGTTCGTACATGTTCTGATGATTGCAGTTAGCCTATGCCACTAAAGACGGGTTGATTGTCAAGGATAACTCGAGAGCCAAGAAGGGCATGAGGGCTGGCCAAGAGCAGGAGGCCTACTGGTGTGCCGTGGAACAGGAAGAAGAGGTAATTAATGTTAACCCTATCGGTCAGTAACACCTCAAAACCCAAGGATTTAAACAAGACAATCGGCAGATAATCAGACAAATTGCAAATCAGGCCAAAAGTATCAGGGGATGAAGAGATGATAGTAAAATTCATTTGTCTCAGTTCATTGGAATCCGGTTCGTTAGTGTGACGTCACCTCCAGCACTTTCTGCACAATTGGAACCTGAAGTTAACGCAGCTCGAGCGTTTGTAGCCAGTGGGCGCTAGTAATCAATGGTGGATGCGCGTGAATAATGTTTTTACCAATGAACCGGATAGCCTCTCACTTGACGTAACCTTAACCGCCCTGAATCCTTCAAAATCATGTCTGCCAAAGTGGAGGAATTTGGAGGGTTGAGGTTACATGGCAAAAGTGTGTTACTGATTTCATGCACTTTGTCAAGGTCTTGGGCCGGACCCTGTGTTGTTTTGGCTCAGCTGTGTATAAAAATAGGCCTGGATTATGCTTGAAATCCTCCGTACTGCTCCAAGATGTCAGCTGGCCAAGCCTCAACATATTGACAGTCACTGCCACAGGATCTTGCAGGATTCAGGCAGTGGTCACCCCTCCACAGACCATATTCAAGAAATAATGGAGAAATTTGCAGGATTGAGGCTATATCCTAGCAAAAAGGCCTAGGGAGTTATGGTTTATTAAAACTGGATGAGGTGATGACTTGTGCTTGATGTCAGATAGTCTGGGGGAACATGTTGTTGTGGTTTGATAATGTAGCGATAACCCACCCCCATGAGAGGGCGTTATCACGATGACCAGCTACATGGGTATCACGATGACCAGTTACATTGGTATCACGATGACCAGCTACAAGGGTATCAACCACCAGAAACCGGCTTGGGAATCTTGTAGCGCTTGTGTAATGCGCGTGCATTTGTTTGGCCTAATGCATTCAGCGCGTATTCAAAACCTTTCATAGTAGTTCCAATCCAGACTCTTAAATTTCTTCCAGTAGCATACCATATGCAGCAAGACTTTTGTGCAATCTTCACTGGGCAGCTTTTTTTGTGATATTTAGTACTGGGGGACTGAAAATAGACCGTAATTGCCTGCAGAAGTAGCGCACGCGCACTAGTGTCCCCAATTTTTCGGGGGCAGATTTTACAAGATTTCCTAGCTAGACATTGTTGCTGGCGATTCATGGGTGATAACAGTTCGTAGTGATAATTGACCTTTCGCGGCAGTGGGTTATCACGTATCAAACCATAACAATGTCTCCCCCTAGACTATCTGTCATCAAATACAAGTCATCAAGTCATCCAGTGTGAGTCAAGGGACAAGCTATTCATATGAACCGAGACAAAGGCATTTCATTGTCATTATTTCATGCCCTGATACTTTTGATCTGAATTGCGATTCGTCTGATTATCCATGCCACTCCTTGGTCACTGTGTGACATAAAGTTGGGCTCGTCTGATTTTTGAAGCTTTAGCCCTTGTTAACTGCATCTGACATTACTTTCACTGATTCATCAGGTTAGTACTTTTTACTCCCTGCCTCAGTGTTAAGTTTTTACTTTTACAAATTGTGTCAAAATATTATGAGGGGTCATCAAAGTTTGGTCACCTGTGTGACATCAGATGTAAAAATGTTATCTGGTCCATACTGGAAAATCAAGCTTTTCTCCAAAGTTCTAAGGACACACACACCCACACTTATTTTGGAGTTATGACTTACAGAATGAACAAACAATGTACACCCTCTACTTTAGTCTTACTAAATGGGAATTGTTCTGTGGTAATGTGTGTGACATATTGATTGATCGCGTGTGTGACATTTGTAATTAAAATTATGCTAATTTATGCACGGAAAGACCAACTTATGAAACATCTTAAGAAATATGCATCTTTACTTACTGGCAACACTTTAGTGAACATAAATCATTTGTATTTCATCAAATATAAAACCTTTTCCCCCCAAAAGTTTAATTTAGCATCAATTTTTGAAGAATCGCCCATCTGCTGATTGTCTTGTTTACAACTCTAAAATATTGCCTACTCCCAACAGCTGCTAAATACCTCCTATAGCAACCAAAGTACGTTAAAACCTGGCAACTAGAGATTGCAGGTCTAAGCAGATGCCCACATTTGTTGCTGTTAATTGATAAATTCATTCATAAAGTACTTAGTTGATTAATCAAGGGAAACTGCTTATGTAACATGCACATTGGGCATTTTTTTCTTCTGAGAACCATAACATATGACAGAGTTCATTCATGTCAAAATAAACATCCCTAACCCTCCAGCAGCCGATTTCAAAGAACTGAGAAAACTGAGATTTACACAACTGAGAAAACAGGCTTTGAAATAACTGGCTCTGTTGTAGAAGTTCAGAACGATGTACACAAAATGGTTGTTTTTTCCCCACTTTGTTCATCAAAATCAACATTTCTGTGAATGAAACCGGAAACTGTAGGTAATAAAGACAAAAAAAATGAAAATCACATTTTGACGAAATTTTCACCCTCTCAACGTTGAGTAGGCCATTACACGATAATGCACAATGCGACATAATACCCTTTTTTGTGGAGTTGGTCACAAATGAGATGATGTATAAACAACGATATATAGTCCTACCAGGGAGAACTTACGTTTGGTTGAAAGCATTCACCTAAATGTAACCGACTGACATGTGTGATTACTTATCCAGATGTTACTGTTTACTTATACAGATAGGAAAAGGAAGTTATCATTAGATGAATACCAGTATATACAAATGAGTACCCAGAACCTTTCTATAAAAAATAACATAAGCCCTATAAGAACTTCAGTTTCTACTCTGCGTAGCATACATTGAATTGGTGGAAAAATTTGACCTAGTAGATTTTGATTTTGTTTTAAAGAACAGTTTACATCTTTCATTATAAATTCTTTTGTTGGGGTAAATTTTAATTTCAAGATCATTTGTTTCACCACCAAGAATTGCAATTGTTTTCTTGGCCTCCACCCTGTCAAATTGTGACAAAATACAATTGGAGTGAAAGCTACTGTACATGTACACTATTGGATGTGGTGTTCCACAGGGTGACAGGGTATTCCTTATTCCTGTTGCATTTTGTTGCACTTTGGTGAATTCGGCAGAGTTCACGTTTCAGCTACTGGTAGGGTACATGTACATGTATGCTTGACTTTGTTGAAAAATTAAAGGGGTCAGTCATGCAGTGAATTTTTCTTAGGAACACATTTTGTGCAATTTTTTACTCCTCTTTAATGTATGAAAACTATTTGCCATCCCTTTTTGGTTCATTTTTATCGAAAAGCGCAATTCTTTAAACTTTAAAAATTGTCCATGCTTTTCCAGTCAACTGAGGGCGCTGTTGCTGTCATTTCAGGAAGACAACTGTTCAGTTTAGAAGTTTGCTGTTCAAATTGTGAACCCCAAAATTTGTTTACTGAAAACATTTTCCAATCACCACGAATCATTTCACGAATCACCAAAGAAGAGAAAATTTATGACAGCAAAATATCCAACATGCTGGCAACTTTTTGTGCTGAAATAGCTGTTACATTGTGGTTTCTGCCTGGAATTTTGCATTAGCATAAAAACCAAAAAGGCACAAAAATACCCTTGAAAATGGCAAAACGGAAATTGAAAATACTGTTAAATGGGACAGAAAGGTGTATTTCAACAGATAGCATTAAAATAATAACATTGCATGGGCCCTATAAGCAAATATCTCAGCAGCTGTCACAAATCAATGAATGATTGTTACACCTGTTGTATTTTGTTTGTTTTCTTAACAATAGAGCAAGGAGTCACATGACTGGTACTGCTGCAAGTGTCACGGCCCGGGGGAGGTCCTGTGCTGTGGGTCTTGTTACCGTGTGTATCACCCAGAGTGTGTGACGGAGGGGGCGGATGTGAGTAAGCTTGGGTCGTCTTGGACGTGTCCTGCCTGCAAGGTCAGTTGATTGTAGTGGTGCTGCATTCTGTAGACAAGCCCCGTAAACGGGGACTAGATCTATACTTCAGGGGGAGTCAAAAACAGCAAAACCCAAGTGTCAGGACCATTGTTTTAGTGAAGTTCTGCACGTAGCACTTGCAAAATCTACAATTTTAAGTACTGTTCCAAGTGAAATACACAGTGATCTAAAAATGGATCAAACAGACAGTCAGTAATTGATTCCACTTCCCCTACCATGCCTTCTACACAGGCTAGTCACCAACAGTCGGATCATATTTCAATACGCACAGTGTCTAGTCATATTCTTTCAACATCAAAAGAAAGTAACTGGAGGCACAGCTGGCTATTCAATCACCTACAGTCAAAGCACAGCTTTATCAAGTTACATAAACAGTCATAGCCAGTTAATCCTGCTTTATGTGGGCAAGGAGCACTCAACTGTTTAAAACAGTCACTTGATTGATTTTGACTGCTGGGGTGGCTTTGTTGAATTTGCCAGCCAGAGAGGGAGGGTTTTAATGACCATATAATGACCATATACACGTAGAAAGCTCTGCGAGCTCAACATAATTGATAAATATCATATTACTTGAAGTAATTATGTTGTTATTTCCCCCCTTTCATTTGTAGTCAATCAAATCACCCCATCAGAAACTCAACAAGGCAGTATTGTACAAGCTTCTCATTCACGTTCTGAATAGGATGAAAGACAAGGTATCGGTAATTACTACATACTTTTCTACATATTTTAAAGATATACCGGTACTGTAAGTTTCGTTTCGAAAATAGATTTTTTTTGGGTGTTTACTATTTGTCTAGGAATACAAATGATTGGAGTGCACATTTACGGGTAGTATGGGAACCGGGTTCCCCATTAAAAAAAAACACGGGTACACCATTAAAAAAAACATGGGTACATAGGTACCGGTACCCGGGTACCAGGCATGAGATTCTTTAGACTTTTGTCCGAAATCAAACTTTTTGAATCTTTCAGACCTTCCATCCAATTTTCAGTCCTTTTTTTAAATAGACAATCTCATCCCTGTTGGGTACCACTTAAAGAAACTCAACCACAACATTCAACTCAAATTGGGGAAAAAAGAAGAAAACCCCAAAACTACCCCCCACCCCCAAAAAATCCCCCCACCCCCCAAAAATCCCCCCAATTATTTTGAAACAAGCTGATTTACCCGATCATAGATCGGGTAGGGCGTATTTGTGTTGGGGTTGAAAGTGTGGGGAGTTAAATGTAAATGGGGGATTTAGTTGAGAAGACATGTAGCTATAGAAAAGCAATTTACGGTGACGCGATCTGAGGCAATTTCTGACCACGTATGATATAGTAAAACAACAGATCATCTTTTAAACATCATTTTCGAGTTTGGAGTCATTGAATCAGCTGTTCTGAGCAAAAGAATATTATAGTAGGCTACAATTTTTATTCGGGGAAGAAAAAGTGGGGGTAGGGAACCAAACGATATTCAGTGCCCGCTTTTAAATGTTGGGGTGGGGGTCCCCCGTCCCCCACCGATTGACGCCGCGCCCATGATAATTATGTACCATGGCATGTATAACTGTCTGTAAATTTTCCCGTTGGTCTGTTGCATTGTGTGAGGCAGTCGCGTTTGTTAATGTGGGAAAACTGAGTTGAAAGACTTACCGTATAGTACACAGGCGAAGGCTGATTGTACTGTTTTGACAATAAATCATAATGGAATAAAACGTGAAGGTGGCATTTGCAATAGAAATGTTGAGTGTGTTACCATAAAATTACATAGTCTGAATCATGGAGGAAGGTCATTATGAAGGTACAGTATTGGACTCTTCAACAAACGTAAACTTGAACTTCTTACAATTTGCGAGACCTGCGAGGAAAAAGTCGATTTAACTATTTTATTCAAGTTGGCATGGTTCAACCATAATATAAGCAAGGCCAAACAGCCAACAACCGCCAATATTATTATTTATGCACTCTTTGTTATTCCAACCCAACATAGTTCAAAGATCACAATATTTGAAGCAATGCATCGATACCTCGTTGATTTACCCGATCATAGATCGGGTAGGGCGTAGAGTTGGGGATGAAAATGTGGGGAGATGAATGTAATTGGGGGATTTAGTTGAGAAGACATGCAGTTATAGAAAAGCAATTTCTGTGGTGCGATCTGAGGCAATTTCTGACCACTAAAACAATTTTTTTTTTAGCAAAAGATCATCTTTTAAACATCATTTTCGAGTTTGGTGTCATTGAATCAGCTATTCTGAGTAATAGAATCATTATACATGTAGTAGCTACAATTTTAAATTGGGGAAGAAAAGTGGGGGGAGGGGACCCAAAAAGTCTCCACCGCTTTAAAATGGGGGGGGGGGGGGGGGATGGAGGGGTTCCCCGTCCCCCACCGATTGACGCCCATGATAATTATGTACCATGGCAACAGTCTGTAAATGTTCCCGTTGGTCTGTTAAATTGGCATTTTGTGAGGCAGTGGCATTTGTGAGAAAACATACTTGAAAGGCTTGCCGTAGTACACAGGCGAAGGCTGATTAAGAAGGTCATAATTAAGTTTCAGTATATTGGACTCAACAAACGTAAACTTGAACGTCTTACAATTTGCGAGACTGTCTGCGAGGAACTTGTCGAGTCAACTGTTATTCAACTTGGGTCAACCATCTATATAAGAGCAAATTTTACTCGGCCTCCGAGAAATGATCAGAGACCGCGGTCTTTCGCGACGCCAAAATCGCTCCACGTCCGTGGAAAAATGTGGAGGGTGTCTTCCGCCGGATCGGACACATTTTCGTTGATTTTTTGTGTGACTGCGTTTAAGATCTCGATGTTTGAAGCAATGCATCGATCCTTCGTTGATCCCAGACAGGCCCCCAAAATTATAACGCAACACTGTGGCGGGCAGCGAACTCACAACGCTCAGCCTTGGTGGAAGCATGGAGCTGTATTAACACACGATGGAAGCAACAGAGCACTATACACGTCACTCACATGCTTGTGCTTCAAATCATGCAAATAGCGAGCACCGTAGACCCAACCTCGTTTCCAGGGTGTGGAGCAGGCTGCAGTACGCGTTGCCATCGACAGTTTTGCATAGCCCGGAAATACTACGCAGTGTAGACTTTCGATTGGTCAGACCGCGCAAGGCATACTTAATGTGTAGTCCTTCTGAGTATTCGTTGCACTCGGCGCAGGGGCGGCAAGCGAAGCATATGAAAGAATAGGGGCACTCGGTGGCCACGCACCATGGAGAAAAAATATTTTACCAAGGTCACCCCATACACAATTTGGTGAACGCTTTTGCAGAACGGCTGAGTAGAACACGTAAACGAAACCCCTACGTTGACCTCGCTGACCTCGCACAGTCTAGACTCGCAGAAAAGCCAGCACAGGGGGCGGCCAGGCAGTCAACGTGAAAGCGCACACGACGGAAAATTCCTGTGCAAAATGCAGTCACGAAAAATAGATGAAGAGGATTGCCGGTCCGTACGGGAAAATCAGGACGACCCGAAGCGTCCGACCCGGCGGAAGACACCCTCCGTATTTTTCCACGGACGTGGAGCGATTTTGGCGCCGCGGGAGCCCGCGGTCTCGGATCCTTTCATGAGCAAACATCGTCTCGGAGGCCGAGTTAAACTCTCTCTTATATATATAGATACCTTTACTGGGCTGATAGTGAATGACAGTTTAAATCATCCTGTAAAATCATGTTACCTGGTGTGCTGTCATTTTCAAGCAAAGTAGAATTTTTGTATAAATTTCACTTTTGATGGGAAAAAACTGACTTTTTTCTCGAATTGTGCTCCCAACTTACCAAATTCAGTTAGTCCACAGTTTGTTTGCAATTGGTTACACGTCCATGGATAGGTACAAGCGAGCTAGTCTGGTTCCCTGACTTGACAATTCCCTGATGTATATAAGTTGCTCCGTTTCGTCAGAAGAAGGGTCAGGGAACCTGTTCTTGTCAGAGCATCAGTTTTTTCTTGTTTTTTTCCAGCATCTATGAACACAAAACTTGAAACAGGTCAGTGTAACAATATTTACTGTAAAATACATGTACTAACCCCCAAATCCATCCATTCCTGAAAATTATAGCAAAAGCAAATGTTGTATACATGTATATTACATTGAAACAAAATGAGAACCTTGGGTCCTTTGTTGTTGTTGTTTTGTTTAGGCCAAAAAAAAATAAATATTCGGTCTCTGGTCAGACCAAAGTTCCGGAATTGATGCGGCGACGCGTTTTTTTTTCTTTTCTTTTTTTTTCTTTTTTTTTCAAGCTTGGATTGTACAGACAAGGTGGGTACTATTTTGCTTTTGTTGTGTCCTCATATACATTGGGGTCCTCCATAATTTGCCTTGGTGCCCTCCATCATTTGCCTTGGTACAAGTTCCCCATTCCTTGGTACAAAAATTTGAGGAGGTGCGGCAATAGAGGGCGCTGCTGTAGCTACCGCGGACAATTTGAAGAAAAAAAAAAGGTTTGACGCGTATGATTAAAATTGACGCGCGCGCTGACCAGAGACCGACTAATTTTTTTTTTTGGACTTACATTGATAACCTTTATACCATTTAGTGTGTAATATTTAACCCATTAATAGGCACGAGATCTGCATCGGAAGTTGAACATGGGCAGCCTTCCCAACTACTACAACCTTGTATACAAGCACGTCGATCTTGCCACGATCATGCAGGTACGGTACAGTCAAATAATGTAGACATAAAGTGTGTTGTACTTTTCGCTTCTGTCGTGCAAGAACTTGTAAAGACAAAACCTTTCACGCAAACTTCTGAGGTTGTGACCAATAAAGTCTTGATATTTATTTGTGCTGTCATCGTTACCTCTTGACCACTGAGCTTGTGGGGTCAGCTGGCCCATAAGCCATTTGCGAGTGACCTTATACCCTTTGGGATTTAAATTTGAAAAACATCTGGTACACTTACTTGCTCTGAGTGCATGGCACATTTTAACTTTGAATTCTTCAGACTAAAGACACTGTTGCTAATCACTGATTCGGGGCAAGCTCTTGCATAGTTACTCAAGAGACGCTCAGCACCAATACATTGTTCACAATGGGTGAGAATGGCACAAAGACACCAGACCATGTCGGAGCTGGGGGTTGCTAGCATAAGGCTTACCCTGAATCACGTGTACCAGTCTTTTTGGTCGGGAGAATGCAAAGGATAAAAAAGTGCAAAGCATTGGATTAAGTCAGCGTTCCAGATTTTGTTCAAATTTAACTCGCAAATGTCTTATTTAAATCAGATGTTGGCTTTAGAAGCAGGTACTGAAATCAGTGAAGTTTCTTGAATTTGTTTTATTGGGGTGATGTTAACTTATGTTTTGCCAATTGTTGATGAAATCTTATGAGCAGTGCACTTTCAATGATTTTTCAGTGCTTTTTGGAATGGCGTCATAGTGCAATCAAACATATCATCGCGTCAGTGCAACAAGGTCATAGCTCAATTCTGCAACATAGTCGTATCTCCGTGCAACAAGGATGTATCTTGCATATCGCGACGTCCATTGACTTTGCCAGTACATCCGGGTTATTTTAAGCGAGATGCAACCTTTTGGCATTGAAAGCTTGCGTTTCCCGTACATGACATCACATGCAATTGTAGAAGATCTGCCCTTGTTGCACTGAAATGATGACATTGGTATTATTTTGATATTCAACTACTATGCGCACTTGAAAAATGTCCTCGCTCCTTTGAATTTTGAGCAGAAAGTTGACGACAAGAAGTACCGGAGCATCGAAGACTTTCAGGCAGATGCTGAGATGATGGTGCATACATCGTTCATCTACCACGGCCGGACACACGAACGCACAGATCTCTGCCAGTTCACTCTCAACGACTGCAACTATGACGTAAGTGGACACCATGGGTGTATTGGAAACCCCGTTCTTGTGTTGAATGAACACGTGGGTGTATTCGAAACCCCGTTCTTGTGTTGAATGAACACGTGAGTGTTTCGAACGATGAGAACCAACACGTGAATGGTTTTCACAAACATGATTTTCACACCCCACTTTGTGGGGAGTAGATGAAGAACGTCAAGAACAAAGATGGCGACCAAGGCCCATACCGAAACTTGCAGTACTTTTTGTGCATAAAATTGAAAGCACCCATCCAGTGCAGGAGCAGTATATACTATTAAATGACAAAAAAATGCATTGTACAAGATCATAAAGTAGGCTTGTCTTTGCCAATATTTATATCTGTTTCAGGATTTAAATTATTTTTGTAAGATAATTAGTTTTCCTTTCTTTCCATTCGGCATTTTAATATGCGGCCTACTATCTTGAATTTTCGCTCAGCTGTACTCCACATGCACTGGAGCAAGTCCGTAATCCCAACCCGAGAACACCGTTCGTTGGTCACTTGAGAACGGGGTTTGGAATACGCCACTTCTGTCTGTCCATTCATAATATCCAGAACCCGTCTGGCATCGAGGTTTGTGAAAACAGTTCCGCGGCGGGGTCCGGTCAATGTCAAAATAATCCTGGCGCGAACTGGTTCAACGGCTGCGAGCTAGCTTATATGAATGTAGTACTTTCCCATGGCAGAGCCTGCACTCGGGCACTCCCTGTGACCTATGGGTTCTATGCACAGCAGATTCAGCGAGCTCCACTTTGACAGTTGAAAATTTAGAGCATTTTTGGGTGATTTTTCAGCACCAGTGGACACAAAACATTGAACAGCTCAGTGGAAGGATGTCTGCTATAAATTAAATAATTCCTTAAATCGGTCCATTTCATGAAATTATGACAAATGCAAATGATCCTATATGCCTTTATATCAGCACAGTTACCTTTCTCTAAAACATTTGTCCGAATCTATAAGTGTTATTGGAAGAAGGGTTTAATTTGTTTTGTTTTTCTTCAAAATATTTGTTTTGTAGTTGGCAGAAATTCAGCTGTGTAAGGATTGCTACTTGATGTCCAACAGTCGCACTGAGAAGGGATGGTTCTGCAAACCCTGTGTAAGTAAATCCTGATAGATTTGTGGACATTCGCTTGTTGTTTAAAACCAGTCGGTGCTTTATCAACCGTTTAAAACCACCCACATGACTGGCTCTCGACCAATAGGAATGGGTGAACTGTCTTAGGTACATGTATTTATGAATACTAAATTAATCAAAAATGCATGGCCCTACCATAAGCCTGTATGTAACCTGCTGCAAGTACGTGGATATATTAAATGCATAGCTGAGATATTTTTGCCGGTAATGGACATGACTTTGATTGCATCTTTCAGGACCCTGCTCATGAGGTTGTATGGGCTCAGATGAAGGGCTTTGGCTATTGGCCAGCCAAGGTCTTGCAAAGAGTGGACGGCAACGTGGATGTCAGATTCTTTGGCAGTAGACACCAAAGGTATGGTTTGTTTCTCTCCCTCTCTTTATTGATAAACACTAAGATAATCTAAAAACGTATTACGTGTCTAAGGCTTTTCGAGTCTCATCTGTGTTTAATAATGTAGTGTTTATATAGCGCTTTATGCAAAAGATCTCAAAGCGCTTCACAATTATTACCCCTGTTCATCAGGGCATGAGACCATTTTTGCTACAGCAGCTTGACATCGGCGCATTCTGGTCTCTACCTTCACAGGTACCCATTTATACTCCTGGGTGGAGAGAGGCAATGGTAGTAAAGTGTCTTGCCTAAGAACACAAGCACCATGTTCCCCGTCAGGGTTTGAACCCGCGTGACACAGCACATGAGTCGCACACCGTAACCATCGACCAGGGTGCTCCAAATGTGACCAACACTGTCATATTCTATCACACAAATCACAAGGGGAAACTTACAATCTTTACCTGTTTATTTATTTATTACATTTCTTTACCCAGGGTGTGCCCAAACAGTATAAAACTGGTTTCCATTGGGGCCCTGCATACACTACTAATGTTTATACACACATGTACAAATACAATACATTACTAATACAATACACCACAATGAATTAAAATAAAAGCATACAAGATTACTGCATGATCGTAAAGTAACTATTATAAATATTATACAATATTACAAAGAAACATATACAGTTTGAAACGACACCTGTTAACTAACAAGATTCTGTTGACTTTTTACCTATTATAGAACTCGCCAAAATGTTTGCCAAAATCTTACCTTCCAATAAAAAAAAGACAAGATATTTGCATTGTGTGATGTCCATTTCTTTTTACTCTGGATATTAGAGCTTGGATTCCTGAGGAGAAGACCAGAGACATCAGCACCCATCACAGCAAACTCAGCGTCAAGGCCACCCAGGGCTGGCGCAAGGCACGTAAGGAGCTACAGACGTACCTCGGACACAACTCAAGGTACGGTTTGTAGTTTCCTCTGTCACAGTTGAACATTAACCCTAAACGCCCTGAATCCTTCAAAATCATCTTTGCCAAAGTGGAGGAATTTGGAGGATTGAGGTTACATGGCAAAAGTCTGTTACTGATTTCAAAGGATGCACTTTGTCACGGTCTTGGGCCGGACCTTTTGTTGTTTTTGCTCAGCCAGGCATAAATATAGGCCGGGATTGTACTTGAAATCCCCGTACTGCTCCAGGATGTCACTAGCCAAGCCTCAACGTATTGACAGTCACTGCCGAAGAAATTTTGCAGGATTCAGGCAGTGGTCCCCCCTCCATGGACCATATTCAAGAAATAATGGAGGAATTTGCAGGATTGAGGCTATATGCTATTTTTCCACAAGGCCAATTGGAGGATTTTGCAGGATTGAGGCTTCATCCTGGCAAAAAGGCCTAGGGAGTTAGGCTTAAAGAGGCTTAACTGGAAGTCATGGATATTTTTCCACTGTTTTAAAACAAAGTGCAGCTTGTAGGAGTAATGCATAGAGAAGGAAAGTAATTTAGGTTATCGAACATTTTGAGACTGTCGACCATTTTGTATTTTTCAGAGCCTAACAAAGGGTCAAATTTTGATTCTAAGTCAGTGAAGGACATTTGTGGATTGATTTTGTCTTTGAACTTTTACTGTTTAAGGTTTTTTCCCCAGTCGTTGCTGTGTTGAAGTCTTTGGCTTCATATCTTACTTCAGAAAAATTTGGAAACCTTTATATGGAAATACTCATAACCAAATGGAAATAGTCACATTTTGGGCCTCGTATTACATCAGTTAATTTGCCCAAAGCAGCACATGTGCCTATATTGAGCTGGAGTCCCATCGTCATTGCCCTGAAACTCTCATGAAGTGAAAAAATGGCGACAAAACCGAGGTTTGGACCCTCTCCCCAGAGTCATCTGATGTGTAATGGACCAAATTCATTTTGAAATCACATAAAAGTTGCATTCAGTCCAGTGTATCAATGTGTTATTTAAATTCCTGCTTCACAAGATACTATGCAAATTCAAATTAATCTATCGCCCTCAACATCAGGTTTTGGGTACTAGCTGATTTGTAACTTGCCGAAAAACCAAAGTAACACGTCGTGTATTATTCTGTCTTCGCAATGACGTAATAAATTTGCTGTGTGTTCAAACTCAGAAGAGCCTCAAGTAATCCCGAATTTTTAAGAGTGCCACACATGCATATTGTTTTTGGCTTGCTGCACTGGCACTCGGTTTGACATAACAAGACGAAAGGAATTTGACGTCATTGAATTTCCATGTTCAAATCTTGCCATTTTGTGCAGATCTGATAGTGAGGAATCAGAGGACACTAAGCCCAGACGCAAGCGAAGTCATGACTCCTCCAGCAAGACAGACATGGAGGATGAAGACGACATGGTGTCCAGTACCTACAGCGATGGTGGCCAGGTGAATAAAAGCAAGATCGAGTGCGATCTATAATCAACCATAGTTTGATTGACTTCACATGAACTCACTTTAGTCTGGTTGTGATATATAAAACGAGACTGAGTGGTTTCGTGATGGCCTTTTTGAATGACATTCACTCATTGACATTAGTGTGCAGGCATAAGTTAAATCACAAATCTACCACTAGACCTTATTGACAAGGAAGCCATTTTTGATGGTGTTCCCTGAATGTATTTTATAAGTTGTACATTGTTGAATGGGATGGTGCCAGACTATTTGTGCGTTCAGAGCTTTACTTTCAATTTTTTTTTTAAATGTAGCTTAAAACGTTAAGGTATTTTTAATGACAAATTATAAATTATTCATCGGTGCAGACTGGTATTAATTTGTAATTAACTTTCTTTCATTGTTTTCATTTCTATTTGTAAGTTTCAAAAATGAATATTTTACCTCGCTTTGAATGTTATATGGCTGACTCGTGAACAAAGCCTATTATGCTCAAACGCCCAACTTCCTCTGAGCTGAACCCCAGTCCCTTAACAGTATTCGCAAATGATGTTGTCTGTTGTCTGTTACATATTCCATGTGTAGTTACGCTAATGATTTGCCAACCTTTCTTTTTTTTTTCTTGGCAGGGTGAAACAAAGCAGTCAAGATTGCAGGTAAGGAAAGTTTTAGTGCTAGGTTTTACATTCAGGAATGGAAAAAAAATGGTTTTGAAATACAACATTGTTTCTTAATTTTTATAATTTGTTGGAAATATCTTTAAAAAGAAAAAACATTGTAACATTGTAACCGCTTTTGGAGTGCATTAATATTACATCTTTATTTCTGTATTGTTATGAATATTTTTAGGAGAAAACAAATTAACCAATTGATAAAGAACCAAGAAACTGCTAGTCTATACAAATCTTGAAACTCTGTATATTACGTTGACGTGTTTGCAACTCAGAAACTCACCTGACCTCGGGCTTGGACACCAGTAATTATTCCAATGTGTCTATCCGAACAAAAATACCACCGAATGATAACATTATTCGTTCTTTTACAAGGACCACTCTGTATCGACGAGTCAAGCATCGCCAGACGGGGTCGCAGATGAGAGTGCAGCTAAGAAGGTAAGATTTGCAAAACAAGTTGTAAAAATACAGAAAAGTTTTCAATAGAAAGTCTAAGTTTTAAAAGGAACAAATTTTAATAGAAAGAAAAGTCTGCCATTTGTTAATATTTAAAAGGGGGCTATCCCATTCCCATGTGTGTTCAGTGATTTTACATCAATTAAAAAAATTCAAACTTCAAATTAGATTGCAATCATTTCTTTAATGGGCAAGTGAGAAAATTAAATACTTCCCTGTATGTCTGTATGAATGAGTTAGGCCCATTCACGTCGCATTTCGTGATCTCTATCAGTTTTAAATGTAAGTTCCAATGGCCGTTCGCTTTTGGAAAGTTACATGCACCTCAAATGTTTTTCAAAGCTGACCAGTTTTGGGATTCGAACTCTGAACAGAGTGGCTGAAGGTACACTGGGAAGCGCCATTATCCAAACATAGTCATGCACACAGTGTTATTTGACTTACTAATCAGAGTTGGATTGAAACCCTGAACCAAGTAATTGGCTAGTCTGATGATCAGACACTCACGTGTGCAGAGCCACGGTCGAATGTTTTATATATCCCAACATGCAAATTGTATGTGACACTGCGCGCCAGCCAATCCGAGTCCACTTTAGAAACTGTGACGTCATTTTGATCAAAAACGTGGACTAAGCTGTTGATTGGTCAATTTGGATGTCATGTTTTTGTAATACATCAGCGGGTTACCGAAGACCTGATTTAGAGGATGCCTGCTGACTGGTCAGAATCTCGAGGTCAAGCTGTTGTGCATAATTGATTGCCGAATCTGCTCGCATATCATAGACCCTTGCTGCGCAAGGGGTTAGTCCATAGACTAGTAGTTGGCAGCATGCTGTGGTCCAATGGTTACAGTGTTCGACTCGTGTGCCGTGGTGCATGGGTTCGAATCCTGACCGTGGGAACATGGTGCTTGTGCTCTTGAGCAAGGCACTTTACCATTATTGCTCCGTCCTTCGGATGGGACGTAAAGCCGTAGGTCCCGTGTGTTGTGTAATGCACGTTAAAGAACCCAGTAACACTTATCGCTAAGAGAAGGGGTTTGCCCCGGTGTTTCTGGCAGTGGCTGCAATGTGCGCCGCAGCACCCTGTAAACCATTATAAGGTGCTACATGATGGGTCTCATATTTCTCATAAACTTTATTTACCTTTCTTTAATAATTGACATATTTTTCAGCGCCTTAGTACCTAATTGTTGGTAGATATGTGCGCTATATAAGACTCCGTTATTATTATTATTATTATTATGATCCCAACGTAACCTCTGAATTGACAGTGATCAATATATGATTCCTTTCCTGGATTCAGGAGCATTCCTCATCAACCACTCCACCATCCTCCCCCAATCCAGCTCCTCCAGAGGTTATCGCACCTCCTCCTACCAAAAAGGTAATTGAATGCAGCCAGTCTTACATGGGTGGTTTCATATTCTCTCAACTATTCCTTCGCCTTTCAGAAGAAGAAAAAACCATCAAAATGTCCTGTATGTAATTCCTTTGCCTGTAATCCTGTATGGGAAATCTCTTGGAAATTATTTGGAGAGATTCTTCACAGAAATCAATTTTTATTAGAAGATTGACGGTAACCTGAACTTTAAAGGGAAAATACAACATTTGCAAACATCAAAAAATAAAACTACCAAATCATTTTGAAATACCTTACTGGACTGTTAGTGAATGACAGTGTAAAGCATCCTGTAAAATCATGGCACCTGGTACACTGTCATTTTCAAGAAAAGTGGTATTTTTGTATCAATTTCCAACGCTGATCGGCCGATCAGCGTTGGAAACAACTGGCTTTTTTTTCAAATACTGGCCCCAATCGACCATCGCACTTGTTTGCAATCGTTTACAAACCTATGAACGGGTACGAGCCAGCTAGACTGGTTCCCTGACCTTACAATTCCCCAATGTATGTAAACTGCTCTGTTTCTTCTTATATGGAGTCAGGGAACCAGACTACAGGAAAATGATTGTTTTTCTTGGTTTTTATAGCATTTTCGAACCCAAAACCTCAAAAAAGTAAGTGTAATTATATTTGCTATATATTTCCAACCCCCCAATTCCATCCATTTCTGAAAATTACAGCAAAAGCAAATGATGTATATTCCCTTTAACATTTTACCTATCTCTTTGTTTAAATATGTGAAGACATGTGGCAGTGATATTTGGGAAAAAATGTGAATGATTGTCTCTTGAAATCACAGCAGAGAAGAAACTCCACCAGCGTTGTTGAGCACCAGGAGATGCCGCAGCTACCCAAAGTGCCAGACGGGGAGAGCACCAGCAGCGGCAGCCCCCTGCAGTGCAAGTGCCAGGAGCAATTTGATGCCAAGCTGGCGGAGAAGCTGGCCCAGCAGCAGAAGGAGCTGCAGAAGGAGCACCAGAAGGTGCTGGAGAAAGCCGTCAAGGAAGCACTGAAGAAGGTCAGTCATGTGGAGAGAATCTCTTGGGCCAATTACAGGGATCTGGGCCCGGTTTTGTGGCGCTGCAAAAGTTGTGCTTATTATAGCAGAAAGTTGTACTAACCAGGGTTCAACCTTAACTGTTTTTTTCACTAGCCAGCCGGGCTACTGAATCAGACTCTTAACAAGCCCGCAGGCATTTTCACTAACCTGCGTGTTTAAAAAAAAAAAAAAATTATAGCTCAAGTACAAAATGGCGTACTTTCAGGCTCAATTCTGGGGCAATTTTGTCACTGTTTTTAATAAACAGATCTAATAATTTAACCCTTTAAACAGTTGATAAAATTGATACAGGTTTGCTTTCTGAATTTAATGATATATTCTTCCTGTCCTTTTATCTTTGTCGTAGCCCAATAATTTTTGACTCGCCAGCCGGGCTACTTAAGGAATAGTTTGACTAGCCCGCTGCTGTTTGACTAGCATTTGGCTAGCGGGCTACTGCTAATTTCAAACCCTGCTAACCTTATGCATTGTTTCTCGGCATGGTTGTGCTAATAGTTTCACGGGTGTAGGGATTTCACAAATTTAAGTGAATTCTTACTGTGAGGTTAATATGCACTTTGCTGTGCTTCATGATTACGTATTGATTTCATGTATTCATAAAATAGACTGAATTGTAGCAGTTCAGCTAAAAACAGTCCCTGGTTTCCAGCCAAATGTTTGATGGATGTATTTTGCCTGTGACTGGTTTCCTGCTGATTTTTTTGCTGAGCTTAAAACATAATTTGCTTAATTCCGGAAGATTCCTAGTGAAAATGCTGAGGAGGTGGAAGTAAATATTAAGATGCAATGTTGTGCAGGTGGTAGTGTGATGAATGTTGCCAATGTTGATCACCGTATCGAGATGTTTCTCATTTATTGGGTGTTGTCCTTCATGGACGTACCTTCATAAGCAAGCGTTCTTGGTTATTGTCTGTTAAGACGTATGCACTCACAAGCAGGAGGTCGTGGGTTCGAGTCCCACCTGAGTAACTTATAAATTTTTCCTTGAAAAGCCATTGGACAGCACTGAGCATGCAGTGCTTAAGAAATTATGTCAATGAAAGAAAAAACCCAATATAGAATTTTCATCTGCCTGACGAAAAATTCCATCATATGACAAACGCATCACCTTCAAAGTTCTGTTGTTGGTCTACCACGCAGTCCATGGCTCCTCACCAGTCTACTTACAAAACTCAATACAGGCATACCACCCCCCACGCAGGCTTCGATCATCAGACTCCTCCCTTCTTCAAGTTCCTCGATCCCGACACTCTTGGGGTGACCACAGCTTCTCTCACGCAGGCCCCACTCTCTGGAACAGTCTACCCCTCTCTATCCGTCAAGCTCCCTCTTCGATCTCCTTCAAACAAGAACTCAAAACCTACCTGTTCACACTCTAATCTCCTCTTCGGCTTGCACCTTGCAATTCAAATGTCTTGGACCTAGCATTTATAATTTTTAGTTTGTCATTTATAATTTTGTCATTTATAAATTGTGTAGTTTGTACTTACTCTTTGGATAGCGCCATGAGTGTCACCGAGTGATGGACCTGTTTGCGCTTAATAAGATGCCACTATTATTATTATTATAATGAGTAATCGATTACAGTACTGCTGCTACATCGGATTCAAATTGGCCAACAAATGCGTATGCCAGCATGCTCAAATTTTACATCTCGCCTCTGCAAAAATGTCTTTACAAAATCACGAGTGAAGGTGTTCCTTGTTCCATTTTTGTAGGCCAAGGAGGAGTTCAAGGCAGAGAAGGAGAAGGCCCTGGCCCATGCCAAGGAAAGCGCCAAGATGGAACTGGATACGGAGCGTAAGGAGGCAGCGGAGAGGGCCCAGCAAGACAAGGATGAGGAGCTGGAGAAACTCAAGACCAAACACAAGGAGGAGATCTCCTTCACTAAGAAGAGACAGTGGGTGAGTCAATGAGCAGCAGTTACTAAGAGAAACCGGGGGCAATTTGCAACACAAAGCCAACATTACTTGCCATTTCATAAGACAGAGTGTTTGAGTAGAGTTAAAACAAAGACAGCGAAAGAATGTATCTGCATGTACTTGTGTACAAGCATTACATTCACTGTGTGGACTTCCGAACAAAAGAGGTCCACATAAACCAGGTAGCAGCGACGTTGTGTGGACTTTCCCACGTCCACACAGTGTTTCCCGCTCTCTGGAAAACAGGTTTAGAGGCATTTTTGGGTTAGGTTTATCCGTGGCAAAATGAAGAGAAACACTAAAGGGAATCATAGAAAAAATCTGGGTTGAAAGAGTTTTCACATACACGAAAACAAAGGAATGTCCTCACTAAGTATGTAACGTAAACTTGTGCGGTTTGCCAGATGAAAGTGTCACATGAATGTATTTTGGGTTGATTGATCATGGACTAATAGAAGGATTGTTTCAGGATTTTCATGTTGTTTGTGTGTGCTTAAATCACCACTTGGATTATGTTAAACGGATGCTTATAACGCACGTGCAGCAAATGCATGCATACTGGCCCCTGGTTTCTTCCATAAATATTCATTTTAGTCGCACGATGCCCAATACTTGGGCATCGTAATTGCACATTTTGCGTTAAAACTTTGCATACGCTTTGTGTATGCAAAGAGACAGTGGGTGTCGCGCAAAAAAATCAAAACCTTTCGGTCCAAAAGTCAAAACAAGTCAAAAAGTATAAATTTTCAAAGATTTCGATCAACAAAACACCCCTCTGGCTATACAATGGTAAGGCCCTCTGGTAAACAACTCCTTATATGGAGATTGACGCATGTGTCGCGCATACCGCATGATGTGGTGCACAACGCAGATGTACTGGTGTATTGCGAATTTAGAGCTATGAAATACTGACTCACAGGTAGTATTGCGCATGCCTATGTGATGATCGTGAACGTTTAACCAATTAGTCTCTCTCAAATGACGTCATTTTCTACAGACAAGCCACGTGTATTGGCATTTTGAGCGTCAACTTGCATAACGCGCATTGGCTGCGTCGTATTTGGAACACATTTCGAGCAACTAGCACGCATTTGGAACATTTTCAAGACTACGCAATGTGTACTTGATTGCGTAAAATAAACAGTTGCAGTTCTCCTACAGAGATGGCCGTCTTTGAGAGAGACCTATAAAACGGTGCTGGCATCGGATTTCACAGGAGTCAAAATTTCATGTGACACAGCCAGCCATGTCTTTATCAACCGTTTAAAACCGGCCATGTGACAGGCTCTCAACCAATACGAATGGGTAAACTGTCTTCCATATTTATGAATGGAGGTTCCATGGTGAGAGTCCCTCATGGACAAACATGCAAATAATTCACCATCTGTGTTCTGCTTATTTTTGTGTGTGCAGTGCATCAACTGTGAGCAGGAGGCCATGTATCACTGCTGTTGGAACACCTCCTACTGCAGCATCAGCTGCCAACAGTCCCACTGGCACAAAGAACACAAGCGCCTTTGCCGACGTAAACGATGATTGGCCCTGCCCCTGCAAAGGTCATGCAACGGGTCATCACACAAGGTCAGGTCTTGAAAAAAAACCAACACACATTGCATAAGTTGTTGTAAAATATTGTAAATATTGAACTTAGCAAGACTTTTTAAAGAAGATACTCTGTTTTGTCGTTTTGGCTTCTCTCTGTAGGTCCTTTCCTTCAGACGCGTCTAGGTTGTAAATAATAAAGTTTGTGGTAGAAAAGTCATGAGCTGTGTTCGCATTGGACTTAATTTTGTAAAAAATGTTACTGCGAGTGATTGTTAACATTCCGTTGTGGTTATTTACTGTGCGTCGCACTTGGGCAAATTTTGGACTGCGGACAGTCATTCATTAAGTAAAACTAGCGATGTAATTCTTCTGCGACCCAGTTGGTCCTCTAAAACTTACCACTGCGAACCTTAACTTGCAATCGACAGTCAACACTTGACAATTTACCGGCTGTCTGCATTGGACTTCAATTTTTATCAAGTTGACAACAGTTTTGGTAAAGTTGACAACAGTTTTGGTAAAGTTGACAACAGTTTTGGTAAAGTTGACAACAGTTTCGGTAAAGTTGACAACAGTTTCGGTAAAGTTGACAACAATCTCTGTTAGTTTTACCCCAAACCAAGTCCAATGCGAACACGGCTATAGAGACAGGTTTTCAGTGGGAATATGCTAGTAACTTAGACAAACTTTTTTATTTGTACAAAGTTTAAGTTATTTACTTTGAAAAGGAAATTTTTCCTTTTTGTTTTCCAGAGAGCCTATGGAATTAAACATTTGAAAAGATAAAACAGGTTTATGAGAAAAAACGAGCTTATAACACTCTCAAAACTATACAAGTGGATATTGTTGATGAAGCCACTTTAAACAGAACTTCTGAAATCTAGGTTTTTTTTGTTTCCAAGTTGGTACAGCTTAAAAGCTTATGTAGGAGGAGAAAACTCTGATCTTATTAGAAAAGGGAAAAGTGTTGGACAGCTTTTTGCCATTCAAATCTTGTTTTTGTATTTGGTGTCTCTTTTGTAGATTTTAAAACATCTCATTTTAAACTGTGTGAATGAATAATGGTGTAAATATTTTGGGCTTAATTAAAGGGCGTAATCTGAAAATTTGCTGACGTAAATGATCTATAATTGAATATGAAATTCTCAACTTGTCACACTTATTGAAGTTCTGGTGCATTTTCTTGGGTTTTTGCAGCTCAAGAGTTGGCGTGACCTAGGATAGAATGTTGTGCGTTGAGTGTGATAGATTTTAATGAAGATGTAAATTGGCCTTCACGAAGTTATTCTAATGCTCACAGTAGGTGTACAAGTTGTGCATTAGTTTAAAGAGTGTCTTGGGTTCAGCTGGGGCCAAATGCATAAAGCTGCTAAGCACACAGATTTGCTTAGCATGAAAAGTCTGCTTTGGCAAAAACAGGATTACCAACCAAATTTCCATGTGATGTGTATTGCTTGTGATTGGTATTCGGCTGTTGTAGGCATAGCATGAAAATCACATGGAGTTTTTGGCTGGTAACCTGCTTTTACTAAGCCAGACTTTTTTTTTGGCTAAGCATATTTTTGTGTTGAAGCAGCTGCATGAAGTTGGCCCCAGATCAATAATCTCTTGATGCTGACTGGATAGTGCATGCCCCATATGCCGTACACTTAGTTGTGTGGCTTTTCAACCAGTTCGCACCCGGTCTTCTCAATATGGCTGATATACAGAAGTTGTACACCGACTGTACAGCTTGCACTTATCAAGACTTTTTGTTTTTGATTATATTTACAAACATCGTAAAAAGTGAATTGCAACGTTTTTTTTTAAAGTGAACCACGCCATTTGAAAACCTGTGAACGACGGCGAACAAAAGATGAACCATAATGTTAGAAAAGTGAATCAATGTTTGGAAACAGTTTCAAGACGGAGAGTTGTCCTTATCAGAACATCGACTCGGTCTCCCCAACATGGCGTCAGTTGACTTCGACTTTTGATTGCTTTCATGCACTATCCAGTCATTGATTTTACTGGTTAAGGATTAGTCTAAGAAGCTGTGTGTTTGATTCTGGCACTGAGCTTACACAAATTATTAAGTGTTATTCCACCCAACAGATTGTCAGTTTCACAAATAATGTGACCAAAGTTTCATTTTTTTACAGGGTTGTCAAGGTACTTCTATTCAAACAGTGTTTAGTTTATTGTTTTGCCGAATTTAAATGAGGCCAGCCTATGATGACTATAGATGGCCAAGGTGTAAAATATTTTTTGTTTGTTTGCAGTTGGCTCTTTTTATTTATTAATGTGACGACAATTGTACTGAATCAGAAGAGTGTATGATACACGGACGTGCATCATTTGAAAAGCGTTTCTGATTTTGAGTTTTAGGATGTGTAAAGGTCGACGTATGTCATAGCTGAAATGTTTCTGTGTTTCCTGTGTGAAGGGTAGCATGTAATGTACATGTACAGTACAGAATTTGTAAAGTTTTGTTGATTGAATATTTAGTGAACGAAATAATGTCTGACAGCGAGTGAAGTAATGTCATTTATCTGCGTTTGAGGGAATGTGGTTAGGCCAAAAAAAAAAGTCTCCGGTTTCTGGTATAGAGCTTGCCAAAAAAGTGGTGCGGCAACACAGCTTTTTTTTTTTTTTTTAACCTTTTTTTTTGCTTCAAATGTCGGCTGATGACTGCAAATGGTGCCCGACTGAACTTATTGCAAATATTATGGGAGACCAGAGAGGCCACATAAAGCTTATTCTCGATCATAACCCCATCTGAAAACACGTTATAAAATTGTGCATCAGCAGGATTCCAGTCAAACCAGTGAGTTTGGCGGTTTTGAGACATCATCTTTCATTGAAAAACAAACGTTTTTATTTTGCCGACGCGCATGGCTACGGCGACGCGCGCGCATACCAGAAACCGGAGACTTTTTTTTTTGGCGTTAACTACTTGCGAGTAATTTCTTTGCGAGTATTCAAGTTGACAAGTCCATTACTCGCCCAGGACTAGTGTTAATGTCATTTTCATGCATTTGTGGGAATTTGGTTAACTACTCGCAAGTACTCCACTACTCCAGAGTAATTTCTTCGCAAGTACTTGGGTTGCAAATTCACTCCCTGCCAAGGACTAGAATGAACTATGCTGAGAAGTATACATGTACATGTAGTAAAGTGTGTAAAAAATATTGTTTATTATGTTTTAGAGGACCAAAAGCAGTCATATAGGTGCTGATCATGGGTGGGTAATGTATTCATCCAGAAGTAACAGGACTGGAATTCATCTTGACTGGCTTCCAGCATTGTAAAGAGTGACTTCCATTAAAAAAAAGACGGATATTTGAATTTGTTCTCTATTCATGTTCCTAGCACTATACATGTAGTTCATGCACTGATAGAGCTCACTGGCCTCTGTACTAACTGGAATTGCTGCTACACACTAAATGGTTGATGCAACTTGAAGCAACTGATCTGCCATCTTGGATCCCCCAAAACCCAGGCAGGGACATACTACGTGTCAAAAAACTGTCCTACTCATGATCCTACATAACTCTGTTGTTTACCAATGGAATTAAACCAAATTTTCATATCATGTAAACAAGGCATGACAGATGTTATCGAGTGAGTTTCATTAGCTTGGTGCTAAGAGGGTTTTATTTAAATGGCACATGAAAACAATACTCACTTTCAGAATCTGCCACTTTCGACTTAGCGTCCTCCTGTGTTGATACAGCGCTGTAGATGGTGGCGGAAGGCGGGTGCTGCGGCCAAAAGCTTCTAAAGGAATGCAGGATCACCCCTGATGTCATTGCACATCTCCCCAATCATTTGGCACACCACCTGATCAAGGAGGTGTGCAATGACATCAGGGGTGATCCTGCATTCCTTCAGAAGCTTGCAGGCGCAGCACGTGCCTCACCGTCTCCAGCGCTGTATCAACATTCTGAAAGCGAGTATTTTTTCATATGACCCTTTTAAATCTGACCCTCTTAAATCTGACCCTCTTAAATCTGACCCTCTTGCACAAAGCTGATGAAATGAATAAAATCCATAAAATTTGTCATGCCATGTTTACATGATCTGAATTTTTTTTTTATGACATGTTTTTTTTTTTGACACGTAGTACATGTACATCATTCTGCAGTTGAGGTGTGTTTTTTTTTCCATTTATAACAGCAATTCCCCAATTATTATCTGGATATTGGCCTCTGGCCACTGGAAGGTCCTAGGGATAGGATTGTTTTATCTCAATTATTGACTAGTAACTGTGAACATTTCATGTTATTTGCGTACTGTGTGCACAAGTTATGTCTGTTTTTGGAAGGATTTCCATATACGAAGTTCACTCAACACCCCGTGTACAAAATTGGACTGAAAAATTCTAAGTGTTTTCTAAGAAAATGCTTGTATTTTCTCACTGCTCAAAATGACTTTGATGACATGAAATTGCCATCTGGGGGCTTGTTAGTCAATACAGAGGAAAATTAGTGAACTTCGTATATGGAAATCTTTCCCTGTTTTTATACAAACATCACAATTTTTAGCTGTCCACCAATGGTCATGTACTATTCAAATACAATGAAACAAGGGCATTTTCCTTGAAAATCACCATTATTTCAGACAAAAATCACCATCTAATTTGTATTTGAATGCCTGTGAAATCTCTGGTTCTCAGCTCAACAGCTGTAAAAATGGATAGTTTTAGTAAAATATGCTTAACTTCCCATAGCATGGATCACCGTCAGTAATTCCTTTTTTCAAACCTGGAAAAACATGCTCATTTCATTCGTTGGCGTGTCAAATTTAATTGCATTTTAAGGGGGAAAAAATAATTAATCCAGGTCACTTTCTTTTTGACTTACCCTGTAGAGAATTTTTCTTGCGAATGGATTTGATTCGCAGAAATTTAAGTTTTGAGATAGATGTAAATGTACAGTTAAAACATCCGAGTGTACAGACATAAAAATGATTACTTGCAAATTAATGTTTTAAACTATTAATATTTTCTGGGCATTACTTGTATTTTGTTTCATAAAATCCCAACAATTGTGTGAACAATTGAAGCGCCCTCTACTGGTGCATTTGAGAGATGGCCTCACATGCAAGTGAATACAAGGTGCATCTTGCCTTCAGTGCAGATCACATACAAATGCTATAGGAACAAAGTTTTGAACCTGATCATTGATGAGTCAGCATCAGTTCATGTTTAACCCTCCTTTGCAAATATACTTTCTGTGCCAAGTACATGTAGTCCTTTCAGTCAAAATCAAGTGACTGTTTTCAATAGTTACGAATTCCCAGCCTACGTAAAGCAGGATTGACTGGCTGGGACTGTTTAAGTAACTTGATACAGCTATGCTTTGACTCGGGGTGAGTGATGAAACAGCTGTGACCACAACTTGCCTGCTTTGTCTGTCGACCCAGTTTGACTAGTCACAGTGCTTGCTTGACATATGATCTGACTGCTGGTGACTAGCCTTTGTTAAAAGTATAGCAGGGGAAGTGGAAGTGAACTTTGACTGACTGTGACTGTTTAAATAGCAGTGGGGTTAATTGAATTAGTTCTAGGCGAAGCATTCTATTGTTTGCTTTTTTCTTCATTACTTTGTGCTTGCTTCTACTAATTAATCCTCAATTTGTTTATAGACCAAATACTCTTGAGAAAGATAAATTTCACTAAAGGTAAATTAATAAGTACAGTAAATGGATATTGGTATTGGTACTTTTGTAAACTTTAATAGCCATATACATTATTTACAAAACAAACTTAGCAAATCTGTTTCACAAATCTAACAAACGGAATGGGGCGGTTATTAAAGTTTATGTTTTCTTCCCATTTTCTCTCTTCAAGAGATGAACAAGTCTTCTGTTAGAAAATCTGCCAAAGAATAGAAAGCAGCCATTTTGTTTAAAACGCTTTTCATTTCTTCCAAAATCAATGCCTGATTGTGATTTGTGTATACATGTGTAAGGATTCTCAGTATTTTTCTTTTGAAACAACTATTATGAAACACTTGTTCGGTTTCTTGGGCCAGCTGTGAATTTAGTGTATAGTATTGTTTTTATAAAGATGGTACTTCTCCAGCAACTGAAGAGTTTGTTTTGTGCTTAAATGCTTAAATGAACATTTTTGATGATAATGCCCCTAAATGTACATGGATGTATAACTTGGCTTCCATGGAAAAAAAAAATTGTACTGGTCACTCGCGAAAGTTGTATACAAAAATAATATTACGAAGAGCGCCTTAAAAATAAAAATGACTGATCATATAGTTCATATAAAAAAGTCTATTCCACGCAATTGGAAAGCGTGTAAAAAACCAATGGGAGCTATTGCAAAAAGGAGGAACAATAGGAAAAATTCAATTCATACAAACACACCCACTAACATTATGTACCACTGTGGACATTCCTTTGCTTTTGCAAGAAAAAAAGTAATTTTACTCTCACTATGAACACTCTTTCAACCTGAATTTTCAATTTCCTTGACTGTTCCCCTTCATTTTGCGACAGATAACCCTAACCCCAAAATTCCTCTAAAACTGAGGGGGAAACCTTGTGTGGACATGGGCAAGGCCACAAAACATTCAAGCTTCCTGTACCACATCTATGTGGATCGCTTTTGTCCACAGAGAGTATGCAATTTTAGAGCAAGAGTTTTTTTTTTACTATACTTATGAGGACCCCTTATTGTTCCCTTCTTTTGTTCCTATTGTTTGTACTCTAATCTTTTCTCGACATCTCCCATAAGGTTTGTACACGAAAACCTTTGGTTATTATCACCACAGGAGAACCCATTGCCCCAAGTCCTCAGAAGTAAAAGATAACACGATCTAAAATATATGGGTAAATCTTTATTTTAGTTTTGTGCGCTTGGAGACCACTTTTATTAAGCTTACCTTGTCTCGTGTAAGGTAGGAATACAGGTCAACCAACTCTCAAACAATGCTAGTAGAAAATAATAGAAATGATTCCAGATACATTTTGTTTACTTGGTCAGTAAACCTCCTGTGCATCCATTGCTACAGTAATAAATTAAGAAAGAACACTCACTGAGATACAATGTACCTACAATGCATAAGGTCTATAGATATAACCAAATATAAAAATGTCTTAGTGAGTACATAAACACAGCAACAGCAGAAAGTCCACACTCATTGGAGGGTTCATAATTGTGAATTTGATCGTCTAATGATGACGTCATAAGACCTTTGGGGAATTTGTTTGCTACCAAAGACTGTAAATCGTCCGAGTCCAAGATTGACAACAGTTTTGAAAACTAACACAGTTTGAAAAGTTGCAAATTTAAAGACTACACGAGGAGAAATTGCTAAGTGCAAACACACATGCCCGTAATTGGCCCCTATCGACTGCACAGTGCCCAAACAAAGCGCAGGTAATTCAATTTCGCGTGCTCCCATGCATACAAGCACTGTGCGTTCAATATTTCCTGCCGTTTGTTTCAGGCAGTGTTGCATTGTCACGCAGTATTTTCCACTCGCATACTCTGCAACTTTTCCAACTGCATCATTTTTCACAAACCGTTGCCAATCTTGGACGATTTACAGTCATTGGTAGCAAACAGGGTATCAAAATGTAAACATTTCCCAAAGGTCTGTAAAAAATAAGTTATCATGAAATTATCAAATTCAACATTATGACCCACCCAATGAGTGTGTTTACATGTAGGTGTACAAGTACAGGGTGAGTCAAAAAGAAAGTGACCGAATTAGAAAAAAAAATGTTTGGCTCCCTCTATTTCATAATAAAAACCCATAGGGATAAAGAACATGTTTTTGACTAGTAACTGTGAATTTTTCACTGAATTTCCCAAGTTATGACTATTTTAATGAAAATATCACAAAATGCAGCTGTCCAACACTGATCATTGCCTATAAAATACAATGAAACAAACGTTTTCCCACCATTAATGAACAAAAACTTGCGAAGAAACAGACAAAAATCACCATTAGTATTTCAGAAAAAAAAGTGGACTTGTTTCTAATATTCGAAACACAAAATCTGACAGTAAAAATAATGTTTCAGGCAGCTGTAAACTTTTAGTAAAACATGCATAACTTCTGATTGCATGGATCAATTTCACTAATTTTTTTTCAGATCAGAGTAAGAACATGTTCTTTTCAGACATACTTCATTCATGTATCAAATGTGATTGCTTTTCAATAAAAAAACACAATTAAGGCCAAAAAAAAAAGTCTCCGGTTTCTGGTATGGAGCTTGCCCCAAAGGTGGTGCGGCGACGCGGCTTTTTTTTTTTTTTTTGTTTTTTTTTTTTTTTTTTGCTTCAAATGTCGGCTGATGACTGCAAATGGTGCCCGACTAAACTTAGTGCAAATATATGGGAGTCCAGAGAGGCCACATAAAGCTTATTCTCAATCATAACCCCATCTAAAAACACGTTAAAATTGTGCAGCAGCAGGATTCCAGTCAAACCAGTGAGTTTGGCGGTTTTGAGACATCATCTTGTATTGAAAAAAAAACTTTTTCATTTTGCCGACGCGCATGGCTACGGCGACGTGCGCGCATACCAGAAACCGGAGACTTTTTTTTTTGGGCCTAATCCAGGACACGATCTTTTTGACTCACCCTGTACATACACTCAACCAAAAAAGAAAGTCTGCCCCCCCTTCCAATACTTTTTTTGTCTTACTCAAAAACTACTGAGCACCTCTCGCTCAAATAACAACTAATCAATACATACTTTCTATTTGGCCCAAAACAGTGATAATGTGTACCAATTTATGCAATTTATGACAAATGATACCGAAAACAGTTGCACTTCTGTATACGTGCAAGTTGTGGTTCACACTCGCCTTGCACGCATACAAAAGTGCAACTTTCTTTTTCAGTACCATTTGTCATAGATTGCATAGTTTTGTACACATTATCACTGTTTTGGGCCAAACAAAGAGTATGGCTGGATTGCTAAGGAATTTCTGTACTGATCAATCGTAGTTTGTGCAGTAGTTTTTGAGTTAGACAAAAAAGTACTGAGGGGGACTTTCTCTTTCGGTTGACTTTCTCTTTCGGTTGAGTGTATATCCAAATACAAAAATGTCTAAGTGAGTTCATTTGTACATACATGTAAACAGGTACAGCACATGTGTTTAAAAAGGATTCTGGAAAAAAATAAAATAAATTACATAATGTTTTCTTGAACATTTGACACCAGTCAAAGTTGTTTCCTGGGCACGTGGGTCATTCTATAAATTTAGGGTTCAAAGCGTGACATTTTCCCCATCTCTGTTACGGTGGTCATTTGTGATTTGCCATTGAAGTATTATTAAGAATGACTGCAAACAATTTTGTATTTGTTGGGTATGTAGTTTTCTTTTCATAATCACTCTTGCAGGACAACCTCATTAAGGAGCACATCCAGAATTATCAAATCAAAGATGTCAGATGTAACAGACGGGGGGAAAAAGTGGACCTAAAATTTATAGAATGACCAATACATAAAACAAAAACAATTATGAACATTACAAATGAAACTCTTGTTTTGTTCTTATTTTACTATTTAAAATTTGTGTTATTGGTTAGAACTCAAGGTCTTGTTTTTTAAGGTCTTGTTTTTTAAAGTCTTCTTTTGGTTACTTCATGGGACAAGTTAATAAAACATTGGGAAAAAAATTACTGCTGTGAAAGTTCTTTACTTTCAGATTTAGGAACACATATTTCAGAGGAAATGGTGCTGCACATTCGTGTGGAATTTTTTATTTGAATTAAATGCACAAGTTAACTGTATTTATCCTTGTGGAGCAAAATGAAAAGCTGAAAGGTGGAGTATATCATTTGTCATTTGCACATTTCTTTCATTTGAAGCAACAAAAGTGCTGAAAATCTAAAGAAGAGTGCTTTACAACTCTGACTGATGAAGTTTGAGCTCAGTGAATGCTGTACACATGTATATTCCGAGAAAACAATATTCTAAGATCTCCATTTCAATACGCATGTGCCTTGTGTCAACACTTGACGCACCCATTCAAGGCTTCACCGAACTAAAAACAAACTACTAACGGAAAATTCCAAAAATGTGTCTTTCCACAAAAGGTATGCAGACGAATGTTTTAATCATCAACAGAAATATGTTTGAACCAGAGTTGTAATGACTTGAGTGAATGACTCGACTTGAGTCCGATTGAGTCACAATTTTTGGTGACTTGACTCAAGTCCCAAAGGGCAAATGACTCCACTCAACTCGAGTCACTAGACTTGAGGAAGGCTAATAATACTTGAGTCCCAAAAATAAAAACAAACCTTTGCGAAAAATATTTGCAGTGACTTACGCCGTTGCCTGTTTTTGTTCACGTCACATAAGAATGTTCGCAAAAAATTTATACATATACATATGTGGTTTGATCAGTGTCGCCATTAGTTGAATGGCGATCAGCTGGCACCCCCTTTTTTTCATTAAGAGTCAAATGTGGTGTCACCACATGAAGTAGCCCGAATATAACATAAAAAAGCCAAAAAATGACTTTCTCTCTTGTGTTTATTTATTGTATAGTGTTGCAATATCTGTGACTCGAATTGACTTCAGCTAAATTCTTGACTTTACTCGACTACGTGCTGTGGCTCAACTCGACTCGACTTTCTTGACCTAATGACTCAACTCGACTCGAGTCACTTCTTTAAAATGACTCGACTCGAGTCACAAAAATCAGTGACTCGTTACAACTCTGGTTTAAACCTCAGAATGATTCATATGCAACTTGAAAATGTTTTTTGTGTATTTATATTAAGTTTCAAAATGTTTTGCCATTTTCAACCATTTTGAATCATTCAAAAAAAGGAAATTACAGCATGATGAGACAGCTGTGAACAGGATTGGTATTAGCTGTACGAGTCTTACTACCTCTGCCAAGGAGGTTGTTTTCATCGGCTTTGGTTTGTTTGTTTGTTGGTTGGTTTGTCTGTGAACAGGATAAATCAAAAAGTTATGGACGGACTTTCATTAAATTTGTTTTGGTGGGGGGTCCTTGGTACTGTACAAAGTACAAATCGATGAGATTTTGGAAGTGATCCGGATCTGGGTGCAGGATTTTTTTTAAGGATTCTTCACCACATATGAAAAACTTTGACTCCATTTCGAGCAGAAAAGATTGCTACTCTGTGTACGTGTGTGGGTAATGCAGCGTGCACACATTCTGGAATTTGTATTCTTGTGGAGACATTTCTTTGTTCTCGTGTAGTAAAGTTTTCGAGTTTGAAATTGAAGTTTCAAAATGCTCTTATTTTAACCAGAATTAATTTCCTGGGCTGAAATTTGGACTAAATATCCCTTTTCTAAAACTCTTCCATGTGCGACGGATCAACCTACCTTGGAAATTCCTAGTTTTTGAGTAAAATCCATATATCTATTTCGTGAAATTCTTGTGGAGACGTATTCATCTATAGAAATGTTCTTGTGGAGACGTGTACAATCTTGTGTTCCCTATTTTGTGCATGTCTCCGTAAGGTAGTAAATTCCAGCACAGTCTATGGGCGCATATGGCACACACCATTGAAACCAACAGGTCAACGGACTGAACCATTTGACACTATGGATAGTGGGGAATGTGCAATAAAAGATGGAAGTCACTTGGATATGCCAGTATTCCATTGGGTGTACCGACAATATGGCAGGAAATTATTCAGCCTTGGAGGAGGTTTGCGCTCTGAGTGCTTTCTAGTTCCTGATATTGCCGTTAATTTTGTTTTCATCTTTGGCAATTCGACCACTTCTTGACCTATACTACTTATTTCAAATTGTCAATACACAAGACATTTCAAGTCACAAGGGCAGTAATTAAGTATGTGACACTTGTTGTTTGCACAGTAATAAACATGAAGTAATGACCTTCCTTTGTTTTATTTATGGGCATTTTTGCCTCGCACCTCTCGTTTTCGCTCCAATCCCACCCCCACGCATTTTCAATTTCACGTTGGACCTTGGTGACCTCATGCCACCTTCTGGCATCTCTCCCTGCTCTCTCGGTGGTGACCTTTGATCTTCAGGTGGTGACCTGTGACCCCTAGATGACGACCTTTTACCTCTGACCCCTGATGCTGAACCCCGGCCTCTTACCGAGGCAGATCGCAGACCTCTCGGTGACGAAATTGAGCTTTGCCCTAGGTCTTGCTTGGGTGACCCGTGATCTCCAGATGGTGATGGATACTGATGGGACCTGGTTTGTAAGCCTGCATCACTGCTGTCAACTGTTTTGTTTGCTTTGGCCAACTTTTCTTTTGAAGTTTCTGCCTCTGTCTTCCCAGACCCTCTGAGCCTTTTCTTTGGGGTGAGGTCTTCTGAAGCATCTCCCTTCTGACTGGCCGAAGTGTCTGACCTAGTTCTTCTCCTTTTTCGGGGTGTTTCTTGAGGATGTTTCTCAGAGGCATCCAAGGGAGGTGATGCCTTGGTTGTGGTTTTACGAGGGGTACCCTGTTTTTGGGAAGCTTTTCTGGAAGCTGTTGCTTTCTTTTTCGGAGACACGGAAGCAGGACTTGGTTTCTGTCTCGGCTCATTTGCTGACCTTTTTTGCTTCTTGGCTGGTTTGGTAACCCCCTTCTTTTGTGTCCCACTACTACGTGACGATCCTGCAGCTTTTCTAACACAGCTCGACTTAGTTGACGTTGACGCTTCAGGATTGTCATTGCTGGATCTTTTCCCTCCTTTGCGCGGCTTCTTTGGTGACGGCTCTGTCGCGTCCTCTCCCAGGTAAATCTCTGCTCTAATGGTTTTGATCTTTTTCACCTTTTGGCTGGCCTCCTTGTAAGCCAGTGCACGTCTTTTCGAGCTCAGTTGGGTCAACGTTTCTTTGTCCGTGCCCAAATCCTTAGGTTTTGATCCTTGACGATGTTTGCCCTTTGTGAACTTTGACTTCGGTGCTGGAGGATCAGGGCTGGCGGGAAGCTGCCCTGTTTGTCGGCGGTGACGTCGCGATCTTGAGGGCTTTAAAATAAAATTTAAATTAAAAAAAAAAAAGTGTGGCTGATAATATATGAACTTTTATATGTCAACAAAAATTGGAAATTGTAATGAAAATGGTTTCTAAACTTGTATGTGTCAGTATTAAGTCAAGGCAATTCAATACCTCTGTTGAAATTCAATTCAACTTGAAGAGTTTATCACATACAACTGTTCCGTCAAGAATAATTAGCCATTAGGCTTTTTCTCCACTCAATTTTCATTTCGTAACTTCTGGGTGAAGACGGAAGCGACACTGGGCACATATTTACCTTTGCAGCTGTAGAGTAGGAGCGAGCTTTGATCTGGGATATTTTTGAGCCCCTATCTTCAGTTTCTTCTGAATCAGTGGCATCCGTAGTTTGATGCACTTCACGGCCGGCCTCGAAATCTGCTTCCAGCTTCTCAAACCTGCAATAAAGAGACAAAAACAGTTTAATAAAAGAAATTTTGCACAAAGGCAGGGCAAATATTGAAGCTCTGCTGAAAATGTAAATCATGAAACTTTTTTGTAAAATAAAAAGGCCCTTTATCGTGACCCAGCTTAGAAACAACGTTGTATATTACATGTAACACCCGCCATTTTTTTTTTTGGGGGGGGGACTTTGAACATATTTTCTGTCCTGACCCACATTAAAAGCACTAGTTTCTTGTTTTGCAAAGATATTTGCTTCGGTGGGCATTTGACGATTGCCTTATTGTGAACAGACTGGACATTTGTCACAAAATGTCTGTCCTTGTTCGTACATAACAATGATCACATCATAACTTTGAAGCCAGTGCAAAAACTGTAATATTTTCGCTTGATAGCAATGTAAATGGGTTGATAATGTCAAATGAAAAAGCCTATAAGAAACTGAATTTGTCCTAAGCACCCTTTTCCTTGCAGTGTGTCTGTCCATGTTACGTAGGTATAACACAGAAAAAAGACCCGTTATTTTCTCAAATATTTATTTATTTTTCATCTCTTGTATTATCTTGTCCTAGTCACTTTCAACTTAGCAAGGTATAGGAAAAAACTAAAGAAAACACTAACTCATCTTTAACCCTTTATATGCAATATACTTATCTAATTTGCCCATTAGTGTGGGCATTCCCGAATTGTGAGCAGCCCCCCCCCCTCCAAATCCTGGGTGCGCCGCTGCTTGCAGCTTCCGGACTAAAACACTTCATCACACAATATAGTGACGATCTACTTGTATTTTGTTTACTGGATCAGTGGTAGAGTCAGCATGCCCCTTACACGTTAAAGAGAGCCAGACGAGACAGTTGGAACAAGGTCAATCATACCTCTTGACGATATATTCTGTGATGGATTCCCGCACCACCATCAAGGAGGTGTTGTCATGGAGACCAAGATTCACTTTCATCTTTTGGTACTGCTCATGTAGCCCATGGTGAACCTGAACAGTAAACAATATGAAACAGTTGAATAGTTTATCAAAATCTGCCAAAATTAATCTTGTCAGTGACCCCGGAGTAATGCAATTCCCACTTTTCCAATTACGGTGTATTTCTGGAACTACCCCAAATGGCCAACCTATCATCCTCTAACTGACTTAACCACTGACTGATTAACCGACTGATAAAGCCATCAAGTCTTAATAATGTTCTAAACTGAGTCTTTCAGGACCAGCTGGACTAAACACGCCTAATACTGTTTATAGGCCTATCAGAAAAACAAGTTTAATTGGGAGTACATTTTTCAAATTCAAGAATTTCTGATGCATATGTCAAAGTGCAAATATGTTGGTTGTGCTGTGTGCCTCTGTAATGGGCGGGCAGTTATGTGTAAATTGTGTATTTGCCTTTCTTAAAGCTATAGTCCATCATTTGCAGCCATCCGAAAAGTAACTGGCGTAATTATTGTTGAAAAACATACTTGGTTGAAAGATAGTAAGTGGACCAAACTCCCTGTGAAATTATTCTTTTCTGGGAAGCTGTCATTTTGAAGTAATCAATGAAAGAAGGCCTTTCCAATGGTGCGTCTTAAGACGCACTGTAGGAAAATTTAAATTAGTAGTTTGTTTTGTTTTCCGCGAAGCGCACGCAAGCATTGGCACGACGCAAACACGCGTGCGGTTGCTATAATTCGTCGGATCAGTGCGCGACGTCGCGTATAGCTGCAATTCAAAACATGATTCAGTAACTTTTGATTTGAAATTGATCTCCTAGAATGCTGTTTTTCTCGGAATATACAGCTGAAGCTTAGCTGAAACTTCATCAGGTTAGTTGTTCAGTATCCTTTATTAGATTTTGAACACTTTTGTTGCTTCAAACGAACAAAATGCACAAATTACAAATGATGGACTATATCTTTAAATTATGCATCAACACAGAGTTCATTGTTAAGATGACTGACGTCTAAACTGAATTCTGACTGAATGCAGTACGCTTTTGATCATACATGTGTGTAGCTTTTTTTTGTCATGAGGCTTTTTTTTGTCATGAAGCCGCATGTTAAAAATATGGTATTTAAGTTCCAATACACTCTAAAACAAACACTGCCAAAGGTTTTTGATAGAATGATATGAGTATGCAAGTGTATTCGAATTTCAGAAATACTTGACAGCCAACACTAAAATATTACGATTTTCTTTTAAAAATGTTGAAATGTATGCCAGAAAAAATACTTTTGGGCCCAGGCCCCAGGTTTTTATTGGTTATTAAAAAAAAACCCTTGAAATATATAAGGCGCCCAAGTTGAACTCTATGTTTTATAGGTTTTAAGGTTTTCTCTACGAGGCATACATTTAGATTATTGACACTGTGATCTTGGCACTGCAAGATGATCAAAGACAAAGTCATACATGTACATGCATGTTGGCAGTGCATATGTGATGCACGTTTGAAACTCATCATTTCTTATTCATTTTCTATGTTAACAATAAAATGGCAAGTTCAAACATGTTGAAAGACTGCCGTAATTTAGAGACAATTCTCAGGCACTAAAAAGCTGTTTTGAACACCCTGATTTCCTGGAAATGGAATGCTCATCTGGGTGTGTTTGTTATTTTCCTGTGACAATATACATACATGTACACCTCACTTGATATGCCAACCTATTCTGTTGTCCTTGAACTGACTGTGCTTGCGTGCTTCAAATTATGGTCCCAAGGTCTCTCCACAAAGTGAAAGTTGAGCCAAACTACACCACCTACACTTCAGACTCACAAAAGTGCAGAGAGCCCCAAAACAGAGATGGGTCATATCTAAAAATATCTAACTGGAACGGTTTTTATGAATAAAAATGCAGTTTCTACTACAGAGTGACTCTGAATTAAATTAAGCCAAAATCTCAAGTCTCATAGTCTATAGATGAAAAATTACACACTATTAGATTTTTCTTTCAAGTATTTCTTCACCAGAGAACTTAGATATTTTTTTCTCACAATTCAGTATGAATGCATCCCAAACAGGGATACAGGTTGTCACACAAAAAAACCTAACAGTCGAATCAGACATGTTTTCAGAAAAGTGGTGGTAGTATTCAAAAGCACATGTACAATGTACGGCTGAGTAGAAAAAGTGGTCTTCCAAATGCTGTTTAGTTTGTTTCATTAGGATGTTTTGTTCAAAAGATACAGCAATCACAATACGGGACTTGAAAAACCAATTGGGCACCTTTTTTTATATACATGTATAGCTCCTGGTCTTCCAAAAAAACCTTTGTCCAAATGATAAACTGATATTAAAGCTGCACTGACACTTTTGACCCATCCTTTGTGTGTTTCTCTAACTGCCCTTCTCACTTTCAAGGAAAGTTGCCCAAGATGACTTTCAACCCTTGAGTTTGATGAAGTGTAGCGTTTGTTCCAATGCATCGATTTGAATGAAATAAAGTTTGTATGGTAGATTGGTTATCTGACTTTAAGAGGTAATTTGAAAATATTCCAAAGCTCACATGCAATTATACCTTAATTAATTGGTTTTCCACTGTTAGGTTCTTTGTGGGACAAGCTGTATATGTGTATATTTTGCAGACCCTGACAATTTCGACTGAAATTTGAGGTATAAAGAAAAAGTATGCATACATGCATGGTGCCAACATGTTATTTACAATTTGAAAAAAGCCTGACATCAGGCAACTGCAGGAGGATTTGCATACGTGTACATGTACATCCCTGCACAAAGCATTGTGAGTCTCACATTACTATGAAAAACAATGTTTTTGTTGTTTGGAAGTACATAAAAGTTGTACAGTATTTGTAAATTTTAAAGAAATCCATGTACAGTGTGCAGGTTTCATGAGGTACCGGTACATATATGCCAGCATACAAGAGAAAGGGAAAGTGATTTTATGGGCCAGTGCAGTGTCAACGACACTGACAGTCAGAGAAGTGAAAGTTCCTGAACTGATAATTGATTTGTTTTTATTTCATGGTATGTGGGTTGATTGAAAGTGAAAGAGTGAAACAACTGACAACATTTAATAACTGTAATGACAAATGAAAATTTACTGTGTGTCTACTGTCAACAAGGCTACATGACCGTCTACGTGGAACTATTCTGAAGTTTCCGATTTGAGTGTACAGTGTTGGGTGTCTGCCAATTTACCCACAGCCCTAAATATTACAATCAAATGCAGCATACATCACTTGTCACAGGCCAATCAGTAGGGGTGTGCATTTAAGGGTAGTACAGGAATTTTGGTGCCCAATTGAAAAAAACACTGGTACCGGAGAACACGTTTATAAAGAAACCCAAGGCAAAATTGAAATCGCTCAAGTTGCTGTATAGATTGTTCATAAACGTCCGCACGATAATACTACCACATCGGTGATGTGTCAATACAGCAAGATAGAAATGTGTACAGTGAGCTCAATAGGCCTACATGTAGCTTCACGGTGTAAATTCCATTTTCGCAAGCGTCATATAGGCCTTAACGTGAATCTGTTTTGTTTTTCTATGCAACCCAGTTTTCATTATGAAAATTCTCCACAAGCCACATTTCTTTTTCATTGTCTAAGAAGCTCATGTACGGTATGTACAGTTGGTTACAGGTACCCAATCCCATAACCCGGAACCGGTTCCCAACATCAGCGGTCGGGTACTCGGGTACCTGGGTACCTGGTTCCCATACACAGGACCTACCAATAACTTTCCAAGTGCAAAAATACACGTACAACCATGGACGTCGCCAGGATTTTTTTCTAAAAAAAAACATGTCAAAAAATTCCTGTAATTCTCAACACATTCTCGATTTATCAGTTTTAGAGGGGGGCAGGGACATTTCCCCCCCCCCCCAACCCATTAAATTTATACCGCTATGACTTCGCGCCTCTTTTTCTTTTCTTTTTTCTCGTTTTTTCCCTTCTTTTTTTTTTTTTGGTTTTCCAGGGGGGGGGGGGACGCCCATGCATACAACAGGTACATGTATCGGTGCATGTTCAAATCAGTATTCAAGGTTCCTTAGCCCTCCTATGCAAACATACATTCTGTGCCTAGTTGTCCTTTCAGTCATATTAATCATCAAATGACTGTTTTCAACAGTCAAGATCTCCCAGGCTACATAAAGCAAGATTGACTGGCTGTGACTGTTTATGCAACTTGACACACCTGTGCTTTGACTGTAGGTGATTGATATGACAGCTGTGCCACCAGTTCCTGCTTTTGTCTGTTGACTGAAATTGACTAGCCAGAGTGCTTGCCTAACATGATATCTGACTGCTTGTAAGTAGCCTGTATAAAAGGCATGGGGGAGACAGATGGACATGAAAAAACAAAATCACTTTTAATTATCACAGGTAATACTATTTAAGCTGTGCACAACTGCCACAACATGTTTTCAAATTTCAGTATAATATAGCTGGGTGGGGCCTATTGGAACTGCCCGGATATGTTTATGCACATCTTCAGATCAAGGAGGAAATTGGGCCGTGTCAAAACACAGGTGTTATGATTACAGTGACCTCCAGATGACACTGGCGACTTCTGATTTGGGGTGTTCCCTGTTACTAAATTCAGGAAGAGATGTGCTGTACACGGTACACATGCCAACTTTGTGCCATCTTGAGGGAATTCTAAGCATGATTTAAAGTGACCCTCCATGACATCTCATGCCCCCACCCTATACGGGTGCAGTGCACTACTTCAAGTGAGATTTTCTACGTGAGGTCATTAGCATAAAAAGTGCCCCCACAACTTCTTTTAAAAACGGAGACCGTTTGGCTTTAAAAATGGTGGAATTGTGTAAATATAGCCAAGGATCAACTCCCTGGTTTTTGGGCTTCCGTCTGAGGGCAGGCTTGATAAAATTACGGTTGAAAAATGGGTCATATTTGCCTGAGAAAGTGGAAGGATGCCACTTGTAAAATGGCTACATGCAGGCTTGGGAACCATCACTTTTCGAGAGGTGATTTTGTTTTGGTGTGAACATTTAAAAATGTAATTGGCTCGTCTATCCAAAATTGAAAAGAAATAAAAAGATGAAGGACAAGACAATAATTTAATTTTTGTTTGAGAAACCCCAGTGATGTCGGCTTGCATGTTATTTGGCCCTGAACTTTGTTAAAATGTACACTGTTTTCAATGGGGCTTGCATTAGTTCAGTGCACCCATACACATTATTTTCTTACACCAGCCAACTTGTCAAAATTTAATCATAACCAATTGATGCAGAAAAAAGTATATTATTTGTGCATTTCATGAGGGAAAAAGCCCAAAGCAGATTGCCATACAAAGGATCAATACATTCTTTTACACTGAATTTAAATAAAATATTGAGTTGCCTTCTTCTTAACTTTTCCCCCTTTTTAAGGTAGGTGGGTGGGTGGGTGGGGGGGGGGGGAGGAGCTCAAACCAGATCCCCTCCAGTATGCCCCCCCCCCTTGAGTGGCTACTGCAAGGGGGTTATGATGGAGATGCAGCTCAAGCCCCCCCCCCCCCCAACCCACGAGTGGCCACTGCATGGGGGGGGGGGGGGATTATGATGGGGATAATGGGGGATATGGTAATCAAATGGGGGACAATGAAAAGGCTGACTACATACAGTAAGAGAGTGGAGGGACTTTTTTCTTCAAACTATTTTTCAGCATTGCTGTCAAAGTTTGATAGATATGTTCACATTCAGTGTACTATATTTGTTTAGAATTCAGTGACATTCCAGTCCCTCCAGGGCCAATATATACAAGCCCCTGCACCCCAGCATGATTCATTACCCACAACCACCAACAGATTCCTCTCCTCTGTTCCTTGGAAAGTTCCAACCAATAAACGTAGCTTGCCAAGCTTGTTTTCCATCGCTTCTTGGCAAGGGCATGGCATAATTGGCAGAGGTGATGGTAAATCTGTTCACTTGTCAAGCTCAATCCATCACGGGCCAATTACATGCCTGGTGTATATAATGGTGGTGGATAGCCTCCCCAGAGCATTACAAAGAAGTCTGAGCCTTGTGCAACTGATCAGTAAGGGTGGACTGATTGAACTGTCTTAATTTTCTTATGTTCCTCAAAGTTGCTTGCTTTCTGGAAGTGGTACCGATTGGAGGGAAAAAGTGGTGAGTTATTTCACTAAATCTTTCCTTTTTCTTTTTTAAAGTTGTTCTCGCTGTGCTATTTTTGAATTTTGTCCTAAAATATAGATATTGATTTTAAATTGCTATTAATCTTGCAATACAAAAGTTATTAGTTATTCACTTTTGATTTAGAAAGATCTGTCAATGTTTAGTTAGGCCAAAAAAAAAAGTCTCCGGTTTCTGGTATGCGCGCGCGTCGCCGTAGCCATGCGCGTCGGCAAAATGAAAAAGTTTTTTTTCAATGAAAGATGATGTCTCAAAACCGCCAAACTCACTGGTTTGACTGGAATTCTGCTGCTGCGCAATTTCAACGTGTTTTTAGATGGGGTTATGATCGAGACTAAGCTTTATGTGGCCTCTCTGGACTCCCATACATTTGCACTAAGTTTAGTCGGGCACCATTTGCAGTCATCAGCCGACATTTGAAGCAAATTTGAAGCAAAAAAGTCGGGTAAAAAAAAAAAAAAAAAGGCCGCGTCGCCGCACCACTTTTTGGACAAGCTCCATACCAGAAACCGGAGACTTTTTTTTTTTGGCCTTATGGAATATTTATTTTTACATGTTTCATATTATTTGCAACTCGACAACAATTCAGGCATATCTTTTGAGCGCTATGGGCACAAAGCAACCCAAAGTAAAAGCATATTTTCAGAGGGTTGAAAACATCTGAAATTGAAAAAAAAGGAGCTTTTTACGTAAAAAAAAAACAAATTGAAAATTCATCAGGAGAAAAAAAATGTAATATGTTGGACACCGTGGGTTCAGCAACTTTAATGAGAAGTTAATATGTTGATCACATTGAACTTATCAATCTACATACATGTAAATAGTGAAAAAAAATGCTGTCAGCAAAACTGGCAACTGTATTGTCAAGATGGGAACTTGATGCAGGACACCACTTGCTTGATGGAAGCAGCTGAAATATGGAACAATGCAGAATGTTCCACAACGCTGGTAAAAAAAATGCAAATCATTATCTGAATTGGCTGCCCACTTTTTTTATTCAATTGAATCCCTGCCAAATCTCTGAATGTTATGCAACCATGCACATCTCAAAGAACTTTCTCAATTTAAGGAGGTGCAAAGTGTCATCTGTTCTCATAGATCTGGGCTGAGAAGTTTCAATAACGAATAAAGTAAAGATATCAGCTGGTTTCTATCTGACGTCCAATGCAGAGTAAAGTTACTTCCTGCATCAAAAAGAGTTGTGTCACCTCCCCCCCCCCAAAAAAAAAATAGTGATAAGAATTAGACAAATTCAATCTGACAAACTGTTGATTCAACCTGAAATTCACCTGATATATTTTGAATGCATCATACGTTCCTCAACATAATTGTATTAAGTTCCCTGTCTAGCATGTTGTTGTGTGAACAGCAGGATGCTCAATACAAATGTCTTTAGTATACGTGGGCTGAAAAGTGCCAACATGCAAGACATGACGGAACTCTGTTTGAAGAGACCTAGGTTTGAACTTTGAGAAGTTTAACAAATTGAGGCATGTCTGGTGTAGGACTGTGGAATGCAGTGCTACCGGTATCGGCAATAAATCATGTTTGCAGAAATGCAGAGAAATTTGTCCTAGTCAGCAATGTAGGCAGACAACATGCAGGAAAACAGATATTGAGAATCCCCTGTAATGCTCTTAAGCATCAATGATAAGAAATGCTGAGCTACTAACCCCTAAGCCCTGCCGCACATGAGAGCACAGGAGAGCTACGTGCTGAGCAAAAAGTCATTCGAGCCCGTTTTCTCATCACGTAGCTCACAAAATATCACAGTGTGCGGTCAATTTTTGCTGATTTTTCTGCCTTGCGAGGCCGTGAGGCAAATGTCTGTCCTGTTTGATTTTGTTCGCCTCACGAGGTGAAAAACTCACCGTGTGCAGTCAACCTGAGCTACGTGCTGAGATTAAGTAGCTAATGAAAACACATATTCTATTCACGTGAATTCATGTTGTTATGCAATTTCATCAAAAGCCTGTTGGCGTTTGTCCCTATTTTTAAAATCATGCGACCGACAAACAAGGATAATCTGGCCACAACTCAACCAGCTTGTCCTCTAAAATAGAGTTGCTGATACTTTTGACGTGGGGGGGGGGGGGGCGGGGGCCCAGGGTATGTGCTTTCAATGGCTAGATAATTTTTAAGCCCAGCACTTAGCTCAGGTTGAAGCTTGAAAACAATTGAACAGGAGAGACATTTGCCTCACGGCCTCGCGAGGCAGAAAAGTCAGCAAAAATTCACAGCACACAGTGATATTTTGTAAGCTACGTGCTGAGCAAACAACCTTGAATGACTTTTTGCTCAACATGTTTATTTATCCTCTTTTTTCCCCTTCTTCATCTAGCATTATATTAAGAATTTACATAATTGTATCTCTTTTACTGCTGAAGGTATGGAAATAAATGTTCTGTTGAATTGATAAAAAAATGTCACCAGTGACATTGTGCCCTTGGTTTTCAAGCCTAATATCCATTTCGTGTGTAGAATGTTCTTTCTTTCAGTTACAGCAATGCTTCCATTTTTTGTGCTAAAACAAACATGTGTAACTTTGAGAGTGTTAATGCAATACATAATTTGAGTTGTAGAAAGCAGACTTCATTTAAAAGAATCTGACAATGAGAAAAGTATTTTCAACTATTACGAGCATGGTTAATGGACCCACACAGAGACAGCAAAATACCACAGAAACCTCAAATATGTGGGTTAAATCTCTACTTGGAAACACCAAGCCAAGGTCTGAAGGTATGCCAAGAAGTTGCATCACCAAGTAAATAAAATAGAATTTCCAGCTTGGAGTCTGTCCAAGCATCCAGCTATGTTTAGTTTATGGACTTGTTCATTTGATAGCCTGAGCTGTCATTCATGACGTCTGCACAGTTGAAGGAACAATGGGGTATATATATAAATTAAGAAGACTACTTTTTTAATGGCAATATTCCTCTTTTGTATACACATGTATGCATACATTATTAACCCTAACTCCCTACTGAGTTTTACGAAGAACAGTACCAAGTCTGCCAAAATTCATCACTGACTCTGCTTCACATAATGCTTCAGGACCAAATCCACCGAAATCCACCACAAATCCATTACTGCTACAGGTGGATTTTGATGGACTTGGTACTCATGGCTTTTCTGCCTAAATTCCCCCAAATGGGGAGGGGGGAGGGGGAAGGATAGATTTTGATGGAGTTGGGTTTAAAGAAAGACACACATGGAGGTGTGCGTGCTTTTGGAAGGTTAGGGCAAACTTTGTCTTTGGTTGTTTCATTTTACAGAGTTACCAATTTTTGGATAAACAGATTTTAAGAATGTTTAGAAAGTCAATATAGTAATAATAATACAAGAATACAAATGTAGTGCATATACATGTATATCACCATGAGGTCCCTATGCTCTCAGACATTAAAATGAATGGGTTTATGTAGAATATTGTATTTTAAAAATTTCTTGACTGAAAAGACTTTTCTGGCATTATTGAGGGCCAGCCCTAGCTTCCCTAACCTTGTGTTCTGGATGCAAATTCTAGTTTTTAAGCTAAGGCAGGAACTTCTACAAGTCACTTGGTATTCGGTCGGTCTGTCCCCGGAAAATTGACCAAAATAAGGCCCAATAAGTTTTCCAGAAAATATAACAACCAAATTCTAATTTTCAAAAAAAGCAAACAAAATACGTTAAATACTTAACAAAAATTGCTTGTAACAATTTGGAAAGATGTTTATGAAATGTTTGTAAAAGGAGGCAAAATGCAGTAATGTTATAGTCACGTGGTATTTATCACAAATTGCTATAAATCTAGGTACACATCTAAAGTAGTGTGTTCCATGTATGTAAAATCGGCGTCGCATTTTTGGGCGTCGCATTTTTCAGCTCTGGCAGGGATCATTTTGATATATTGCATGCAAGACTTTCATGTTAGACGGCCAGAGCTTATTGTGCACTCGCACTTGTTCAAGATCAATGGATAGGGGCCAAGAAAGATTAAAGGGGTATTGATTATGTGCACACTTAAGAATACAAAGAGACAACTAGGAGGGATTCTTGAATGCATTGTTGCCCTACGCCTAGTGCTCAAGTGAAGATTAAACTACTTTTCAGAATAAATTTAATTCTGCATATTTCGCATTGATGCAAACCATGTGCGCATGCAGCGTGTACAATGTACATGTACCTCCTGTGGAGCTCTCACAATTGATCAAAAAGCGCAATCTCCTCATGCACGGCATCCACAGTCCTCTGACAACTCCTCTCCTTACAAGGAGTACTCCTGATCTTCCAGCAAAGCGAAACTTTCTAATAATATCGACAATTTTTGTAACAGATAACGTTTGGTTTTACTTTGTTTAGAGATTTAACTAGACCCTGGAACAATTCACCATGCTGCTGACATCCCGACACCAGCGGTTCTCGCCAGCGCTTCTTCTCACCCTGCAGGTGCTAGCCTACCAGCCCTGCTAGGGATCTTCCAGCAAAGCGAAACTTTCTAATAAATATCAATAATTTTGTCACAACTAACGTTTGTTTTTCCCTTTGTTTAGAGATTTAACCAGACCCTGCAACAATTCACCATGCTGCTGACATCCCGACACCAGCGGTTCTCGCTAGCGCTTCTTCTCACCCTGCAGATGCTAGCCTACCAGCCCTGCCAGGCTCAGGACCAAGACTCAGTGGGCACAAGCAAAACTACGGAACCCCTGGCACCCCCATCGATGTGCCAGTACATGCTGAGAGGGGAACCTGGTCCCCCAGGAGCCCCCGGCTTACCGGGTATACAGGGGCCTGCTGGCATGCCAGGTGAGGACAAGTCATGAATACTCGAGATATTGAATTGTGAACAGAGGAGGAAATCTCGGGGTTTAAACAGTACAATCCCAGGATATCAGGATGTGTAACAAAATCTATTTTGTGACCCAAGTTTTAGAAATCAAGTCAACTTCAGCAGTGCTGAGGGCTGATTTACATCCACCAAAATAACCTCAGCTGACTATGACCTTACGGTTATTTATAAGGTTACCTACTGCACTGTTTACAAACGTGCTGGAACTGAAGATGATGCTTGTGCCTGCAGACAACATTTTTTCCCACAAAATTATCTCTTAAAACAGATGTTAAAATTACCTGTCAAATGTTTTTAATAAAAACTCTACTTCACATACAAATTTGTTGGCACTTACATGTACAGTTACTCATACCGGGCAATGTAAGGTTTGAACAGCTTCTGTACAAAGAAGTTCCAAAACATTTGATGATTGTTGTCTCAATCTGTTCACAGGTAACCATGGAAATAATGGCATCAATGGACTGACGGGCCCCCATGGGCCAAAAGGTGACATGGGACCCCCAGGCCCACCAGGCCTTCAGGGCAGCGCAGGTACCCCCGGTCCTTACGGCCCCTCAGGTAAGGCGGGGGTCCCCGGCCAACCAGGCAACTCAGGGGAGTCAGGAGGCCGCGGGCCGCGAGGACAAACTGGGGAAAGCGGCCCCAAGGGAGAGAAGGGAGACAGTGCATCAGTTACATTAACCTCATCAAGGCACATGCTACCTAGAACGGGCCGGAGAAAAATTGCATTTTCCGTCGCCGCGACCAACACGATGACAGCACCCGCTGAGGATTCCATCGTCCAGTTTGATCACATCTTCACGCGTCACGGGACGGAATTTGACCCAGAGACGGGCAAGTTCACGTGCCAGGTCAACGGTACGTACTACTTCATCATACATGCCAACAAGTGGACCAACTCTCGAAATTTGCACATTAAGCTCATGAAGAATGGCTCTCTGATGACTGCTCTGTACGAAGATGCGGGCTACGATTATTACGACGCTGCCACCAACAGTATCCTCTTGGATCTAAAGCATGGCGACAAGGTGTGGCTGCAGCTGCACAGCAACAGTGAGGTGTACAGTGGACTGACTAGGATGACTACGTTCTCTGGTTGGCTTGTCTTTGAAGATTAAACCATTAATAGGACGTTTCATGGGCCGAGCAAAAACTGTCACAAATGACCAATCTTATAGTCTAAATTGGATAGTCTAATTTGTACAATATGTACATTACGAGTAAAATGCACCTTACAAGAAACGTAATTTAAACCTGTCGAATACAAGCTTGGAAAAGTTTTAACTGATCTCCCAATATTTCAATGGGGATGTCACCTTTGTTTCTCTGATGTTACGTTTACTTTAGTAACACTTTTTTTGAAAGCTTGAAAACATTACAAAAAGTTGTGTCCGTATTTGTGTTTCACCAAAGTGACGCTTTCAATTTCGACTTGAATTTTTTTTGTAAATTAATGAAAATTTAATGATAACAGCTTTGTAGTGAAGAGCTAAAACCTGCTCGTATGAACTACATGTAATGCTTTAAAGCTTAAATAGAAGTTTTTCAAAAGTGAAAATGATTTTCAGTGGTCCTTCTGAAAAAGATTACAAAAAAAGAAAGATAAAAATGATTTGGTCCTGCATGTACAAACATGCAGAGATTGATCAGTGCCTCCAGAATGTCAATGCTTTTTTTCATCACTGAGTAGTCAGTGGAAAGGATTCAAGTTTAATAACTTGTATATAAATACTGTATGTTCATGTAGCATAATTGGTTAGATGTTTGGAGATGTCCCATATTTGCTGACTTATTAAAAGTGCACTGTATGGTACCATTATAGTTAAACTTTTTTATTTCAAGGTGATAATAAAGTAAGCCAATAGTTTGCTACTGTGAACTTTAGCTGATTGTGCATGAAACACTGTCCAAATTATTTGTAGAATTACAAGAATTAATCCTTTGTATTATGAGCTCCGTGCGCTACCAAAAGAGGGCGCCCTTTTACCTAGCAACGACGTCCCATGGGCGGGACATTTCTCTGGTTGACGAGCACCGTTCCTTGTGTGTGACGCGCGTACACCAGGGGATTTGTTCTATGTACACGCAGTGGCCGCGCTTATGCAGCAAATGAATTGCAGTCAGGCAAGATGGCGTCGGTCGGTCACCCCCAACTATACTTCCTTTGCCGTTGAGGGGGTACTTGTGAACGGAGCGGATTGGGTGGTGTTGGTAAAGTCAAGGCGAAGTTCGGGCAAGGACCATTAGTCGACCAGTGGTTGATTTGTGACTTACCGTACGCCTGCGCACTGATAGCAACGTGCGAACGTCTCTAGTCGAACGCTGGTCAAAATGTCGTCGCAAAACTTCTGGATCCTGGCTCTCTGCTAGCGTTATGAATGCGCGCGGCTATTGGTTACCAGCGAAGCAACCAACCCCAGTAGGCTGGTTCCAAATAGTCGACTAGCGTAGTCAACCATCGTCGACTAGACAGAGTTTGGGCAAATGTTAGTTAACCATTGGTCAACTATAGTCCTTGCGCGAACTTGGTCCAAGTTGGCGGTAAGCCATTGGTTAATTCATCCCTGCCAGCCCTATGCAGGTAACACAGTGTCCAAATGACGCGGCTACGGCTGGAAGTCACACACAAGTGCCTATGGGATGTGGCTTCATCCGCTGCCATAGGTGTATGTGTAATTGCAAGCCGTAGCCACTTATTTCAGAAGTGGCCTAACACCCAACAGCAAAGGCCAAGTTCGGGCAAGGACCATTAGTCGACTAGTGGTTGATTTGTGACGTACCTTACGCCTGCGCACTGGTAGCAACGTGCGAACGTCTCTAGTCAAACGCTGGTCAAAATGTCATCGCAAAACTTCTGGATCCTGGCTCTCTGCTAGCGTTATGAATGCGCGCGGCTATTGGTTACCAGCGAAGCAACCAACCCCAGTAAGCTGGTTCCAAATAGTCGACTAGCGTAGTCAACCATCGTCGACTAGACAGAGTTCAGGCAAACGTTAGTTAACCATTGGTCAACTATAGTCCTTGCGCGAACTTGGCCATGACTGTAAAGCTTATGGCTGCACATGAGTCTTACCTCCAGTGTGTTGTCATCAAAGCACTCCGTCATAAGGCTATGTCTGTGACGTTCAAGCCAGCGCTCTGTAGAATTCTGGTCAGATTTACCATCCATGTAGGTGGCATGGAAGATCATCTGCAGAAAGGTTTAAAATTTCATTAAAGTTGGTATATATGTGCTTTTTCAAAAAATTCTATTTTCTTTTCTGAACGAATTTTGAAGGAATATAGTGCCCTGCAACGAATAAATTTGCTTGTTTGCATTTGCAGGCCTTCACACAGTTGTAAAAAGTGGTTTGACACAGTGCGCTCTAGTTCAGATAGACTTGAAAACAAGTCGTTGGACAGCTGTGTTTGTCAGCTGGCAGCGCAGGCGGATTAAACCCCAGCAATTAGTGGCTTGATTTCAAGTCTATATAATAAAAAAGCGGGACGCTCCTAATTCAAAATTGAAATTAACTAATTGATTACTTGCCGTGGACTTATGCAATATCTCATTAGAAAGCTATTAACTTGTACAATGCTAGAAAATTATCAATTCAATTTTAAAAATCTAATTTTTTAGTGTGCCACACCCAAAAAGCACCTATACACCAACTTTACATTAATAAATGGACTTGCTTATAGTAACAACTGCAAACTTAAGCAATGACAAATAGAAAAACAGTGTTTTTGCGTCCTGGAATATGACCTTATCTTCCTGCAGTCCTCACGTGATGGGCTTTTTACGAGATGACTAGTGGACTCTTGTCAATATGAACTCACTTTGGAGTTATTCTAGTCATCACGGACGTAAATCTGTTTATGCTTACTGACACCTGCAACACAATTTCCACACTCAGCATAACTTTTTTTAGTAACTTTGTAGTTTCGCTTACCTTTTTTGGAATTGCGGTAAACATGAATGCCTTGCTCATTGTCAGTTTGTGGAACACATACAGGGTGTCAAGATGTCCCTGACTTTGTAAGGTATCCATGAGTGCTACAACTTTCTGCCATTGGTCCACAGAGATGCGGATCTGAACAAAAAAATCAAGCACCTGTAATACATTGTAATACACTGTATTACATTGTATTACATGGTTGGGGCAGTTTAAGGAGTACAGGCAAGGCAGTTTGTGGGTGGTTCAGCGACTACTGGATTAAATTAAAAATATTATTGTTATTGTGGTAAATTAATTTACCATCCAAACCAGGGGCATGAGGGGGGGGGGGTGCAGAGTGGCCAATTGCAACTGGCTAGAGATTTTAAAAGTGAAATCGGAATGCTGATGGAAGAAAATTCGGCCCGTCAGATAAATCATTCGTCGGCGTCGGCGATGAAGTGTGCCACCTATTGTCTGACAGTGTCAATGATTGTCCGCTTTTAACAGTGTCCCCTCCTCCCCCACTTTTGCAGAGGACAGATGGCCAGGGATAAATCCTGTCTACCTTTTACCATGGATGGTTCGTGAATTTATGGGCAAGACGAAAAGTACATTTTGCAATGGGGAAAACAAAACCCTGGTTACACGACTGCATGGAGTAAGCCTTGTCGAAATCATAACATAATTTGAACATGAGTTGTTCTCCATGAAAAGAGAGGGTGGTTATACCAATGTTTTCAAAATATTCATTCATGAGAAAAGACACAGTCATTATAAAATTTGAATGATTAGGCGGGGAAGGAGGTGGAATATTTGGGAGTGGGAGGGTGAGAAGTATTTTTTTCTTTTTACAAATCTCCTGAAAAACATTGATTCATTTTGGTGGGGAGCATGTAAAAAATACATGAATATAAACTGCCATGGTGCAGAGATGCCAAAGTTTCCTTTTTTTTTCAAGGTTATAAATGTATCAATTCTGCAACTCATCGGAGATAGCTACCTTAAACTTTGGTATGTACGGCTGTGTCACGTACAAAGCATAGAGAATATAGAGAGCTCCAACACGGTGTTGCAGGTCGTATGGAGGCAGCAGGTACTCTGTGGCTATTTTATAGGCTTCCTGCATGGCCTGTGATGAATAAAAAAGCAAAAAGGAAATCAACGATCATATCATAGGATGACATACATGTAGTTGTCATGCATCGTCTGTACATTGACAATAGAGCTATACAGGGTATAAAAAAAGGAAACCCAGATGTATTTGTAAATTATAAAATATCTTATGCATGTTTTCAAATGGGTTAAAGATCACGTGAAACACCAATGTGTCCTCTTTCCAATGATACCTTGATTGTATGTCTGTGGCCACGGACGACTGAGCATTCTTTGTTTTTCTGTCAAGGGTCAAAACCTGTACTGAGCCAAGTTTTACCTGGCTAAGATTGTTGCTGGCTTGTTATTGAAAGGTTGAAATGGTAAGAGGGGCTGTTGGCGATATGCGAGGTCGTGCAGACCTTTGTGTGGAAAGAGGCAATGGGCCATGAGGGGTTAACTTCAACAATGAGAGTGGTTCAATCACTGTGTCAAAATTAAATAAATTGTGTTAAAAGAAAAGGACGTCTTCTTTCTTTAAATTCAACTGTTCAACACCCTAGAATACCAGTTACCCTTTTGCACAAACTTGGCCCTGTGCAGGTTTTGACCCTTGACAGAATAACAATGAATGATCAGTCATCCGTGGCAACAGACACACAATCAAGGTATCATTGGAAAGAGGACACATTGGTGTTTCACAAGATCTGTAAAAGTATTTATTAGATCAAATTAGGTTTTGCCCTTCACCGACGTTTAAACACTGTATACTCAGTGTGTTACCTCCCGAGTGAAAGTTAGAAAAAATCACTCGGGTGGGAACCGAACCCACGACCTCCTGCTTTCTAGTACAGATGTCTTACCACTCGACCACCGAGCTAACGGGATCGGTTGGCTGGTTCGAATCTGACGTACATAGCAGCGGGTACCGCATAAACTATTATAAGATGGAATTTTGCGTCGGGGTGATATAATAAATCAAATTAGTTTTTGCCCTTCACCGACGTTTAAACACTGTATACTCAGTGTGTTACCTCCCGAGTGAAAGTTGGAAAATATCACTCGGGTGGGACTCGAACCTACGACCTCCTGCTTTCTACTGCAGATGTCTTACCACTCGACTATCGAGCTAACGGGATCAGTTGGCCGGTTCGAATCTGATGTACATAGCAGCGGGTACCGCATAAACTATTATAAGATGGAATTTTTTGCGTCGGGGTGATTAAGTTTTGCCCTTCATACGCATACCTGCTGCGGTGGATGTAGAGTTCTGAGTATACAGTGTTTAAACGTCGGTGAAGGGCAAAACCTAATTTGATTTACATCACCCCGACGCAAAACTCCATCTTATAATTATTTATTAGATCTTTTATAATTTAAATTAACATCTGGGTCTTCTCTTTTTAGTTGATACATCCTGTATTGAATTCTGCAGTATCATTTCTTCGGCAAAAAACATTCAAAGGAAGCTATATACTCACCTCTTTCCTTTCTTGTGCCCTTTCTATGCCACTAAAATAAAATAAAAATATCAAAGAATTCAGAATTAAATACAACACGCATAGTAAGTGATGTGTCAACTCTCCAAAATCATATGAATGAAACAAATATCATAGCAAAGGACTCTGTCATATAAATGAAATCGCTATCATAGCAAAGGACTCTGCCCTATCCATTGTTTTTAATCACCCGGTAATGTTGTCTCAACAGCAAGCAAAAGAAGGGGTGAAAGCCAAAAAACTCATTTTCCTCATGTTCCACAATGTACATTAATCTCTATTTTGTAATGTCAGCAACATGTACTCATCATGTAAAATGAAATCTCAGTTTGCATTTATATTTTGAAAATGAAAAAAGCGTACGTAACAGAAAATTGCATACATAATCTGAAAGAATTATTGTGAAATAATGGCCGACTTACTAATGAATGAATGTGAAGTTCAGCTTTCGCCACTCTTCGGCAAACATTTGAAATCGTACATTCTGTGTGTGCAAGAATTGCTGAAGCAAGCATTCAATGTCCACTCTCAGCCCTGTATACTTCTCACAGTCTTCAGTCTCCATCCTGCACAGTCCTGTTACTAGTGTTAGTTTCTACAATATGCAGAACACCATTTACACTGCATTGAAAAGAAAATGATTTTATGAGTACTGTTTATCAGACCATTTACAATTTGGGACTTTATTTCCCTTTAAAACAAATGTTCCAGAGCCACGAATCAGGAAAATAAAATGTCATTTTGTGCAATTAAATGTAGGAGTAAACTAATCAAAGACAAATATTCTTACTTTTTGTGATAAAAAAGCAAATCTAAAATCTAAAAACAGCGGCTCAAACCCGGGACCTGGGAGTAATTGCAAAATGCCCCGCCACTCAAAGATCACGCCCTAAAATTCCATGGCTATGCAGTCGAAAGAGCTATAAAAAAAATATTAAGTCCAAAGTAGTTTTTACCTTTTAAAAAGATCCTGCTTACTGCTTAAAGGGAAGATACCACATTTGCAAACATCAAAAACGAAATGATCAAATTATCACGAAATACCTTACTGGATTGCTAGAGAATGACAATCTAAAGCATCCTGTAAAATCGTGGCTCCTAGTGTGCTGACGTTTTCAAGAAAAATTGTATTTTTCCAATGCCTATCAGCCGACCAGCGTTGGAGAAAATTGGCTTTTTTCCAAAAAGTGCTCCTAATGGAAAAAGTTCCATACTCGGACGTCACTTTTTTCAATTAATTTTCTAGCGCCAAAAGTTACATCTTTTATGGTTATTCCTCCACTTTCCCTCCTCTACTCTCACCCTCTCCTTTCCTTAATTTCTATTTATTGATCAGTCAGTGACTTCATCGGGATTCGAACCTCTGACGCTTGCTTGATACACGAGACTCTTAACCGCTAGGCCGCGCACGATCGCTGTTGCAATAATCAATCTTTGGACGTATTTGAAGTATCCATTGAAATAAACTAAATATTCATGAGAAAATAAATATTCATAATGACGTATTGCACTATCATTGGCAGGCTCATGCGACGTCATGGTTGTTGATGTCACGTGTATAACGTACCGCTGTCTTTCAGCCACTACAATAAGTTTTGACCGGCTGCTTCAAGTTAGTTCTGCACGACGTATGCATCCAAAATGTGCTCTAAAAACACATTTTGAGTACATTTTTTTCACCTTTACACAGCTTCCTGGATTTCTGGTTCAAATGACAAGGTGAGGTGACAATAAATATGTTTGGCAGCAGATAAATTGACATCCGAGTATGGAACTTTTCCCCTCCTAATTTCTCATATTTAGTTATTCCGCATTGTCTTTGCAATTGATTACACAATGTACGCGATGTACATGATGTACCATGAATGCGGAAGGCGTGCTGAATCGCATGGCACCAACCGTAAACCGCATATCGGTGTAGGAAAATCGCAATTTCTTCCCCAAGAAACTGTTCAAAAATTAGAAACAGGTGTCATTATAATGAGAGAAGTCTGCTTTAAGTTAAAAAGGTCATTTTTGATGAACAAAAAGCACCCTTGATTCGAATTTGATCAAAACTAAACAAGGGCCCTACACTGCACGATCTACTCCTAGAACTATGAGGCTCCGCGTGAGCGGAGCCTCATAGATCAAGAAGCCCGCAAAATTGCCTGCAGCACAAAACACTAATAAAGTACAAAAACGTCCATCAAAATGCAGCCATTTCACACAGAACCGCTGCACAGTTTGCCCCTATACTCCATACTTTATCTCTTGACATACTCACGATTCTTGTGCGGAACTAATATAGGTGGATTCTGTCGGTTTTTAGGCCAAAATGATGAAAAATATGCCCTTTCCGCATTGAGCCAACCTGACACTTGAAATGTGCACGCATATGATCGAGCGATGATTTTCGGTTCGCTCGGAGCGCGCCGCGGGGGGTACGGTACATGCACTTGTACGCATGCACATCATTTCGCTTGTACCACTGATCTCTATATAAAGACTGGATAGCTAATACAGAGCCGCACAATGTACGAATTTGACGCCATATTGGTGAGACCGGCTGGTGATCTACAAAGGACAAGTTGTCGTTTTTATAGACAGCATGATTTCTTTTGTAACGTCGCGGTTCACTTGACTTATATTTTGACCACCATCACTGACCAAGGCTAACTACAATTTTTCTAACGTCGTGGTTACTAAAATGCCGCAAATATAACTTTTTCGGCGTTTTAAAATGATAATCACAACGGAAATGTGTCCCTTTTAGAACATCATAATATGTGTACGTGACCAAAATGCGCGTCAACTGTTGATACAACGCGCGCGTATTTACGCGTAGAACGTTCGTATTATACGCGGCCATCTTCGTGAGACCGGGGGCGAATTGGTCAATATGCAAAGTCTACTGTGTGAATGTTGTATGCATATCCGCTATCCAGTCTTTATATAGAGATCAGTGGCTTGTACCGTACCCCACGCGGCGCGCTCCGAGCGAACCGAAAATCATCGCTCGATCATATGCGTGCACGTTTCAAGTGTCAGGTTGGCTCAGTGCGGAAAGGGCATATTTTTCATCATTTTGGCCTAAAAACCGACAGAATCCACCTATGTTAGTTCCGCACAAGATACGTGAGTATGTCAAGAGATAAAGTACGGAGTATAGGGGCAAACTGTGCAGCGGTTCTGTGTGAAATGGCTGCATTTTGATGGACGTTTTTGTACTTTATTAGTGTTTTGTGCTGCAGGCAATTTTGCGGGCTTCTTGATCTATGAGGCTCCGCTCACGCGGAGCCTCATAGTTCTAGGAGTATGCACGATCGCCTGAAGAAAAACATCAGAACATGAAAAAGGTGGCGTCATCAGGTTGCAACATTCTTTCCTAGGAATAGTAGGATGCAATATTCTTTCTTAACACCATAAACGTGTTAAACTAGGCTAGCGCCTACTGTTGACTGAAACTCAGCATGCAGCACTGGCATTCAGCACAGACATGACAGATTGGACAATATCTGACACTTTTTCCCAGGCCCGGGAAAAAGGGTGAGAATAACTTCCGTTATTTACCTGGGTACAACTTTACCTGGAAGTTAAACTAAAGCAGACGATCAAAAAACTAGTCCCCAAGTTGTTCCAGTCACTGTATATATGCGCACTTCTTTTTGTTGTTAAATTTTGCACGCTCAGTTGTCATGTTCGGTAGCGTCAGTATCACACTGGGAGGAAGGTCACTTATCATAATTTATGCCTACGTCACCAAGTTGATGAGCAGGTCGTATGACGTCGCTAGAACATGAATTATGCAGATCCGTGCCAACGGCCGCGCCGACGCATGGAAGCCATGCGCCAGATGAAAGCGCTGGCTTGTCGTATGCAAACGACAGCCTAGCAATACATGTATTCTGTGTCAATTTCTTCGTTGTTCCAAGCAGTCAGAATGATGCACAATAAATTGCTCTTTTTTTGACGAAAGCGGTATTTAGGGTCATTGCGTTTTAAATGGTGATATTATTTGAACCATGGAGAAATGAACGGACTGAGCAATTTCAGTATTTTTTTATCTAAAAAAAAAAAAATCTGGAATAGCTAGGTTTTCCAGTCATTTATACTGATTTTGGTGCTACACATATTTTTTTTTTTAAAATATGAAATATATTTTTGGAGGTTTGGGTTCAGCTCTTTTTTTTTTAACTCACCCTAAATAAATGAAACGAGAACTGTTTTACACTCAAGGCTGCTGCCACTTTGCCAGGCTTCTGCACAGTTTTCAGGAGAAACCTGATCTCAGTCCACGACGCGACGCGGCGCTAGTATTTGCCGCGCATTGTTGAAGCACGTGTTCACAACATGCAGCTAGCTGCTACAATCATCCGGGACACCATGTGCATACGTACTGCATAATTCATGTTTTCACAGTGATGCCAATGACCTCCTGGCGAAATGGTGACGTAAGCATATATTATGATAAGTGTAACTTCCTCACAGTGTGATACTGACGCTACCGTCATGTTCGAGGAGATGTTGACATGTCTTTTGGAAGTCGTAGAACAAACGTACACACATGCAAAATCTCTGCGGGCGCCGCCATCTTGACTGGTACCTCACACGCAACCAAATGCCACATCAAGCATCGTGCATGCGGGTACCATTCATCAATCGTACCTCGACGATTGAGGGCAGCAGGCAACTTCGGTTGACTTCGAAATCGTCTGCTCGCACGTGCGCACTGCAGAGGTGTGCGCAAAAGAGCGGGAAAAAGTTTCACAAACTTGTTTTAAGAGACTCAAAGCATTTGGTTGTGACAGCTGGCTTGCTCTTCCGAGATTAACAATTTCTTTTTGGTACAGTACTTACTCTGTTCGGGAAAATAAAATAAAATTAATTTCAATAGCGGCCCGCAAAGTGATGCAATCATGCAACCAAGAGGGGAAAAAGGTGGAAATTTGTCGTTTCAGTTGGCTACTAATGTGACAATTTTTTTCCAACATCGGGATAAGTAAATCCGCAGCATGGATGGTCACGACGCACCTATACGGGCCTACAAGTACAACAAACTACAGGAATTCATCATGATCATACGCAGTGGGACAATTCTCATGTGGATCGTGGCGCGTGGAATGTGGAGCCTCAGGAGGTGAGTAGGGGAGTATGTGACAAGGCCATGACATATACAGAAACCATTTTCGACTCACTAAGCCAATGAAAATAAAAACATGGCATTTGAAATCATAATTTGGGTAAAGCTGGAGCATGTCCTCTCAATTTTTGGTGGACTTTGGTGTTTTGTTGTTTTTTGTAGGTATATGCGCCCAAAGTTGGTCCCTGCCACTTGGTCCGAACTTAAACATGTTTAAGGGAAAATACAACAGTTGCACACATCAAAAAACGAAATGATCAAATTATAACGAAATATCTTACTGGATTGTTAGTGAATGACATTCTAAAGCATTCTGTAAAATCGTGGCTCCTGGTGTGCTGACATTTTCAAGAAAACTTGTATTTTTCCAACGCTGGTCGGCCGACCATCGTTGGAGAAAACTGGCTTTTTTTCAAAAATCGCTCCAAATTTTTTATATTTAGTTATTCCGCATTTTCTTTGCAATTGATTACACACCTGTACGAAGGGGTACAAGCCTGCTAGACTGATTCTCTGACCTTACAATTCCCCAAAGTCTGTAAATTGCTCCGTTTCATCTTAAGTGGGGTCAGGGAGCCAGACTACAAGAACAAAATTGGTTTTCTTGCTTTTCCCAGCAAAGTCCAAAAGATGAAACAAGTCAGTTTAACAATATTTTCTATAACATACTAATCCTCCAAATCCATTTATTTCTGAAAATTCGAGCAAAACCAAATGTTGTATATTCCCTTTAAGCTGGGACCGTCCAAACTGTTCCAGTTGGGACCGATGGTCTAGTTGGGAGTGTTCTAGTTGGGACCGATGGTAATAATAAGCGAGATGTTCCCGGCTCAGTGAAACCTTTTGATTTAGCTTGAGGGGTAGGGCTCAAATTGACTGGGCCTGCAGTAGCTTACTTGGGAAACCCACTAAGCTAAGCACGCAGATGTTGTTGCTAACATTTTTTCTTCAAAAATTGGTTTGGGCTTGTAATTTCATATATATATATTTTATTATTATATTAAATTCTTGTTTAATTGGGTTGCCCATTCTAATCCACTGGTCTCCCATGGGGCCCAGTAAAGAGAAGACAATGTGCATAAATAACAGTTGTAGATGTGGGAGGAAAATCCCAAAACATTCTGAGGAAAACGCATGGAATCAAGTAGGGACTGAAAACCCAATCCACATGGCCCTGGCAAGAATCGAACCCGAGTCACAGCGGTGGAAGGCGAGGAATTGAGTTCTGCTACACCAACCTGACTCCCCAAATAAATACAGTATATAGTTACAATTTCTAGTGTATCAAATTTAGCCATTGATCTGTATCTGTTTGAGACTCAAAATCAAGTTTTGTACTTGTTCAGTCTATTCATTCCAGTTGATGTATGCGTTTGTGACAAATTGATTTGACACCGCATTTATGAGCTGTTAGTGTTACAATTTTGTCAAGAAATCCAGAAATGTGCATACTTTAATTTTTTTTTTTACCAAACTCCATGTCTGTCCATTGGAAAAGAAATTATACACTGTACTCTTGCGACCTGAATTTCGGATTGCAGTATTCAGATAATTGTAAATCAAAATGTAATGGCCCTACCATAATGATAACCATTACAACTGAAGTGGGAAAAATGTTTTAAAGGAAAGGATCTTCAAGTGTTTAATACACGGGCAAGTTTTTAGAGCTGAATCTTCATCAATCCTTGTTAGGCCTACGTAGCATTATCAGCATGATGGCATTAAGGTGCAAGAAGTATTAAAGAGGTATGGATTCGGTTGAATTTGTTAAAAAGATGCTGAATATATAATATTTCTCTTCAGTGAAATTTTTGACATGTCATGTATGTCAGTGGGTTCAGTTTTTTTGCGCAAATTGTACAACAGATTAAATAACAAAAAAAATTGGATTGAAAATCTTAAAAGGAAACTCTTCGCTTCATAATGTGCTTTTTCCAAAAAAAAAAGTCTGATGGAAACTAAATTGTCCAAAGTAAAAAGTCCTTCACCAATATATATACATCACAGCCAATGAAGCAACAAAACAATGCAATGTGTATTTATTTTAGCAGCATAGAGAGTTTATTTACTTGCCTCAAGAAATAAAAGCCAAAGGGGTGTACTCTGCTTGCCTTCAAAAGAATCTACTTTTCTTTAATTAAATTTAAACCTTATAAGCAATATTTAGTGGATTTTATAATTGGGAAAATTTCATTAATTAATACCTCAAAGGGACATAAGATAAATTGAATTGTGTTTCTCTTTTTGTCAGTGATGATCTCTTAATAACAACAAACATCATGTTTTTATCATCCGCAAATCCATATTCAAAAATTCACTCCAAGGTTTATTTAGATGTGACACACATCTGAGGGCAGGCTTGTGGGAAGAATGCAGTTTGATTTTAATATCACGGTTTGCATAATTGTAGTTCAAAGAAAGTGCACGATCTATGAAATGTTTTGTTGTTACACACGCGAAAAATGTGACGTAGGTCTCCTAATAAACATTTTTTAAAAATGTACACAGAAATCATAACTAATGTTGTGGTGTTACATTCGCGAAAAAAACTCCGTGAGGGTCTTGTGTTGCAAAAAATAATGGATGTCAAAAAATCAGTGATATCAACCCTTTACAAATAAAAAGACATCATAGGTAGATTTGAAAAAGAATGAAAAAAGAAATGTGTAAAAAAAAAAATATTCCGATGAACGCCCTTAGGGTTTTTCATGACTCAATAAAATTAACTTAGTAGGCCTATCCGATTGAGTAACACGGTAGCATAAATATGGATGTGTGTGACACCTTTTGCTTTCCTGAACAATTATCAGGGTGTCATCTCCAAAACATTGTGAAAATTGTGAAAATGGATTTGAAGTTGATACAATGAACTGATGTTTGTGTATAGTGAGCCTCATTTCTGAAAACAAGAATATATAACAATAATCATGTCATTTAATAAGCAAAATCTTCTTTGGCAGGTCTATTGCACTTTGAATAAACATTTTGGACAATTTGTTCATATTTGTTGTTTTGTTACATTTCAGTTAACTTAACCACTAAGTGCTTTCATGAAGTTGTACAACATTGTATTTACTCCTCCAAAAATCAAGAAGTGCTGGGATGGTCTGGGGGTTTTAGGAGTAAATGGCAGGGCGGTTGCAGGTGCTTTGAGGGCTAATGGGTTAAACTAAAATATCATTTTGACATCTTGTGGATTTTAGTAAAAGAGGATTTTTTTTCAAACATATGAGGACTCATATTGCACTCTTCAAGATTCTTGAGAAGAAAAAAATATATATCTTTAACTTTAAATAAACTCATAAATTAATTAATTCTACATACATTAAGGTATTCATAATAACAGTCTTTGTCATTTCCATTGACATATTTTAGCAATTCAGAAGTACTGTGCTTTGCAGGTAAATATCCACACTACCTAATATTTAAGCAAATAAAAAAAGACCCCCCTTCACCTTTTCTTTATTAAAAAATTTGGAAACTATATCAATTTTTTCCTTCAACTTAAGGCAATTCAATACAACATATATTATTTCATAAGTGGGACCGGAGGCAAGCACTTGATTGGAAGAGAAAAATACCTGCATTTAACTAGATCTATGAGTGTCCATAACTGCTCAGCACAGTACGTGTGTTTGTAAAGTTCGGCGTTTATCGACCATTTGGTGGCTGGCCGCTGTTGTCAGAATTTTCTGGTTGGTTGGGCAGACTGAAGGTACACACTTCACAGCTGCAAGTTTCGATGACCTGGTAGCTGTATTCCTGCATGACACCGTCACAGTTCAGTCTGGTCTCTCGGACGCCCATAGTCGAAGGCTGACAGCATCGGCAATCTCGGCTGAGTTCTGCCCTCCCTGGCAACATGTCAATGAATGCCCGAGACGGGCATCCGCCGTTGCAATAGGTGAACTGCACAGGTTCTTCAGAGACGCAATTGCCGATTCTCAGTGTTTCCAGTTTGCTCTCTCGGAGACATTGCCTAGATTCTTTCTCTGTGTATCAAGAAGAAATGGGGATGAAGTCATTACTTAACTTCTTACTAAATATACCAGAAGTAATTTTGCAATGGCGAATGCTAAGATAATCAAAGGTCAGCTGGAAATGCTTCAACTTTCGTCAAAGTGTCAAATCTCTATGTAATCTTTTTAGTAAACTTGAGGTGACGAATTTTTCCAACGCCACCAATCTTAGTCTTTGGAATAGACATGTGAGCATATTCAGCTATTAATTTTGCAAACAAGACTGTGTCTTGACCTCAAAATTCTGATCACCATTCAGCGGGTGCCTCCTATCAGGTCTTCCATGTCCCGTTGTTGTATCACAAAAACATGTCAGCCAAATTGACCAATCACCAGCTTAGTCCACAGTTCTTATCGAAATGACGTCACAGTTTCAAAGTCGACTCCGATTGGCTGGCGCTCGGATTCACACACAATTTGCATTGCTCAGATATATCAGACATTGGTTACGGAGAGGGCTCCATTGGACAACATGTCATTTTTTAGACTACCATCTTGTGTGATTCTCCCAAATTTTTACTATAGGGTGATAATAAGGGATATTCATACAATTATAAAATATGGTTGCAATGAGATGACAGACAATTGCTTTTTCGACATTTCTGTCATTTATGTTAAAAATGGATGTATTATTTTCACAGTGAAAAGTCTTATTATTATATTATACAAGCTTAAATGTAGTACAAAGAAAGTAAGTTACATACCACATATTGGGCAGCACTGCTCCTCAACATACCGTAGTTTCCCCTGTGGGCAAAGACAAGAGATTTGAAATTAATATTGCAGGTGTTGAACTAACATTAAAATAAACTTCAAATAAATTTACTGTGTAATCGGTTAACCATATGAACCTTCACTCTTTGAAATAATATTTGGGTTAATTACGAGCAGTTCCATATTCACAACTTTCAAGTCATGCGTTTTGTACACGAACCATAACAGCTGACGGTTTGGGTGTGGAGACTTCATGTGAAGTTGAGATAACCCAAATCATTACAGAAAACAATTTCTCAAAAATTCTTTATACAAGACTGAATTCAGAAAGTACTTACATCACATCTGAGGTCACACTCTTCCCGTATTTCAAGGATTCCAGCTCCCAATTCACAAAGCCTTCTGGAACATGGATCACGTGATGGCAGCTCTTCGCCGTACTGAAATATAAAAACACACACAAATTGTCGATGGATGAACCCTCTTTATGAAGGGAAGATTTTGCAGGATTGAGGCAATGTGGCAAAAATGTGTGGCAGATTTTAGAGGATCACTTTGTCAAGGTCTTGTGTTGTTAATGCTCAGTTGTGCATAGATTTGGGCCTAGATTATACTTAAATCCTATGTACTGCTTCAGGATGTCACTGGCTCTGCCTCAACATGTTGACAGTGATTGCCGGAGGATTTTGCAGGATTGAGGCTGTGGTCACCCCTCAAAGGACCACATTCAAGAAAAACAGATAATTTTGGAGGATTGAGGTTGCATTCTTGCAAAAATGCTGGGATTCAGGGATAATTATAAAAGATCATCAACACTGAATGTGACATCAGTCATTTGTTCACTTCATTTTCATTTCAATGCTATATGAAATGTTGTTATTATTAAAGATGCTAATATCAGTATTAAACATAACTCTGAATATCCTGAAACCACAATAATCTGTGAACAATGTGTTCCATAAATTGGTTTGAAAAAACATATTGATAAAATTACCTGGTACATTCTGCCATTGTACATGCAGCCAGGGGCTTCTGCAGAGTAAAAAAAAACATATGAAATTGGTCAGCAAATCTCAGATGGAACCTGGAATTTCTACAGACTTTGCATAAACATGAAAAAATAAGTATACAAGAGGAATATTAATAAGTTGCGGTATAGTGGCAATGTATATGACCTCCAATATTAGGGACAGATTCATCAGAACAAATTTTCAACACAATCTTTTGAACTTGTACAATTACAGCAAGAAATGGCAAATAGGCCTATAACCACCAAGAGAATAAAGTAAACTCTGTAATAATTGAATCTTTCAGTCATGCACAAAACTGTGAACATCCTTACCGGTCGTGGTAGTCTCTGCTGTGGTAGCCATCTCTGTGGTGCCGCCCTCTTCTTCCGTTGGGGCTACGGTAACGCCCACATGAGGTGTCTGTGGCCCCTCAGTGGTGGTGCTTTCAGTTGTGGTCCCCAGTAGCTCAATTGTCTGCTTTGTGCTTGTAACAACTGTTGTGAGGCAAAACAAATCTTGATCCATTATTTATGCTTTATTCCCACCGTCACAATGAATGCATAATTTGTATACTGCTTGGCAAATAGGGACTCATTATAGTTCATAAATTTTTGCCATTTGTGGAATTGTTTTATTCTCTGTCTCGTTTCAGAAAAAGAACAAACTTTTGGAGTGCCGTGGCCTAGTGGACTCGAGCATTGAATTTGTGGGTAATTCTGCTGGTTGTGGGTTTGAGTCCTGCCTGGGGTTATGGTGGTGTGCCCTTGAGCAAGGGGCTTTGTCACTCATTGCTCCTCTCCACCCAGGAGTAGATGGGTACCTGTGAGGGCCGAGTTGGTTACTTTGAGCTCTGGATTACGGCCAAGAGCGCCCAAATGACTGCCTACGGCCATGTATGCTCCCGAGGGAGTTGAGAAGGTTTCAGGAGTGTTTGCCCATTGAGTGGTAATAATAACTGTGAAGCACTTTGATACCCTGTTTAAAAGTGCTATGTAAATGCCTGTTTTTAACCTACTTATTATTATTATTATTATTAGGATGATTATAGTAGGAGGCAAAAGGGTATTTCCCTCATCCACTACTTTTTTAAAATGTGTCCTTTGCGTGCCCACTTTTTGATATCCAACTATAGAGACATGAATACATGTGCGGAACCACTTTCAGAAACGTTCTGCCACCATTGGTGATGGCCTTGCAAAAATGACTAAGTTTGGTTCACAAGACACTGTATGGAAGTTAAATGCTACCACACAATACATACGGTATTGTTAGAATTGTTAGAATTTTTAATTCAACTGCTTGTCTCCACATTCAGCTGTTTTCAATTTTATAACTAAGAACGAAAATAAAAGAACTATAGTGATGGGCTGTATTCCGGAATTGAAACAAACAAACAAACAAACAAAGGAAGAAAAGGTATTAAACATTGTCAACATTACCATTGTTTATTGATTCAGTCACAGTTGTTACGACCTTTTCTGCAGATGTGACCCTCTCAAATGTGGATTGTTTTGTGGTTGTCATTGCTGGAAGATAAAAGGGATATGTGACTTTAGTTTTGTAAAATATAAACACATCATCAAGTGCTCATCCAGGCCAGGGGAAATATCTTTTTTTTGTGTGGATTAAATTCAAATGTAAAAATACTGTCAGTACTACACCGTTGTTTCCTAGGTTTTAAACAATATGAATCTTGCTTGTGTGTTTTAACTGTTGCACTGATCTCAAGCTGTGACATGGATTTCGACAAACTATGAGACAACCAACACAGCACTAGATAGGTTATTTGATATTCCAGAGTTGATTCCAGCTTCAGTAATGTCCTTTGTTCAACTAAAAATGAAAAATAAGGAGTTTAAGGTAATTCAATAATTTTGTAAGTCAGGTGAATGTGCAGTCCCCATAATTGATGTGGTCCAGAAATTGAAGCAAAATAGACAGAGGAATATGCAAAATGTTCAAGACAGGTCAAAACTTACGTTGTCCTGCACAGCCGAAGAAGTCTATTCTGAGGGCAGGTTGCGTGCCCTGATATGCTGTAATCTCTACTGTGAGAGACTCAATGGGCTCAGTAGGTTCTTTCAAGTACACCCATACAGGTTTGCTTGATTGTGTGGTCAGGCGTCCAGAAAATGTCTGAAAGAAAAGAAATTTTAAATAACTGATTCAAGACTGAAGAAAATCACCTGTAAATCTAAAGGAAATTGTAAATCTAAATCTGGACAGAATACCGACACAATAACAAGAATTTTTCACAGGCGCCTCCACACAATCATGTAAACAAAAATAGTAGGCCTATAATTTCACTTTATAAGTAATGAACAAACGGCCTTGCTTCACGTTACCAGTGATTTTCTCTAAACAGGAGACCTTATGAAAACACCACACGGATGAAGCGAAATATCAAATGAAATGATTGCAAGGCTGTAAACAGCGAAACTTTTATTCACCAGAACATTTATAATGGACTCGCTTTGAAACTTGTAACAGAATATTTTTGTCAGTTGAGACCTGTTTTCCTCATTACCTTGACTACCCCAGTGGTGCTGTCTTTGTAATATGTCTCTGTCTCGGAGCCAACTGGGAGGTATTTCAGGCGGAATTGGGTCACGCCATTTCCGCGGCCATCGCCAGCCATCTTCAGGGCGTTGAGTCTGAGGGGGTAGTCAGATTGGAGTTTCACGTAGGGTACAGTGCCATCATCAGATACACTCGGTATCCATACGTCAGCTGTTCTGAAGCTAGACTCGCCATTGTCTGGCATGGAGGTTGTTCTCTCGATATCAATGCCGATCAGGGCTGGGGATGTCTCCAGATTCTCCGTGCAAATGCCTAAAAATATCACAAATCAATGAAGTAAACAGTTACTTCTAATCCCAAGCTGTATTCAGTACATTCTCATCACTGTAAAGTAAATTTACATTTGGATAATTTGGTGATAACAACAGCATTGATTTCTGAATTTGTTTTTATTGCCTTTTCCTTTGAGGAGTGGATCTCATCTACCGGTACATACACACTATAAATTAGGATGTGTTGCCTTTCTCCTTTATTGCTGCAATTAAATTTTGTGTTGTTAATATATAGTTCAATAAAATAACCTACTGCAGGAGCAAGTCTTGTGGCCATGGTCACAGAGCATATTAACATGCTTCCTTGTAAAAAGGCTCATCATTTCAGTCTTGAAATATTCACCAGGGGCGTAGCAAGGTCATTTTTATAGGGGGGGTACACATTTCTAGAAAAGGGCACTAGCACATCCGTGCTGAAATGTAGAAACGTTGTTTTTTTCCGGACACTTCACTTGGCCTCTGTAAAATCAAATTGTGAATGGCTTGTACCATCTTTAGATGGGGGCACTGTTCAAAACAGACGATTATGCACACTAACGAACAACATCTGGCACTTTTCAGGGCGACATGTGACACAAGAAGGGCACAACTTTTTGTAAAAAGGGCACTTGTTCGGGAAAAAAAGGGCGCTCGTTCAAACAAAAGGGGCACTCATTAAAAATATTGGGGGAGGGGTCCATGAATTCAACAAACATCTGAAATGTAAGACGCTTTTATTTGAACCATCATTCAGAATTTGTAATTATTGCACAAATGGAGGAGTTCAGTGTGCCAATGGATATGCATGTGATGGATTTGAAATGATACACCTGATGATCAGTGGCAATTATATCACATGAAAAGCTTCATGCCTGTGATAAATATGAAATTTAAATGTTGCAAATATTGCCCAAATATTATTTAATAATTACCTAGTGTGGTCGTTAGTGGATTTTGTGTGGTCACAGTTGTAGATGCTTTGAATGAGGTCACACCAGCCTCTTTTGTTTCCGAGACACTTTCTGTTACAGTCTCAGCTGAAGAAATGGTTTCCTTCACAGTTGAGGTTTCTGAGGAAGGATTAAAATTTCATTTTGTTTCAGTATCACATTGATAATGAGGTTACCCATTCAGAAAAAGAATCAATTAAAAAGTCAGATTTAAGTAGCATTTATGTTCGGTGAAGGGCAAAACCTAACTTGATTTACATCACCCCGACGCAAAAATCCAATCTGGTGAATAGCTTTTATATTGTACAAGTCTTTACCAAAATGATAGCAACACATTACAGATTGAGATCACATCTTCTAACGAAAGTAATAATTATTTTTCAGATAAGACATACAATGGAAGAAAAGACATATCATTATGTCATTTATGGAAGCGAATTCTTAACAACACTTTGATTCAGCATCATTTTAAATCATGGAATAAAGCTTGAACCAATTCTGTCAATGTTCCCAGATCTATGCTCAGACCAACATTGTCACATAACTCAAGTGACTGTCAGAACACATACTTTTTTCTGTTTTCTGTTGAGTTGCTTGTTTTTGAGACTCAAGATTTCTTGTTATTTTGCCGGGAACCTTTTAGCTGCCCGTAGCAGTTCAGCAAATCATCGTGTCTCTCCATTAGTTATTTAGTTTAGTTAGCTTGCAACAAACATTGACATTGTCTATTGCTCCTACATATTTTGACCAATTTCAACCAAACTTTTCAAAATATCAGTAGCCCCTGCAGCCTCAACATGTCATATGACCAAACTAGGGTCAAAGGTCAGTATGGGGTCACTGGGGTCAAAAACTTGATTTTAATCAAACCACTACTCCTCATTCCAGAAATTACATGGCACATGCATGAACACGAATTTGTTGGCCCGCAGCTTCCGAGATCTGATCGAGCTTGTTTTTTTTTTTTTCAAATGAAGAATTTACCTTTTCCTGGTATGGATGTTGCAGTTATGATGACCTTCTGGGTTGGAGACAGAGAAACTCGTTCTGTTGTTGTCTTTATTTCCACAGTTGGTTTCATTGTCTCTTTGGGTGTTGTCTCAACTTTGCTCACTGTTGTTGTGACTGCTGTAGTTGTCAAATCTAAGAGAAATCATTCCCAATTAGAAGTATAATTTGCTTGATTTATTGGATCAGAAATATATTTAATAGGCCTATCAGTTTGTAAAGAAGTGGGGCTGGACAGCTCAGCCGGTAGAGCACTGGTCTCATGCTCAAATCCAGCTCCAGTAACTTTCATTGTTCCACCTCATAAGATATTTGAGATTGTGAATATGTCTTGGATTTCATATTCCTTTGATGTGGAAGTGAGCAAAACCACTCTGTTTTGTGACAGTAAGATATTATGTGATAACTGGTGTCAAACAGAACAACTGATGAACTCAAGGAAAAAAGGATCATTGCTTACGGTCAAAACAACCAAACAGGTTCAGGTTGACTTCAGGACCACTATCTGGATCAGCACTGATCTGGGATCGGTAAAGGAGTTCCAGCGCTTGAATTTCTACCATATCTTCAGGTAGATACTGTTTCACTGGATCTGCACCACCGTTGAACAGCTACAAAAAAAAGGGATACACTTTGTTACAAAATCATCTTCAGTTTATTTAAACAACAATGATGCCACAAACTAAGGAAACAAAAATGACGTCAGTAGTGTAAAATTAATTAATTAATTAAGTAATTCAGTCGAGGACATCAGAAGTGGCTGCAAGGGGAATTGAAAGGGGTAATTGGAATTTCTTTAACATGATTTGATAATTGCTTCCTACGATTTGTATCTTTGTAAAACCCAAAATGGAACTTTTTATATGCAAGCGCAGATTGCGAAGCCTTACCACGTGGGGTCCGGAGCCTGCTTAAGGGCCCCGAAAAAGTTTGGATCCTAGATGTTCTGTGGTGCAATCTGAGGCATTTCCTGGCAACTTTTATTAGCAAAAATTTATTAGCAAAAATTTATTAGAGCAACATTGTGAACACATTACCATGGGGGGTTTACCGAGTAGGGGGCCAAATATATGTCAAACACTGTGGCTCTTAATGCTTTGTAGTGCTGTTTTATTGTTCACATTTAAATCATAGTTACCTTCAATTTGCCATTTGAATCCTTGATGATGTATTTAGTGCTCGATCCGGGCAAGAGGTAAAGTACCATGAAATCAAAGTCATCATCCTGCTCTGCAGTCAGCGATCGAACGACAACAGGTGGGTCGAAAGTTACAGTCAGCTTGGGATTCCCATTGGACGGTCTCCATGGCTCACTCGCGCTCATCGAGCCAAGGTCAGTGGATCTTGTCACAGTGATTTCGTCAAACTTGGACAGATCTTTGTCGCATAGTTCTAGGACAAACAAATCAGTTTGAAAGGTACCTTGCCTTAAAGTTCTTCAGTTAATAATAAAGTTCTTCAGTTAATAATAAAGTTCTTCAGTTAATTAATCAAGATAGGGAGAAAGAAACATATATTTTTGACAATACACAAAGGGGAGGCAGCCTGGGTTGGTGCATTGGTGTTTTCCTCGCCTTCCACTTCTGCTTCTGTGACCTTGGTTCAAATCTCACCCAAGCTTACAAGTGGATTTGTTTTGCAGTCTCTGCCTATTTTTTGAAAATTTCCCTAAAAATATGTATCTGGGGTTTGTTTTCTGTCACTAAAGCTGTTTTCAATCCACAGGTTTCTTCAGGATTGCTTGCTGCCATGTATTTGGATCTCTTGAGGAGTCCTCAGATTCATTACCAGAAACGAATTTTTTTTTTAGTTTCAACAAGCTCACTACTTTTTCTTTTACTCCTTTTACTTGGTTCCTATTAATCTTTTAAAAATTAAAACTACTTTCTTCGTAGTTTATACTCAGAGTACACACGACCTTTTATAAGTCCTTTTACAAGAATTGCACTTTTATTGTTAATTAGTATTGCTGAATGACTGCTACCTATGTTCATCACAGATATCGGATACTTTCAATCCTCACTTACTTTCTGGTTCGGTCACTTTCTTTACAGTCTGTCTGGTAACTTCTGTGGTCGTAGCCTTAGCTGTGGTAGTGGTCACAGTTGATGACTGCATCGTGTTCAACATCTCTGGCGCAGTGCTGGTTGGAGCAGTTGTTGTGGAGGTGGTGGTTGTGACCAGCGTAGTTGTCGAGGGTGTTATTATGGGCACTATTTTAAATGGCAGGAAAATATCAATTTCAAATGAGTGCTGTTGAGTTTTACTTGCATCTGTTTCTGTAATTTGTGCATGGCAGCTTTAGTGTAACAGCTGCAGGTCAGCGATATCAGAAAGCTTGCCTCAGAAGTTAAAATGGTATAATTAGTGATTTGAGAAGACTTTTTGTAATCATCAAATAAACCACATGGGGCAACAGACAAGGTGCAATTGCAATTAATATGAATAGTTACACAAAGAACATAGTTGAACCCCACTCCAGTGAATTTCTTTGTTCGTTGTTCAACTTTATACATGTCTTTGTAATTACAATTTGAAATTGGTTAATGATGCCACATAGTTGAAATACGTACATTTGACACAGCCATGGAATTCAGCTATGAAGCTGACTGCCTTGTTCTCTGGCACAATCAAGTTGTAGAGAGTTATTTCAATGAGGTTATCCAGTTCGGTGAATGGCAAGGGTACCGTGACCGGGTTTGTCACATCCACATCCCAGGGCACGTTGAATACCTAGCCAAGGCAAATACAACATAATACGTTGAAATTGAATAACTATCTTGGTTGTGAATCTGCCAATGACAATTTCTTATGTGTCACAGAAAATGTACATGTCATGCTGGAAGGTATTCAGTCACATTTACAGTGACATGAATTCAGTCACATTTACAAATTTGGGACGGACTAAATTGGTTCAGGAAACTTTGCCTGACAAGATGATGCCATGTCTGAAACTAACCTTCGGACCGGAATCGCCCTGAAGTTCCAGTGTTTTGTCTCCCTCATACAGCCTATATCTCACATTGAAGCTCTCTATAGCATTGCCCTGTGCATCTCCTTGCAGCATCACTTCCGTTAGTGTTACTGGAGTTGTGAAGGGAACTCTCAGTATGCGTGTAGCAGGCATTTGGCCATCTACCTCCAAACGTCGAGATGTGAACGGTGTCAGAACGTCGCTGCAGGTTTCTGGAGGGAAAATGTACAGAAATTGAGTAGGAGATATGTATATACATGCATGAGAAGCATCTTTAGTGAAATACGTATGAAATAGTGGGTCACCCATTTCATTGCAATGAAATTCAGTTTAATCATTTGTACAAATTGGTTGCACAATATGTCTACTGCACCCCCAAAAATGATGTTCAGACTCTGAGATTGTTATATCATGGGGAATTGAAAATGATGACACCAGGGCATTTTTAAGAATCCATTAACAGAATGCGATCCGTCAAAAGACACATGTGGGCCTGGATACACTCAGTAAAGAAGTAATCCAACCAACATTAAAAATACTAAAGACAACGAAGCAATGGTACCGGTACATATAAATATGCAAAACGTACACATCCTCTCTTTTATGCAAAAAGATTTTAAGTGTTGTTTTGACAAATTGGTTCAAAAAATACCCAAATAACATAACAATCTTTAAGATCTAGCAGCTCATTTATCACATATAAAATGTGACCCTATGTGTTCCAATAAAGTACATTTACCTTTTGTGATGGGAGTGGCCAACTTTGTTATTTTTGCCGTCGTTGTTGTTTTGGTTGTGGTTTCAGCCTCAGTCGTAGCTCTAACAGTAGTTGTAGTCTCATCTTTCATTGTTTCCATTCCGATGGTTTTGGGGACAGTGGTTGTAACTGTTGAAGTTGAAGAGGTTGATTCTGACAGACCACCTGTTGAAGTATAGGGATCAAGTAAAAATTCATTCAATTTCATACCATTTTTCATACAATTTATTTTGGAATCATTCATCTATGTAAACACCCCCCCCCAAAAAAAATACAAGAACCAAAACAACAACAAAAACCAAAATCAAACCTGCTGCATTGTGTAACAGGTTAGCACAATGGTATTTTCATCCCCCTCCACCTGTGATTCAGTTATAATCTCCACTTTGGCCCACTGAATATTTGGTTTAAACTTTCCAGTCTGCACTTGCAAAAAAAAAATTCCTTCCTACAACACTAAATGTTTTGTTGATTTTGTGTATCAAAAGAATGCTTTAGGCTTGGAAGCTACAGTGTGTAATGAGCACTTTAGGAGTCGTTTCCAAACATGAAAAATACAATTCATATTCCAACCATCACTTTATTGAATGCTGTAGAAGTCTATGTACCATTAGAATCTAATATAAGAGTGTAGAGTGGACAAACTTGCCTTGTGGTTGAGGAGTAGTTGTCTTTGAAGTGGACTTTTCTGTAACGACTGCCTCTGTTGTAGTGGTAACAGCCATTGTCTCCTTCGTCTCTGTGGTTGTTTCTTCTGTGGTGAGAGGAGCTTCAACCGTCACCTCAATTGTTGTGACAACTTCTGTTGTTGATGGGAGTTCTGTTTAAAACACAATATTAAAAGGAACTTGACAGTAAAGTACAAGGCAGCAGAGTGCAATACAAGATTCAGATAGAAGTGATCAGCATTTCGAAAACATATTCAATTGCAAAGAACTTTATTGTAAGTTTGCATATGGACATGACATGGAGAGGTTTACAACACCATTTATGACAAAACTTTTGAATAGTGGGACTCAACATTATTTCATTATGACCTTTCTCTTAACAACTGTGTATCTACGTACCTTTTACACAACCAACAAGTTCAGTTTTCACATTTGCAGTCTGCGCAATGTCTGAGTACCTATAGAATTGCAATTTCATGGCTCTGACATTCTGTAACTCCTGGACATCTGGCATCATCATCCTGGTTAACTGTGAGGATTTCTCCACAATGAATTCCTGTTCCAGATAAGCAGAGCATGATGATTTTAATTGACAACAAAGGCATTCAAAGGTCAGCTTATTACAACTGAACCTGTATCTGACTTACTTTTCTCTAAAATAACAAGACTGTATGTACCATCAACATTATTTTCTGATCTTGATAACAATGGCTCAAATACAGAACTAAAGTTTGGGGAATCTTGCCAACAACAAAGCTTTTGGCAGTTCACTACACATACTTGGGGTAATTTTATGTAATGCAGTGTAGACTTTATGAACTAAATGGACACATTGCCATCCTAGTATCCAAGACATTATTGCTTCGTCCTGCGTATGGGACGTAAAGCTGTAGGTCCCATGTGTTGTATAATGCAATGTACGAAAAAGAACCCAGTGGCATTTATCACTAAGAGAAGGGGTTTGCCCCGGCGTTTCTGGCTTCCTGTTAAAACTGGAATATTTAGGAGAAGAACCAACCAAGAACCGAGAACATGCTATATAGCAATTCAGTATGAAGAACTGTGAAGCTGATAGCTGTTGTTTTCATGTGATGAATGATTAGCAGTCTATTGTTGTCTTCATTTAGTTGTGTTAAGGCTGGAAATAGAATCAACAGAAACCACTGATAGGACTGTTTGTTCCAGACTCACCCGCACTTGCCCATTGGCATCAGTGACTGGTTTCAGTTGGGAGATTGAGGATCCACCATACACGATGAAATTCTTGACCCCTTCCGTAAACAGATCAACCGCAGTAATGCGCAATGGCGAATCAAACCGCAAGTATATTTCTGCTCTTTCCCCACTGAATGAGTATTTTTCATCACTGCTGAATGTTGACATAGCCACTTGCTGATTAGATGGAGATCCTATGCGGCTTTCCTCATGATTGAGTAGCAGGTCCATGCAGTCTCCTAGGACAGTGATAAGATACAAATGATCATTTAGGCAGAGGAAAATCACCAGTGCTGTACTCTCGATTCCAGTTCCCACAAGTCTTCACAAATCCTCACAAGTCTATCACAAGTCCTCCAGTCTCACTTCAAATCACAAGCTATTCAAATGAATTGTAACAAAGGCAATTCTTTGTTATTGTTCACCCCATGTTTGCCCCTAGACTTGTGAAAGGACTTGTGAAAGGAGTTGTGATTTAATTAAAGGACTTGTGATGGATTGTGGTGAACTTGACCATAACACTGAAAATCACCAGTCATCCCTCAGGTTTTGAAACAATGGATTCCACGCTGGAGTAATCCCTTCACCAGTAAGGATTGAAAACATCATTGCCATCGTCCGTTGTATGTAATGAATCTTGCAAAGACCAAACTTTGGTACTTTCTCGGATGTCTATGGACTCCATGCACAAGTAGCCCCTAAATTGTTACAAAAGGAGATTTGAGGGAGACTACTGGGGTGGATTTTTGATTTGAGTCATTCCCAATCCACCGGCACATATTTACATCACTGCCAGACTGTTTCGTTTCTGTGATTTAAATGTTTCAAAACTGGATTCTCTGAAACACAATGTTTCAAATTCTAGTTTATTATGGCAGCTTTAACCGTTTGCTGATGGACCAACTGCATGTCAAATAGGTCCAAATACCTTTAGTAGTGGAAGCAGAGCTGGTCATCGTAGCTGTTGTTTGTGTGGTTGTCATGGCTGATGTTGGGGTTGTACTGACAGTAACAGTGGTCGTCTCCTCTGAAGTTGACGAAGGAATAGGTGACGAGGTTGGAACTGTTGTCGTCTTTGCAACAGTTGTTGTCATCTCTGTTGAAACTGATTCTGTTTTCCAAAGTATTGAATAAAGTTAATTGCTTGTAAAACAAATTTATTTTAATAATGAATTATGGTAATAATTTTTTATATGCCATTGAGGTGCACTCACACCAAGCTTTTTGATAAAGTTAAGTAGTAAAACAAGTACAGTAGCTTTACGCTAGGTCTCCATGCTAATCATGAATATCCTCATCTTTAAAAGTAAATTATACTGTGTTGATGTATAAAATGTAGAATTTTGTTTGACTTTTAAATATCCAACCTTTTCAGTCTGCTTTTCTTTTGAAGAACAGAATGGGTTTCTGTGATAAAATTTCATTACTGAAAAATACCCCTATTTTTAATTCTATTTTATTAATCTTACCCTCTTTACAGCTGTGGAATTCCACCCGTAAGTGTTCTTCAGCCACCTGGCCAAACATAGCTATCACTTCTAAGCGAGCTTGTCGAACCCCAGTGGGCATGTCAGCACTATCAAACGATATTTTCTCCACGGTGTCTCCTTCCAACTTGATGTTCCGCTGGAATCATTGAAAGCAAAATAATATTAGTATAAAACAGACAATCAAAAGCTAAGGGGGAGGGGGAGAAGGAAATGGTGCTAACCCCCAACCGGTAGAGTTGAAATAAATAATACCAAAATTACGAAATGAAAATTAAAAAAAACCCAAAAATGCAACAAATGCGTGTTCATGCAGGAGTCACATGACTGTGCCATGTAATTTCTGGAAGTTGCGTTTTGAGAGGAAAAAAAAAAATCAGCTTTTTGACCCCCGTGACCCCATGATGACCTTTTTTTGCCCCCCAGTTTGGTCATGTGACATGTTGGGGCTGGTCTACTGATACTTTTGGCAAAATTTGGTTGAAATCAATCAAAATATGTAGGAGCAATAGACAATGTCATCGTTTGTTACTAACTAACGGAGAGACATGATAATTTGTTGAGCTGCCATCCCGCAGCTAAACACTCATATTTTTCAAGCGATGGGCCTAACCAAAATACACTCACCGAACCACCAACAATCTTGTCAAATTCACCAGTCCCTTGCGTTTGAACTGAGATGGCATACATTAACTGAATGCTATCATCTGTATTTCCTTGCAGGTTGACACCACGAAGTTCGACAGGATCCCTGAAGGCAACTGTTAGTTTTGGCCTTGCCTCACGGTTTGGAGTGAATTTTGGAGCAGTGAAACTCCATGGAGTGTTGCTGTTGATACGCCCTTGCCCCGTGGATCCATCTGGTGAGGTAGAGCGCCCTATTTCTGTCCCATCTATGCAGTGTTCTGTTTATAAAAGAGTGGTAAGATTAGACACTGATTACTAATCAAAACAATATGCATGTAAAGAAAAGGTACACTATCAATTCTTGAATTGGCGGGAATATCAGTGCAGTGAATAATAGCTTTCAACAGATTGGCAGGGTATAGACAATCCTGGCCTGTGATCGCTGTACACTCATGAGTCACCCTCAAATGGTGAAAGCATTGTGCCATCTATTGTGAAAAGCTACTGTCCCCTGACAATTATCTGAACAATAGCTAGCACAATGCTTTCACCATTGAAGGGGGCCTCCATGATAGAAATGACAGCGTGCCAAGATTGGTCTATAGGTACAGTGTTGATTGGGGTTTAAGTGCCTTCTTTTTTGCCTCACTTTGCAGCGCTTCGGGTTTTAGTAAAAGAATCATATTTGCAGCTTGATTTCAGCTTTTGTTTGGAGATTCACTGGTTCAGCCACAGATTAATGTGATGATAATTTGTGCAACAAAAAGTATCCCCAATTGACTCAAAAGTGAAGTAGATACTGGTAACAGCAGTTTTGCTATATTCAGACTTAAGATACTTACCTTCTGGAGTTGTCGTTGACACTGTGATTTCTTTGGTGGTTACTTCGGTTGGTGAAGTGATTACTGTTGTGGTAACAGTTGAAGTTGGTGATGTTTGTGTTTGTTCTGTTGGTAAAATGAAAGAGACATGCATGTGAAATTACCTGTGCACATTAGTAAATGTGGGTTTTTCACAACTTACAGGTCAGTGTTGATATTTGCACGTACAGCAATATACCATCCAGAAACAAATAACAAATAGTGCAGAAATGGAACTCAGATCTTATCGTATGTGGGCTGAATTGCTGATTTACCTGTCAAATTAAGTCATTAAAATTGAAAATACACTCAACCAAAAAAGAAAGTCCCCCCTTCCAATACTTTTTTGTCTAACTCAAAAACTACTTGGCATCTTGCTCAAATTACGACTGATCAGTACAGAAATTCCTTAGCAATCCAGCCATACTCTTTAGTTGGCCCAAAATGGTAATAATGTGTACGAATTTATGCAATTTATGACAAATGATACGAAAAACAGTTGCACTTTTGTATACGTGCATGTTGCAGTTCATACTCACCTTGCAAGTGTACAAAACTTGTCATTAATTGCATCATATTGTACACATCACTGTTTTCAGCCAAACAAAGAGTATGTCTGGATTGCTAAGGAATTTCTGCACTGATCAGTCGTAATTTGAGCAAGATGTGCCCAGTAATTTTTGAGTTAGACAAAAAGTATTAAGGGGGGACTTTCTTTTTTGGTTGAGTGTAGATATCTTTCTTGAAATACTTCCTGTTTTCGACTTGAACGCTTAAGGTAGGTACAAGGGCGGATCCAGAACACAATTTTGGGGGGGCCCAAAAAAATTTTGGTCCCCCCAAAAAGTGGGTCTAAAAAATTACGGCGTGGGGTTCGGGGCCCGCTAGGGCCCCGAAAAATTTTTGGATTCTAGATGCTCTGTGGTGCGATCTGAGGCAATTTCTGACCACTTTAACCAATTTTTTTGGAGGAAAAGATGGTGGTGAACTCATTGCCTGCCTTTATTGCGATGTCACATTAAAAAAAAAAAATTGGTTTCGTTTTTTGGGGGGGGGGCCATGGCCCCCTTTGGCCCCCCTGGATCCGCCCTTGGGTAGGTATACAACAATGAGAAGCCTTACAAAACAAGGACATATGGTCAATTTTACCTGTGAAACGGAACGAAGATTTGCCTGTTGTACCAGCTTGAACACCAATAGATCCGTTGGGTTTCCCTCCTAAAAAATGCAGTAGACAGAGCAATAAATGTATGAATGGAGGCTTATCACAACCATTAAAAAATAAGGCATGTAAATAAAACTAATTATATGTGTGCTGATGATGTGATTTAAATTCAAAATTTGAAAACATGCAAAAGTCCCACAATTTCCAAATTTGAGCTTTTCAACCAATATGTTGACCTATTATAAATAAAAATAAACATACAAAGACAAATATTAAACTAACCCGGTGGTAATACAACAATAGGACCACCACCTGCGGCTGCTGTGGTTGATGTTGTTGGAGCCGGAGTTGTACCTTGAAGTGAAAGAATGTGCGAAAAGAATGGATTAATAAACCAGTTTTATGTTTACATATAGAAAGAATTTTTAAGTTTTGAGATAAACTTGTGATTCTCCATCACAATAATGACTAATACAAAACCAAAACAAGTGATAACTAGACTTATGTTTGTGGACAAACACATGGCTGTTTCGGCATTTTGTTGATGCATGCTCAAGTCCTTTTTCTAGACTCATAGTTATCGCACATCCCAATGAAGGTACATACCAAGTAACAACAAAAGTGTACCCATACCGGTAGTTCTGTTGATAAAGGCCTTAGAATAATGCACCTTTAATGCGAAGTCACATGTCAAGTGATAACATATAACTTCAATTTACATCTATAACATCTCCCAGTCTAGTCTACGTGTAAAAACCAAGTTTCAACTCAATCGGACCTGTAGTTCTGTAGACATATAAAGGCCTTCAAAATATGCACCTTTTATATGACGTCATATGTCATGTGATGATGTCATGATAGCATCACTTCAATTTTCATCTAAAACACATAACGGTCTAGGTACATACCAACTTTTAACCCAATTTGGCCCGTAGTTCTGTAGATGTAGGCCTTCAAAACTACACCTTTAATGTGACGTTATGAAAAAAAGGCCTGTTTAGGCAAGACTGTTTCAGGAAGTTGTCAAAACAGTCAAAAATTTGATCCCTTTATCGTAGTACAGTGAAGCGAATATAAACGAAAATATTGTTTTTGAAATGATACCAAACTGGTTAGAATAAACTATCACATTGAAGGATTTGGGATCTTACTTGTGAAAACAAAAGATGCTTCAGTTGGTTTGACCGTTTGGCTGCCTATTGATCCACCAGGACCTCCTCCTAATAAAAAAAGAGGTCAGTTTTATAGACTCAGAATAATATGCAGGATAATATCTGCAAGTTGATAAAGTTTGATCAAATCGGATGTATAAAAAGGGAATGGTGACTGTTGCCACTAATGCAACCATGACAATTGAGTGTGGTATGCAGTTTAAGAATTTAGGTATCAGCACTATGCTAACAAAATGTCTAACATAAAAAGTTTGGTATTTTTGTCTTTATGCTATTTAACCTTCAATTAGTTTTCCAAGTTCCCCATAGTTGATCATTGTTCATCCCCATAGTGTGTCGATTTTCCAGGTTAAATTAACTCTTTGACTATCAAATTAACGGTTTCAGAGAAAACTGAATTAAAGTGCAATAAAATTGAGAAAATAGCAGATTCCAGTGGGTGCTATTTCAGCAAATATATCAGACTTAAACATGTTTTTTTCCCTCCTAAACTATGATGAATTTGAAAATGAAAATATCTTGCAACTAAGAAACATACGACAGTTATTAAACTAACCCGGTGGAACTACAACAACAGGACCACCGCCTGCGGCTGCTGTGGTTGACGTTGTTGGAGCCGGAGTTGTACCTTGATTTGAAAGAATGTGTGAAAAGAATCAATTTATTAATCAAATCTTATATTGTTGAAATACGGCCTATAGAAGGCATTTCAGTTAAACTTCTGATTCTCCTTCAAAATAATGAATGATTCAAAACAAAAACAAGTGATAAAAACTTGATCCCCTTATCGTAGCACAGTGAAGCAAAAATAAACAATAAAAATATTGTTTTGGAACATATTAAAGATAAAAAAGTATCATGTTGAATGATTTGGGACCTTACTTGTGAACACAAAAGATGCTCTAGTTGGTTTGACCGTTTCTTGGCCTATTGATCCACCAGGACTTCCTCCTAAAAAATAGAAAAGTCAGTTTGATTAACTCAGATTAATTTGAATATCAATATCTGCAAGTTGATAAAGTTTGATTAAATCAGATTTATGGAAAAAGCAAAGGTGACTGTTTCCATTAATATAATCATGACCAAAGGCCTAAAAAAATATGATTATGCAGTCAACCAGTGTAAAGAGGTCCTTAACTGGTATATGCACCGATTTCACTGTCTTCTGAAGTCACGGTTGGCACAGGAAAAAATGATACATTTGTTTTGTTTTGCATTTTTTGGCAAATTTGTTTCTTTGAAATCTTGAATAGTTAAATGTTACAACATTATCTCGATGAAAACACTCCAAAACATTTTATGTGACTCTGAATAGTTAAATATTACAACATTATATCTATGAAAACACTCCAAAACGTATATGCATTTTGAAACCTGACTGTATAATGAAACAAAAATACTTCAATTGAGGGTGTACTGACCAGCTAGCGCGACATCCCACTAGTAAAATTCAAGCAAATAGTAGTCTTGAGTGGGTGCCATACTCAGCAAATATATCAAATATTTTTCAAAAACATTTTCAATCAAACTGTTGATGTGTTTGAATATGAAAATAAATTATAACGAAGAAAAGTTGTAGGAAAATCATTGAACTAACCCGGTGGTACTACAACAACAGGGCCACCACCTGCGGCTGCTGTGGTTGATGTTGTTGGAGCCTGAGTTGTACCTAATTGAATTGAAAGAACGTGTGACAAAAATTGACTTAAAAACCAAATAGAAGAAATTTTAAATTTTAGTTAAACCTTATGATTCTTGATGACACTAATCAATGATAGGCCCTACAAATAAAAAACAACAGGTGCTAATAACAATTAGATCTCCTTATTGCAGTAAAAAGTTGTTTGAAAAAGTTACAATAAACTGTGATGTAGAGTGATTTGGGATCTTACTTGTGAAGACAAAAGATGTTTCATTCTTTGTGACTGGTTGGACACCAATCGTTCCGCCACCTCCTCCTCCTGGAAAGGTAAAGAAAATTACAAGGTTGATGAAATATATTTTAATGGACTCTTACTTTTTTATAATAACCCGGAAAGTGCCTTCCGGTTTAATGAGAAAAACTTACTCAAAATCAAGGTAGGAATGGTCCCAAATATCCTGAGAAATTGCTATGCCAGAAATGGTTTCAGGCAAAAAAAAACACACACTGATTGAAAATGTTGCCACAGGCCAGAAGACCTATTATTTTTTTATGTGTGTTGAGCAACAGAATCTAGGTATGAGACCCAAAAAATGTGCAATACATTTTTTTCCCCATCATCTCAGAATGTCTAGCAGCCGCTGAGCTAAAACTTTTAACAGTTTTGGTACTCTTCTTACGATTTTGATCAATAAGCCAGTTCAGTATTTCAACTATGCATGCGCACAATGATACTGGTCACAGGTCATTTGGGATGATCGAAGGCATATGAAAGCGCAAAGAGACGGGTGCACGATGCTTGTTCGCTAATGACAACATCAGTGGGCGTCTGCATATCATCACATATCATCACGTCAGCAAGTTTATCCCAAATGACCTTTGACCTTAAGATACCGAATTGGCTTATGGAGTGACTTCAAATGAAAGACAAATGAACAAAGAGCAAATCGGGCTATGCAGAATAGAACAAGGTAGTAAGACATTTAGCAAATTTACCCGGTGGTACAATAACAACAGGACCACCTCCTGCAGCTGCTGTGGTTGAAGTTGCTGTAGTTGAAGCCCGAGTTGTACTCTCTGGAATTGAAAGCAAACGTAAAAAGAATGACCATGTAAACCCTATGTTGTTCTTTTGAAAGTTTAGTTGAGCATCAATTAGTGTCCAAATTTTCTGCCACATTCACAAGTGATTTTAAAAAGATATCCTGAGAATTGTTTTCAGTGCTTTTTCCATGACAAAGAGTAGGAATTATTGATATTATCAATAAAAAAGTGATCTTAGAGTTTGGGCAAATTTTTGGGATTGTGATATTAAAAGTCTCTGAGAATTTACTGGAAATCTTACATCTTAGTTCACCTTTGATGTCAAAGTGATTTTGTTTAAATTCATTAGTTTTGTTTGTATCCACTCCTGTGTCAGCTGTTTCAACGTACCCAGGGTTGTCTCCACTGGCTCTTGAGTGGTAGTTACTATCGTTGTGGTTGACGATGGGGTAACTGTAACTTCCTTCACAGTCGTGACTTTCTCAGTTGAAGATGGGTATGTTGTCGTCGTTGTTACTGTTGTTTCTGGGGCTGAAAACAGAACAAATGAAACAGATTCTTTTGATTTAATAAAATGAACAAAGGACATGATACATTTTATTGTGCATGAAGTGATTTTAAAAGTAAGCTGTAATGAATTTGTGTAAATTATTCTTATTCTTCAAAAGCCCTTACATTTATTTATAAAACAAATACCAACAGTGACATGTACATAATTAGGTGCATTAGCAAGAATTGTCTGTCCTTTGTCCCATTGACAGAAGGAATTAACACTAAAGGGCTCCAATCTAACTTTGTGGAGGAGCTTAAAAAATGAAAAAAAAAACACCCCAAAACAAAGAGTCACGTAGATTTCCCCCTGGAAATTTTGAGCAATGAACAAATACATTCTCAATATAAACCAACATTGAAAAACACTTTTTGCATAAATTTTAATTTAATTAATTAAAAATTTAATTGAGAAAACCTTGAAAATCATGGTAAATAGGGTTTATAATGTTTTTCAAGAACCAATTAATGAAACTAAATTAATTCTGTGGACGTAGAGCTTTACCTTTAGTTGTGGTGGTTGGTAATCGAGTTGTTGTTGGCAATGTTGTACTCATTCTAGTTGTGGTGGTTGGTAGTAGAGTCGTCGTTGGCAATGTAGTACTCATTCTTGTTGTGGTGGTTGGTAGTCGAGTTGTTGTTGGCAATGTAGTACTCATCCTAGTTGTGGTAGTTGGTAATCGAGTTGTTGGTAATGTTGTGCTCATTTTTGTAGTGGTTCCTGAAGGACGTCGAGGGGGTTTCGTTGTTGTCTGAACATCGGAACCACCTGGAGAGCGTCGAGGGGGTATCCTTGTTGTCCGAACATCTGAACCACCTGGTTCAGATGTGGTGGTTGGTAGTCGAGTTGTTGTTAGCAATGTTGAATGCTGTGTTGTTATTGGCATTGTTGTTTTCAACAATGTGGTTGCCTCTGCAAGTAGAGTCGTTGTTGGTGATGTTGTTGTACCCATTGTTGAAGTGGTTGGAGTAGTTGAGAACACAAACTTATGACCTGGCGTTGAGGGAGTTCTTTGCGATATTGGGCCGCCACCTCCACCTTTGAAGATAACCAGCAAAACATGTATTATACACTAGGCAACATATATTTGTTAACAAAGAAATGATTGTCACTGTCGTCCTTTTTCAGTACAATTTATTAACACTGACATAGTATATATATATTCATAAACTATTACAATTAAAAGTGGTCATTTACCTTGACCTGGAACAGGCTTAAATGGTTTAAAGGCAGTGCTACTGATAGTTGTCGCTGGTAATGTTGATGTTATCCTTGTTGTTGGCAACGTTGTGCTCGTTCTTGTTGTGGTGGTTGGCAGTCGAGTTGTTGTTGGCAACGTTGTGCTCATTCTTGTTGTGGTGGTTGGCAGTCGAGTTGTTGTTGGTAACGTTGTGCTCATTCTTGTTGTGGTGGTTGGCAGTTGAGACGTTGTTGGTAATGTAGTAATCATTCCCGTTGTGGTAGTTGGCAGTCGAGTTGTTGTTAGCAATGTTGTCATTGGCATTGTAGTTTTCAACAATTTGGTCGCCTCTGCAAGTAGAGTCGTTGCTTGTGATGTTGTTGTAGCCATTGTTGAAGTGGTTGGAGTGGTTGAGAACACAAACTTATGACCTGGTGTCGAGGGAGTTCTTTGCGATATTGGGCCGCCACCTCCACCTTTGAAGATAACCAACAGAATGTGAATTTGGAAATAAACAATGTTGGCAATGACAAATTGTTTACGAAGAAATTATTCTTATTGTCACCCTTTTATAAGTTAAAATTTTAAACACTGTGATTAGCATTTTCTTAAGTTATGATAAATTAAAGTGGCCATACCTTGACCTGGAATAGGTTTAAATGGTTTAAAAGCAGTGCTACTGATAGTTGTCGCTGGTAATGTTGACGTCATCCTAGTTGTTGGCAATGTGGTACTCATTCTCGTTGTGGTAGTTGGTAGTAGAGTCGTTGTTGGCAATGTAGTACTCATTCTCGTTGTGGTAGTTGGCAGTCGAGTTGTTGTTGGCAATGTTGTAGTTGGAGTAGTTGAGAACACAAACTTGTGACCTGGTGTTGAGGGAGTTCTTTGTGATATTGGGCCACCACCTCCACCTTTGAAGATACAAAATGTGCATTTGGAAATAAAAAATGTTGGCAATGACAAATTGTTAAAGAAAGAATTGTTATTTTCACCCTTTTATAAGTCTAAGTTGCAATTTTAAACACTGGCAGAAGACTTTTTTTTAAGTTCAATTAAAAGTGGCCATTTACCTTGACCTGGAACAGGTTTAAATGGTTTAAAAGCAGTGCTACTGACAGTCGTTGTTGGCAATGTAGTACTAATTCTTGCAGTGGTAGTTGGCAGTCGAGTTGTGGTTGGTAATGTAGTACTCATTCTCGTTGTGGTAGTTGGTAGTAGAGTCGTTGTTGGCAATGTAGTACTCATTCTCGTTGTGGTAGTTGGCAGTCGAGTTGTTGTTGGCAATGTTGTACTCGTTCTCGTTGTGGTGGTTGGTAGTCGAGTTGTTGTTGGCAATGTAGTACTCAATCTAGTTGTGGTAGTTGGCAGTCGAGTTGTTGTTAGCAATGTTGTCATTGGCATTGTAGTTTTCAACAATGTGGTTGCCTCTGCAAGTAGAGTCGTTGCTTGTGATGTTGATGTAGCCATTGTTGAAGTGGTTGGAGTAGTTGAGAACACAAACTTGTGACCTGGTGTTGAGGGAGTTCTTTGTGATATTGGGCCACCACCTCCACCTTTGAAGATACAAAATGTGCATTTGGAAATAAAAAATGTTGGCAATGACAAATTGTTAAAGAAAGAATTGTTATTTTCACCCTTTTATAAGTCTAAGTTGCAATTTTAAACACTGGCAGAAGATTTTTTTTTAAATTCAATTATAAGTGGCAATTTACCTTGACCTGGAACAGGTTTAAATGGTTTAAAAGCAGTGCTACTGACAGTCGTTGTCGGCAATGTAGTACTCATTCTTGCAGTGGTAGTTGGCAGTCGAGTTGTGGTTGGTAATGTAGTACTCATTCTCGTTGTGGTAGTTGGTAGTAGAGTCGTTGTTGGCAATGTAGTAGTCATTCTCGTGGTGGTAGTTGGCAGTCGAGTTGTTGTTGGCAATGTAGTACTCATTCTTGTGGTGGTAGTTGGTAGTAGAGTCGTTGTTGGCAATGTAGTACTCATTCTAGTTGTGGTAGTTGGTAGTGTAGTTGTTGTCGGTAATGTAGTACTCAATCTAGTTGTGGTAGTTGGCAGTCGAGTTGTTGTTAGCAATGTTGTCATTGGCATTGTAGCTTTCAACAATGTGGTTGCCTCTGCAAGTAGAGTCGTTGCTTGTGATGTTGTTGTAGCCATTGTTGAAGTGGTTGGAGTAGTGGAGAACACAAACTTGTGACCTGGTGTCGAGGGAGTTCTTTGAGATATTGGGCCACCACCTCCACCTTTGAAGATAACCAGCAAAACATGTATATGGAAATATATAGTGTTGGCAAAACACATGCATTAGCACAGAAGGGATGTTATTCATATTTTCCTTTTTTATCATTGCTATTTTTTATACTTGAATGGGAGTGAAACCTATCCCCTAAATGGGTGTTTTAAAAGAAAATCATATGGTTCTTATGTTTTTGCTGTATGGGTGGATTTTATCTGTACCATATACCAAGAATATTAGAGTTTTGGGTAGACCCAAATATAAAGCAATGCTTAAAAATGTAAACCACTAATTAGCACTTTACAAGTTTACATTGGTAACCAGAAGGATGTACAACTTTAGGCATGGTACGGTTCCTATTACAGTGTTCTCACAAAATCTTCAGATGAAATCCCATGGCATTTCCATGACTTTTTCCAGGACAAAAGTAGGGCTTTCCATGCAATGACTATTTCATACACGGCAGTTACAATAAGCTGGCCAATCTAGGAATGCCATTCCCGTATAGCCTTCGAGTTTGACATGAGACTGTTACGCCCCAAGTAGACCATCAGCTAAACTTATAAGCATTCCAACTTTAACTTTCATGATTTTCAAGGTTTGTTTCAGGATTGAGGGAACCCTGCCATTAATGCTAAAAAAAATAATTATAACGCATCTAAATTTACTAATAGCTGGGTTAAATTTTGTGTGTGATCTGGGCCGGAGGAAAATGAAAAGGCTATACTAACGGTTTCAAAATTTCATATGTTTGATTGCCTAACATGTCCATAAGTTATTAAAGCCAAAAGTGGCCATTTACCTTGACCTGGAACAGGCTTAAATGGTTTAAAGGTAGTGCTTCCGACAGTCGTTGTTGGCAATGTAGTACTCATTCTCGTAGTGGTAGTTGGTAGTCGAGTCGTTATTGGTAATGTAGTACTCATTCTCGTTGTTGTGGTTGGTAGTCGAGTTGTTGTTGGCAATGTAGTACTCATTCTAGTTGTGGTGGTTGGTAGTCGAGTTGTTGTTGGCAATGTAGTACTCATTCTCGTTGTTGTGGTTGGTAGTCGAGTTGTTGTTGGCAATGTAGTACTCATCCTAGTTGTGGTAGTTGGTAGTAGAGTCGTTATTGGCAATGTAGTACTCATTCTTGTTGTGGTGATTGGCAGTCGAGTTGTTGTTGGCAATGTAGTACTCATCCTAGTTGTGGTAGTTGGTAATCGAGTTGTTGGTAATGTTGTGCTCATTATTGTAGTGGTTCCTGAAGGACGTCGAGGGGGTATCGTTGTACCTGAACCTGAACCACCAGGACGTCGAGGGGGTTTCGTTGTTGTCTGAACATCTGAACCACCTGGAGGGCGTCGAGGGGGGATCGTTGTACCTAAACCTGAACCACCAGGGCGTCGAGGGGGCATCGTTGTCTGAACATCTGAACCACCTGGAGGGCGTCGAGGGGGGATCGTTGTACCTAAACCTGAACCACCAGGACGTCGAGGGGGTATCGTTGTCTGAACATCTGAACCACCTGGAGGGCGTCGAGGGGGGATCGTTGTACCTAAACCTGAACCACCAGGACGTCGAGGGGGTATCGTTGTCTGAACATCTGAACCACCTGGAGGGCGTCGAGGGGGGATCGTTGTACCTAAATCTGAACCACCTGGAGGACCTGAGTAACAGAAGAACAGTTAGTCTTCTAATGGACTATTTTTAGAATTTTTTTTAAGTGAAAATATATATGATATACATCTATTGTAGCATCTGCTGGCCTCATGAAATGTGTTTCATGTCAGGAAAACAAGGATACATTCATTTTTTTTAATGTCATGTAATGTAAAGACTTTTCCCAAATATATTGAAATAATGTGATGTGATTTGAATATGAAAAAAATAGAATCAATTACAAAATTACATTGATTCTCAGTTATATTAACAGATCTCACTCCTAAGAAAAATGTTTGATAAGGGAAAACATAAAATGAACAGATAAAAATAAATAAATAAACCAATACTTTTGTGACATTGGAAGCTGCTACCAATGTCACAAAAGTATTGGTGCAACTAAGTTAACGCACTGGTCCTTTTCGATTGTTCACGTCATGATGAGCTTGCGCACATTTGTTTCAAGTTGACGTAAACAATACGAGCATTTCACAATGCAGTGCACCGCCAAGAGTTTAATTTACCACTGAGAGTTCATTTTCCCAATGCATTGTTGGAGATGGTCAACAAATTTGCAGCGGGGGCTTTTTGAAATTGCTAGTTTGCCCGGTCAGTAGTTTCGTAAGCGTATGATTCGAGTATCTGTTTACCCTTTCTTTTCCTTTTATCAATGTAGTGGTTTTTTGGAAAGTGGCAGAATGCTATGCCCCAATTCTCATGGGCGTCACCAGGATGTTTTTTTTTGCGGGGGGGGGGGGGGGGGGGGGGGGGGGTCCAGGCAAAGCACCCCTCCTTGCCCCATCCGGGCAACGCCTATACCAATCTTTACCAATTACACTTTCAAATCCATGGCTGTATTTTGTCGACCGTAAACTTGAGAAATGGACTCTCCTTGCACACTCTTTTTTGGCGCACTGCATTGTGAAATGCCTGAATTGAAATGAACCGATGTGTTTGATGTCACCACCATCTTTAAAGTCTCCCATTGAAGGGTGAAGTGTCTTTACCTCTGGTTGGGAGTTGCGTTGTTGTCAGTGTTGTTATCAGTGGTGTGGTTGTACTCATTCTTGTTGTGGTAGTTGGTAGTGGAGTTGTTAAAAGTACTGTTGTTGGCAATGTTGTACTGGGTAATATGGTGGTAGTTGCAAGCTCTGCCATTGTGAAACATAAATAAATAAAATTAAGTGGACAAAAATGCAGATCACAAGTACATTATGTGTGATTTTAAAAGTTACATTCAATTAGTATGATTTGGCCATATGCAATAATTTCCATCATATTTTCGAACAGGTTCAAGTGCCTATCATGTGTTCTGTCACTTTTTTTTAAACTAAAAACTAATGGATTTATCAGTCTGAATTTCAAATGGCACTTTAGCAACACTTATAACTTATCTGGCATAAGGTCTTGACTAGGAGGGAGGATTGTTTGCCTACAGATTTTTTAAGTTCAAACGACAGCCATTTTGAACCTATTACGAGGTTACTGCCAATAAAGCTGACATTGAAACACCCTCCCCCCGAAAAAAAGAAAAAACAGAAACAGAAACAGAAACTATATAACTTTTTGAAGGTAAATGATATTGTTAAGGTGTTCACAAGAAATAAACAAAACCTTAGGGCCTATGTCTTTATCAGAATACCTGTTGTACTCTTTGCCTGGGTTATGGTAGTCTGTTTAGTAGTTGTTTCTGTAGGCTTTGTTGTCACTGTTGTGATTTTAATAGTTTCCTCTGATGTTGATGGCGTTGTTGAGGTTGTTGCCAAAATAGTTGTTGTCACTGAAAAGAAACCCACATAAACATTATCATTACATTATCGTTAAAGTTCTGTAAAGACAATCAGTACAGAAAAAGTCAGCACAGGAAAGTGTTTGCTTCTATAAACATTGTAAAGCAACTGTCACATACCTATTTCAGCACATCCAAAGAGGTCAACATTGAGTTTCTTTACATCACTACCACTATCAATCTTTACTGGAACTAATTGAATCTCTCTCAATTGTGGCAAGTCGGGCAAGCGTGTCTTGTCGATGCCATTGGCTGTGAAGATCCGCACATTTCCTCCATCCATCAGAAACTCTGAAGCCGAGTCTGGGGTTTCTTTCACTTTGAGTGCGAATTCGGTGATTGAATTGTCATCCTCTTCATCACTTATTACGACGCTTGAGAGCCGGACAGGTGATGAGAATGTCACCGTCAGTGACTCTAAGTTGTCTGCGTCCTCTGCTGACGGTGGACGTGTTTGAGGCAGAGAACCTATCTCCCAGGAAGAACCTGATGTCAGAATTTCGCCATTGGACATCTGTCTCTGAACTTCAAGTTTGTCGATCTTATTCAAATCTTCACTGCATTCGCCTGTAAAATGAATGTGGTTACAACTTTTTACTTGTGTGGAAGAATTTTCTGTTCATTTGCAAATTTTAGAAGACACCCCTTTAAAAAGGTCCTTTATTAATGAGTCAAAATTTGGGCACATTGCTAATGTAGACAATCTGTTATACCTGGGTTTACAACTGACTTCATTTGACCCTAAGTGTCAAGCCAGACTGGTCTGTCAGTGAACTTATTATGGTTTTTAATGCATCCGTATGTTTAAACTTTACTTGATACAGTGGTGACTTACCTCCAACAATTTGTTCTCCTTTTGACTGTAAATGCACATTGTCTCTGGCTGACTGGTATGTATTAATCAGGCAGTTAGCCTTAATTAGCAGACAGAAATTATTTTGTGACAGGGTGTGACTGTAAAACAACACACAAGGGGATGTAACATTGATCATGAAAATTTACCTGGAGTAGTTGTTGTAACCTCTGGGGTAGTAGTGGCAATTGTTGGTTGTGCAGTCGAAGGTATCATACTTGTTGTTGCTAAGGATGAGAGAGTAAGTGAAAGTTAGATTAAATGTAGTGCACACTGAGCAGATTGTTGATTTAGTTTTAATTTGAAATCCTACTCCATTCAGATGTTCATTTCAAAGATTCAGATGGATTGTGATGTGTATATAATGCTGTTCTAGCTCTATATACATACCGAAATAATTGCCACATTTTTGATTTTTCTGTAAATACATGTTACAAGATAAAGAAGTACTTACGCCTTGGTGTTTGGGTTGTTGTCAACATTTCTGTACTCTCAGTTGCTGTGTGACGAAAATTGCAAAAACAGAAATGTTATTAATTTAATTGAACATACACCCGCATGATCGAAAAACAAATCCTATAAGCACAATGTTGTTGACACAAATGAGCAACATATTAATATTTGTACATGCATTTCAAACACACTTCATTGAATTGATTGTATGATGCTTCTAAACTTTATTCTTTAATCATTTAAGTGACAATTTGTTAGTAAAAGTGACTCACATGTTGGCAATGTCACAGTTGTAATGACAGTTGTAGTTTCAGCTGTTGTCAAGTGTTCAGTGGTAGTTACAATTACAGTTGATGTTGTTTCTTCTGTTGTTGATGAGGGAGTTGTGACTAATGTGGTTGTTGTCATAACCTCCCCTGTTGATGCTTCTGGATCCCCAAAAAGAATAACAAAATATTTACAATACAATTCTTAAATATCGGGGTATATATCGTCATCGGCACCACGAACTGACACTCACGTGCAAGAGGGTTTCAGTTCATGAAACCACGTTATCAACAATTTCAGACTCAAGAACTGACATCTGGTAGTGCGCGTACACATCTGACACTGTCGCAAATAGGAAGATATATGTTTTCACGAACTGACACGCAAGCAAGATGCGGCAATACAGAACGAAGATAAAATGGTTTTACAAGAAGTTAATCTATCCATATAGGCTCTACTATCCACATAGGCTCTACTTGTGTGCTTACAAGAAAATTTATTTAAAAAACGTTTTTATTGATGAAATTAAGGTTAGTGTCAGTTTGTGAAACCAAAAATGTACAGGGTGAGCTCTCATTTCATGAAACCCAAAATATCCCGGTTCTGTAAATACGCATGCATGCAGCTCCTCACATGCATTTGAGTGTCAGTTCGTGTTGCCGATGACGATATAAATAAATAAATAAATAAATAATTCTATTCGAGCAAAATAAAAAAATACATGAGAAACAATCAACAATTGCTTTTGTCTGGGAAAGCCCCTAGAGCGATTTGCAGAGACTTATTTCCCTTCTGGTCCAAATAGAAATAAATTCAACTTAAACCTTTTTTTCAATTTCATTTTCCCCATCTTTCTTGACATCATAAAAAACCCAAAGATGCATACCCTGTGTTGAAGATTCACGAGGTGTTGTCTTCTTGATGGAAGTTATCTCTTCCGTGGTGGTGGTTGTGGCAGTTGTTGTCTCTACGGCTGTTGTAACTTCTTCAGTTGTGGTAGATGGTGTTGACACTGTTGAACTTGAAGTCGTCACTGTCGTTGTTGTTTTAGCTGTTTACATGTAGGTAATTGGACAAATATATTCATTAGCTGTTAACTTCATTATTCATTAGCGTATGCCGATATTGTAACAGTTGTGTTAAGTATCAGTTATGTTAACATTAATAAGTGAGATGCATGGAAAGACTAGACAATATGGGCATTGACAATGCAGTGCGCCACAAAGTGTTGGCCATGGAGAGTTCATATTCCCTGTACATTGTGGGAGATGCTCAACAAATTTGCAGCACGGCACATTTGAAATTGTTTGTTTTTCCAGTCAGTAGTTTCGTAAGCGTATGATTCGAGTATCAGTTGCCCTTTTCTTTTCTTTTTATCAATATGTGTTTTTTTATAAGGCAGTAGAATGCTCTGCCCCAATCTGTAGTAATTTATCTCAAATTGTGTACTGACTCTCATTCAAATGGGCCATGTTTTGTCGACCGACAAATTTGAAAAATGGACTCTCCATAGCAAACTCTTGGTGCCGTACTGCATTGTGAATTGCCAGAATTATTAAGAGGTATATTTATATTTTTATATATCTTTTGGGATGGGAATACCTTCAGCGCATCCATGGATATGCAACTCAAGTGTGACACTTTCAGCATCACTGACTTGCTTGATCTCTGTTCGCAGTTCTATGACACCGTCCAAAATGTCATCATCACTCGGCAAGCGCATCAGTGTGCGCTGTTTATCGTTAACTGTAACTGAGAAGACCTGTCAGAAAAAATGAATCCGTTATAATAATTAGACCCTTCAAGTCAAAGCTGAAATTAAAACTCACAGCCAGAACATCCAGCCAGTTCAATCATAATCTCCCATGTTTTCAAACCTCTTAAGTTTTGGCCTCTACACTTTTGTTCTTGGAGTAGACACACACTTGGTTTTCCTTTCAAAACCATTCTGAAGTTCTTTTGTGTGGAAATCTCATGACAAGAATTTGGTCCCTCCACAATTCTTTATGAAGCACTTCACATGTGCTCTGTATGGTGCTTCAGAACCTTCCTGTAAAATTATTATCGCAGCTGGTATACATGTATGATCTTTCAAATTCCTTCATTTAAAGAATTTCAAAGGGTAAAAATGCTTTACAAAATAAAAACGAGAGTAAGGGAATTTAAATAGAGAGATGAAGTGAGAGTGTCATTGTTACCTTCGCTTCATCAGTGGTATCATCTTTCACAGGCTTAAAGTTTTCATCCCCAGGTTTCTTCGTGGAAAACATTAGAGATACATCTGATCGTTTGATCTCATCATTGGACTGCGGTGACTCAGATGATGATGTTTGTGAACGCAACTGAAGGGTGACTCCTCTGATGGCTGTACGCCTGTTGAATGTACTGTCTAGTCTAGGAAGTTCGGTTGCCTGAGTGTCGATGGGCAAGTCTCCGATTATCAGGTATCCTGTCGTGTCGTCTCTTTCAAGGGAGCCACCAGTAATGACACTAGTCTGTAGTCCAGCTTCTCCATCTATGATATCTAGGCAGTATCCTTTGATGAAGAACACAAGTCAGAATTATATATCCATCAGTATCAAAAATATAGTGAAATGTTATTTAGGATACGTAAAGACTCATGCACTGAACATGTGGTAGACTATTACCTTCAGTTGTGGATGGCTGAGGAGTTGTGGTCCTTACATTTGTAGTTAAAGTTGTGATTTTGGTTTTTGGCTCGGTTGTGGAATATTTTGCAGAAAAATATGTACATTCAATCATTCAAACAAATACAGTAAACTCCGGCTAAGACGGCACTCTCAGGACCAGAGAATTTGTGACGGCTTAAGCGAAATTGAATCACAGAGTGAAAAAAAATGTAGATTGAATTAATAGTCTATGCGCATCTGTATCTGGATCATACAAACAAGATTCATGGCTAAAATTCAAAGGCTTTGATTTACCCTAATTTATTTCAACATCCATGGTTGATTCTAGCAAATATATCCTCAATGTTTATCATCACAAACAGGCTGTGGTATTGATCACAGAAAGTCATGCATGTACATGTATGTACGTACGAAGCAAGGACAGCACAGTTGGCAAGTGTTAACAGCCGTATATATACACGTACAGATTGCTTGCATACTGTACGTCCATGTACATGTAGTGTACATTGTGCACGTACGTGTAAAGTCACGAATTAAGAGCGTTTTCGAAACCTTTTCTTCGTCTTTGGCTTTGGTTTTGATTCCGCTTTCTGAATCACTGAGAGGCAAACTAAACAACAATATTGAATATTTGGGCTTCATGTCAACCAATTGAATGTTACTGAAGTAAAACATGCACCAAAATGTAGCTGGAATTTCAGAAGTAAGGGGCCTAAAATGTCATTAAGACGAAGACGAATGATCAGAGCGCATGCATGCAGTTGAAAGGGGGTACTGGTATTGCATGTGATTTTGGGGAAAACCCGAACGATGCACACACTGTGCAAGAAACAGTATACACGTGTGATCAGTGTACACGTACTGGCCAATGCATCAATCACGGGCCATGCCATTGATCAACAGATGTCAGTTAGCAGCATGTGGGACGTTTCACTCGACATTTCTTGCAAACCACAGAGCACAATGCAGACTTATACAGAGGAATTTGTGTGGTTTTGAGGAAATGGGACTGAAAGTAACACGCCGATATAGGCGAAATGGTGGCTTACAAAGGCCGGCTTAGAAATGAAAATGTCAATGGAAATGCATTAGAGACAATTGGGACTTTTGTCAGACGGCTGACAATGAAGACGTTGCAGAATAGTCAATATTTTACCACTTGTAAAGAAGAAATTTGTAGGCAAAAACGAGGGGGTGTTTGAGTTCAAAATTTGAATAGGAGAAGCATCAAGTGTAGGAAGGCAAATGTACAGAAGGGCTTTACTGCTGGGTGAAGTTGAGGGACATTATCTGCATGATAACCTATATGATGTAGTTGCTGTACCTTGAGTTGTTGATGACGAAGGAGTTGTGGTGATGCGAGTTGTCGTGACAGTGGTGCTTCTTGTCGTTGGCTCAGTTGTAGTGTATTCTGGAAATGAAAAGATTGATTTTGAGGTCATCCAACTACCTGTGAATTTTTCAGATTGAAAAAAAAACCAAAACAGTGTACTTTGTCGCCTGACTTTGGCTCAGTCCACTCAATAGGAGGGAACAAAACCCTGGTGGATGAAGGGGGGAAGTTGATGAAGAAAGTTCTTGTAGGCTGAAGTGAAATGATGTCATATTTGTTGAAACCTACCTTTGATGCAACCCAATACATGTTGCTCAAATGTAATTGCATCAACATCACTGACACTGCGGAACTGAATGCGCAATTCGGTTATGCCGTCCAAATCATCTTCATCTTCCGGCAAGAGAGTCAGTGCAGGTTGATTTGCATCAAGAGTAATGGTGATCAACTGCAAAAGAATATGTGAAAAAAACTGTTGTTAAAAAGGTGAATGACAAATGCACAATTTAGAGCAATTGATCGTGGCTAGAAAATCCTGTAGACCTAAAATGTTTGGATGAGTTAAACGAATGAGAAGGGTCCTTTTTGCACACTCTACCTTGGGCTGGTTGGTGACATCATCAGTCACTGGAGTGAAGCTGGAGTCTCCCGGTTTTTTGGTCTGCAACGTGACAATGAGTTCTTTCGGCTGCTGCCCTGCTGCAGGTGTTGTTGTTGCACCTGCTCCTGGCTGACTTGGCGAACGCATGGTGGTGCGCAGTGCTGTGACCCTGACAGGTCTGCGGAATTTGCGATCCACACTTGGGAAACTGCCTGAGCTCTGGCTGATTGGCAATTCCGTTATGGTCACGTAGGAAGTCTCGTCATCAATGGTGAGTGCTCCATCTGCCGTCACTTGAGATTCAAGGTCTTTTTCGCCATCCATTGGCTCTTGACAGTACCCTGCATTGACATCATCCAGTAAAAGGTTGGTTTATGCAAGAAAGAATGGCTTTGTGAAAAAGTGGGTATTTAAAAAGAGTTGAAAAGGAAAGGCAGTAAAAATGTTGGACTGCACAGAAAAATGTGTGTTTCCTGGCATTTACCTGGAGTGGTTGAAATCTCAGATGTTGTAGACTGAGATGTTGTTGTTTCTTCAGTAACAGTTGTGGTAGGCGTTGTGACAGTTGTGATTGTTGTCGTCATCTCGGTTGTGGTATATTCTAAGATAAAAATGATGCGATGAACTGATCATTGAGAAAATGTTTACATTGCTGCCAAAATGGGTGACAGCTGGATGACAGGCCTTTTTTTCGGGGGGGGGGGGGGGGGTCTGGAACCTTCAAGCAACAAGGGAAACACTAACAGAATCCTTCCGTATTTCATGTGCCTTGGAAATAGATTTTAAGACAACCCACCTTCTGCACATCCAAGGATTTGCACTTCCAGTCTCGCCGATCCTGCACCCGTCACAGTTCGGAACTGAATACGGAATTGCACAACACCTTGCAGAGTTGCATCATCTGGAAGCAGCACTGTCTTAGGCAGGTCTTCCCTAAGGTTGACTTGGAAGGTCTGAGGAGTAAAGTAGAGCAAACATTGTTTAGATGGATGTGATTGCAAATATCAAAATTAACACACTTGAGACTGTCAATTGGGACGAGCAAAAGTATTGTGCTGTTCCAATTTTTGGGAATACTGACCTTTTCTTGATTGGAGGATTCTTCCTGCAAAGGCGAGAATTGTTCAGCAGCTGGTTTCTTGACAAGTACGGCAAAAGTGGCTGCAAGTGCTTTTGGCTCTTCACCAGTACCCGCCGGAGTTGTGGAAGAAGTTGGCAACAACTTGAAGCGGATAGCTCTGACAATCATGCGTCGGCTGAATGTAGTGTCTAGGCTAGGGCTATCTTGTGCCCCCTCGGTGATGGGAAGATTTGTCAATTGGAGCAATCCCTTGCTTTCACCCACCAAGGACAAGCCCTGACCCTCTGCATTCAGCAGAAGTCCAGATTCACTGTCTATTGGTTCCAAACAGTAGCCTGAAATGAAAAAAAAAGTAACAGGGGGGTGTTTGAGTTCAAAATCTTCAGTAGGAGAAGCATCAAGTGTAGGAAGGCAAATGTACAGAAGGGCTTTACTGCTGGGTGAAGTTGAGGGACATTATCTGCATGATAACCTATATGATGTAGTTGCTGTACCTTGAGTTGTTGATGACGAAGGAGTTGTGGTGATGCGAGTTGTCGTGACAGTGGTGCTTCTTGTCGTTGGCTCAGTTGTAGTGTATTCTGGAAATGAAAAGATTGATTTTGAGGTCATCCAAATACCTGTGAATTTTTCAGATTGAAAAAAAAAACAGTGTACTTGGTTGCCTGACTTTGGTTCAGTCCACTCAATAGGAGGGAACAAAACGCTGGTGGATGAAGGGGTGAAGTTGATGAAGAAAGTTCTTGTAGGCTGAAGTGAAATAATGTCATATTTGTTGAAACCTACCTTTGATGCAACCCAATACATGTTGCTCAAATGTAATTGCATCAACATCACTGACACTGCGGAACTGAATGCGCAATTCGGTTATGCCGTCCAAATCATCTTCATCTTCCGGCAAGAGAGTCAGTGCAGGTTGATTTGCATCAAGAGTAATGGTGATCAACTGCAAAAGAATATGTGAAAAAAACTGTCGTTAAAAAGGTGAATGACAAATGCACAATTTAGAGCAATTGATCGTGGCTAGAAAATCCTGTAGACCTAAAATGTTTGGATGAGTTAAACGAATGAGAAGGGTCCTTTTTGCACACTCTACCTTGGGCTGGTTGGTGACATCATCAGTCACTGGAGTGAAGCTGGAGTCTCCCGGTTTTTTGGTCTGCAACGTGACAATGAGTTCTTTCGGCTGCTGCCCTGCTGCAGGTGTTGTTGTTGCACCTGCTCCTGGCTGACTTGGCGAACGCATGGTGGTGCGCAGTGCTGTGACCCTGACAGGTCTGCGGAATTTGCGATCCACACTTGGGAAACTGCCTGAGCTCTGGCTGATTGGCAATTCCGTTATGGTCACGTAGGAAGTCTCGTCATCAATGGTGAGTGCTCCATCTGCCGTCACTTGAGATTCAAGGTCTTTTTCGCCATCCATTGGCTCTTGACAGTACCCTGCATTGACATCATCCAGTAAAAGGTTGGTTTATGCAAGAAAAAGTGTTGAAAAGGAAAGGCAGTAAAAATGTTGGACTGCACAGAAAAATGTGTGTTTCCTGGCATTTACCTGGAGTGGTTGAAATCTCAGATGTTGTAGACTGAGATGTTGTTGTTTCTTCAGTAACAGTTGTGGTAGGCGTTGTGACAGTTGTGATTGTCGTCGTCATCTCGGTTGTGGTATATTCTAAGATAAAAATGATGCGATGAACTGATCATTGAGAAAATGTTTACATTGCTGCCAAAATGGGTGACAGCTGGATGACAGGCCTTTTTTGGGGGGGGGGGGGGTCTGGAACCTTCAAGCAACAAGGGAAACACTAACAGAATCCTTCCGTATTTCATGTGCCTTGGAAATAGATTTTAAGACAACCCACCTTCTGCACATCCAAGGATTTGCACTTCCAGTCTCGCCGATCCTGCACCCGTCACAGTTCGGAACTGAATACGGAATTGCACAACACCTTGCAGAGTTGCATCATCTGGAAGCAGCACTGTCTTAGGCAGGTCTTCCCTAAGGTTGACTTGGAAGGTCTGAGGAGTAAAGTAGAGCAAACATTGTTTAGATGGATGTGATTGCAAATATCAAAATTAACACACTTGAGACTGTCAAGTGGGACGAGCAAAAGTATTGTGCTGTTCCAATTTTTGGGAATACTGACCTTTTCTTGATTGGAGGATTCTTCCTGCAAAGGCGAGAATTGTTCAGCAGCTGGTTTCTTGACAAGTACGGCAAAAGTGGCTGCAAGTGCTTTTGGCTCTTCACCAGTACCCGCCGGAGTTGTGGAAGAAGTTGGCAACAACTTGAAGCGGATAGCTCTGACAATCATGCGTCGGCTGAATGTAGTGTCTAGGCTAGGGCTATCTTGTGCCCCCTCGGTGATGGGAAGATTTGTCAATTGGAGCAATCCCTTGCTTTCACCCACCAAGGACAAGCCCTGACCCTCTGCATTCAGCAGAAGTCCAGATTCACTGTCTATTGGTTCCAAACAGTAGCCTGAAATGAAAAAAAAAAGTAACAGGGGGGTGTTTGAGTTCAAAATCTTCAGAAGGAGAAGTATCAAGTGTAGGAAGGCAAATGTACAGAAGGGCTATACTGCTGGGTGAAGTTGAGGGACATTATCTGCATGATAACCTATATGATGTACTTGCTGTACCTTGAGTTGTTGATGACGAAGGAGTTGTGGTGATGCGAGTTGTCGTGACAGTGGTGCTTCTTGTCGTTGGCTCAGTTGTAGTGTATTCTGGAAATGAAAAGATTGATTTTGAGGTCATCCAAATACCTGTGAATTTTTCAGATTGAAAAAAAAACAACAGTGTACTTGGTTGCCTGACTTTGGTTCAGTCCACTCAATAGGAGGGAACAAAACGCTGGTGGATGAAGGGGTGAAGTTGATGAAGAAAGTTCTTGTAGGCTGAAGTGAAATAATGTCATATTTGTTGAAACCTACCTTTGATGCAACCCAATACATGTTGCTCAAATGTAATTGCATCAACATCACTGACACTGCGGAACTGAATGCGCAATTCGGTTATGCCGTCCAAATCATCTTCATCTTCCGGCAAGAGAGTCAGTGCAGGTTGATTTGCATCAAGAGTAATGGTGATCAACTGCAAAAGAATATGTGAAAAAAACTGTCGTTAAAAAGGTGAATGACAAATGCACAATTTAGAGCAATTGATCGTGGCTAGAAAATCCTGTAGACCTAAAATGTTTGGATGAGTTAAACGAATGAGAAGGGTCCTTTTTGCACACTCTACCTTGGGCTGGTTGGTGACATCATCAGTCACTGGAGTGAAGCTGGAGTCTCCCGGTTTTTTGGTCTGCAACGTGACAATGAGTTCTTTCGGCTGCTGCCCTGCAGCAGGTGTTGTTGTTGCACCTGCTCCTGGCTGACTTGGCGAACGCATGGTGGTGCGCAGTGCTGTGACCCTGACAGGTCTGCGGAATTTGCGATCCACACTTGGGAAACTGCCTGAGCTCTGGCTGATTGGCAATTCCGTTATGGTCACGTAGGAAGTCTCGTCATCAATGGTGAGTGCTCCATCTGCCGTCACTTGAGATTCAAGGTCTTTTTCGCCATCCATTGGCTCTTGACAGTACCCTGCATTGACATCATCCAGTAAAAGGTTGGTTTATGCAAGAAAGAATGGCTTTGTGAAAAAGTGGGGTATTTAAAAAGTGTTGAAAAGGAAAGGCAGTAAAAATGTTGGACTGCACAGAAAAATGTGTGTTTCCTGGCATTTACCTGGAGTGGTTGAAATCTCAGATGTTGTAGACTGAGATGTTGTTGTTTCTTCAGTAACAGTTGTGGTAGGCGTTGTGACAGTTGTGATTGTCGTCGTCATCTCGGTTGTGGTATATTCTAAGATAAAAATGATGCGATGAACTGATCATTGAGAAAATGTTTACATTGCTGCCAAAATGGGTGACAGCTGGATGACAGGCCTTTTTTCGGGGGGGGGGGGGGGGTCTGGAACCTTCAAGCAACAAGGGAAACACTAACAGAATCCTTCCGTATTTCATGTGCCTTGGAAATAGATTTTAAGACAACCCACCTTCTGCACATCCAAGGATTTGCACTTCCAGTCTCGCCGATCCTGCACCCGTCACAGTTCGGAACTGAATACGGAATTGCACAACACCTTGCAGAGTTGCATCATCTGGAAGCAGCACTGTCTTAGGCAGGTCTTCCCTAAGGTTGACTTGGAAGGTCTGAGGAGTAAAGTAGAGCAAACATTGTTTAGATGGATGTGATTGCAAATATCAAAATTAACACACTTGAGACTGTCAAGTGGGACGAGCAAAAGTATTGTGCTGTTCCAATTTTTGGGAATACTGACCTTTTCTTGATTGGAGGATTCTTCCTGCAAAGGCGAGAATTGTTCAGCAGCTGGTTTCTTGACAAGTACGGCAAAAGTGGCTGCAAGTGCTTTTGGCTCTTCACCAGTACCCGCCGGAGTTGTGGAAGAAGTTGGCAACAACTTGAAGCGGATAGCTCTGACAATCATGCGTCGGCTGAATGTAGTGTCTAGGCTAGGGCTATCTTGTGCCCCCTCGGTGATGGGAAGATTTGTCAATTGGAGCAATCCCTTGCTTTCACCCACCAAGGACAAGCCCTGACCCTCTGCATTCAGCAGAAGTCCAGATTCACTGTCTATTGGTTCCAAACAGTAGCCTGAAATGAAAAAAAAAGTAACAGGGGGGTGTTTGAGTTCAAAATCTTAAGAAGGAGAAGCATCAAGTGTAGGAAGGCAAATGTACAGAAGGGCTTTACTGCTGGGTGAAGTTGAGGGACATTATCTGCATGATAACCTATATGATGTAGTTGCTGTACCTTGAGTTGTTGATGACGAAGGAGTTGTGGTGATGCGAGTTGTCGTGACAGTGGTGCTTCTTGTCGTTGGCTCAGTTGTAGTGTATTCTGGAAATGAAAAGATTGATTTTGAGGTCATCCAAATACCTGTGAATTTTTCAGATTGAAAAAAAAACAGTGTACTTGGTTGCCTGACTTTGGTTCAGTCCACTCAATAGGAGGGAACAAAACGCTGGTGGATGAAGGGGTGAAGTTGATGAAGAAAGTTCTTGTAGGCTGAAGTGAAATAATGTCATATTTGTTGAAACCTACCTTTGATGCAACCCAATACATGTTGCTCAAATGTAATTGCATCAACATCACTGACACTGCGGAACTGAATGCGCAATTCGGTTATGCCGTCCAAATCATCTTCATCTTCCGGCAAGAGAGTCAGTGCAGGTTGATTTGCATCAAGAGTAATGGTGATCAACTGCAAAAGAATATGTGAAAAAAACTGTCGTTAAAAAGGTGAATGACAAATGCACAATTTAGAGCAATTGATCGTGGCTAGAAAATCCTGTAGACCTAAAATGTTTGGATGAGTTAAACGAATGAGAAGGGTCCTTTTTGCACACTCTACCTTGGGCTGGTTGGTGACATCATCAGTCACTGGAGTGAAGCTGGAGTCTCCCGGTTTTTTGGTCTGCAACGTGACAATGAGTTCTTTCGGCTGCTGCCCTGCAGCAGGTGTTGTTGTTGCACCTGCTCCTGGCTGACTTGGCGAACGCATGGTGGTGCGCAGTGCTGTGACCCTGACAGGTCTGCGGAATTTGCGATCCACACTTGGGAAACTGCCTGAGCTCTGGCTGATTGGCAATTCCGTTATGGTCACGTAGGAAGTCTCGTCATCAATGGTGAGTGCTCCATCTGCCGTCACTTGAGATTCAAGGTCTTTTTCGCCATCCATTGGCTCTTGACAGTACCCTGCATTGACATCATCCAGTAAAAGGTTGGTTTATGCAAGAAAGAATGGCTTTGTGAAAAAGTGGGGTATTTAAAAAGTGTTGAAAAGGAAAGGCAGTAAAAATGTTGGACTGCACAGAAAAATGTGTGTTTCCTGGCATTTACCTGGAGTGGTTGAAATCTCAGATGTTGTAGACTGAGATGTTGTTGTTTCTTCAGTAACAGTTGTGGTAGGCGTTGTGACAGTTGTGATTGTCGTCGTCATCTCGGTTGTGGTATATTCTAAGATAAAAATGATGCGATGAACTGATCATTGAGAAAATGTTTACATTGCTGCCAAAATGGGTGACAGCTGGATGACAGGCCTTTTTTCGGGGGGGGGGGGGGGGTCTGGAACCTTCAAGCAACAAGGGAAACACTAACAGAATCCTTCCGTATTTCATGTGCCTTGGAAATAGATTTTAAGACAACCCACCTTCTGCACATCCAAGGATTTGCACTTCCAGTCTCGCCGATCCTGCACCCGTCACAGTTCGGAACTGAATACGGAATTGCACAACACCTTGCAGAGTTGCATCATCTGGAAGCAGCACTGTCTTAGGCAGGTCTTCCCTAAGGTTGACTTGGAAGGTCTGAGGAGTAAAGTAGAGCAAACATTGTTTAGATGGATGTGATTGCAAATATCAAAATTAACACACTTGAGACTGTCAAGTGGGACGAGCAAAAGTATTGTGCTGTTCCAATTTTTGGGAATACTGACCTTTTCTTGATTGGAGGATTCTTCCTGCAAAGGCGAGAATTGTTCAGCAGCTGGTTTCTTGACAAGTACGGCAAAAGTGGCTGCAAGTGCTTTTGGCTCTTCACCAGTACCCGCCGGAGTTGTGGAAGAAGTTGGCAACAACTTGAAGCGGATAGCTCTGACAATCATGCGTCGGCTGAATGTAGTGTCTAGGCTAGGGCTATCTTGTGCCCCCTCGGTGATGGGAAGATTTGTCAATTGGAGCAATCCCTTGCTTTCACCCACCAAGGACAAGCCCTGACCCTCTGCATTCAGCAGAAGTCCAGATTCACTGTCTATTGGTTCCAAACAGTAGCCTGAAATGAAAAAAAAAAGTAACAGGGGGGTGTTTGAGTTCAAAATCTTAAGAAGGAGAAGCATCAAGTGTAGGAAGGCAAATGTACAGAAGGGCTTTACTGCTGGGTGAAGTTGAGGGACATTATCTGCATGATAACCTATATGATGTAGTTGCTGTACCTTGAGTTGTTGATGACGAAGGAGTTGTGGTGATGCGAGTTGTCGTGACAGTGGTGCTTCTTGTCGTTGGCTCAGTTGTAGTGTATTCTGGAAATGAAAAGATTGATTTTGAGGTCATCCAAATACCTGTGAATTTTTCAGATTGAAAAAAAAAAACAGTGTACTTGGTTGCCTGACTTTGGTTCAGTCCACTCAATAGGAGGGAACAAAACGCTGGTGGATGAAGGGGTGAAGTTGATGAAGAAAGTTCTTGTAGGCTGAAGTGAAATAATGTCATATTTGTTGAAACCTACCTTTGATGCAACCCAATACATGTTGCTCAAATGTAATTGCATCAACATCACTGACACTGCGGAACTGAATGCGCAATTCGGTTATGCCGTCCAAATCATCTTCATCTTCCGGCAAGAGAGTCAGTGCAGGTTGATTTGCATCAAGAGTAATGGTGATCAACTGCAAAAGAATATGTGAAAAAAACTGTCGTTAAAAAGGTGAATGACAAATGCACAATTTAGAGCAATTGATCGTGGCTAGAAAATCCTGTAGACCTAAAATGTTTGGATGAGTTAAACGAATGAGAAGGGTCCTTTTTGCACACTCTACCTTGGGCTGGTTGGTGACATCATCAGTCACTGGAGTGAAGCTGGAGTCTCCCGGTTTTTTGGTCTGCAACGTGACAATGAGTTCTTTCGGCTGCTGCCCTGCAGCAGGTGTTGTTGTTGCACCTGCTCCTGGCTGACTTGGCGAACGCATGGTGGTGCGCAGTGCTGTGACCCTGACAGGTCTGCGGAATTTGCGATCCACACTTGGGAAACTGCCTGAGCTCTGGCTGATTGGCAATTCCGTTATGGTCACGTAGGAAGTCTCGTCATCAATGGTGAGTGCTCCATCTGCCGTCACTTGAGATTCAAGGTCTTTTTCGCCATCCATTGGCTCTTGACAGTACCCTGCATTGACATCATCCAGTAAAAGGTTGGTTTATGCAAGAAAGAATGGCTTTGTGAAAAAGTGGGGTATTTAAAAAGTGTTGAAAAGGAAAGGCAGTAAAAATGTTGGACTGCACAGAAAAATGTGTGTTTCCTGGCATTTACCTGGAGTGGTTGAAATCTCAGATGTTGTAGACTGAGATGTTGTTGTTTCTTCAGTAACAGTTGTGGTAGGCGTTGTGACAGTTGTGATTGTCGTCGTCATCTCGGTTGTGGTATATTCTAAGATAAAAATGATGCGATGAACTGATCATTGAGAAAATGTTTACATTGCTGCCAAAATGGGTGACAGCTGGATGACAGGCCTTTTTTTCGGGGGGGGGGGGGGGTCTGGAACCTTCAAGCAACAAGGGAAACACTAACAGAATCCTTCCGTATTTCATGTGCCTTGGAAATAGATTTTAAGACAACCCACCTTCTGCACATCCAAGGATTTGCACTTCCAGTCTCGCCGATCCTGCACCCGTCACAGTTCGGAACTGAATACGGAATTGCACAACACCTTGCAGAGTTGCATCATCTGGAAGCAGCACTGTCTTAGGCAGGTCTTCCCTAAGGTTGACTTGGAAGGTCTGAGGAGTAAAGTAGAGCAAACATTGTTTAGATGGATGTGATTGCAAATATCAAAATTAACACACTTGAGACTGTCAAGTGGGACGAGCAAAAGTATTGTGCTGTTCCAATTTTTGGGAATACTGACCTTTTCTTGATTGGAGGATTCTTCCTGCAAAGGCGAGAATTGTTCAGCAGCTGGTTTCTTGACAAGTACGGCAAAAGTGGCTGCAAGTGCTTTTGGCTCTTCACCAGTACCCGCCGGAGTTGTGGAAGAAGTTGGCAACAACTTGAAGCGGATAGCTCTGACAATCATGCGTCGGCTGAATGTAGTGTCTAGGCTAGGGCTATCTTGTGCCCCCTCGGTGATGGGAAGATTTGTCAATTGGAGCAATCCCTTGCTTTCACCCACCAAGGACAAGCCCTGACCCTCTGCATTCAGCAGAAGTCCAGATTCACTGTCTATTGGTTCCAAACAGTAGCCTGAAATGAAAAAAAAAGTAACAGGGGGGTGTTTGAGTTCAAAATCTTAAGAAGGAGAAGTATCAAGTGTAGGAAGGCAAATGTACAGAAGGGCTTTACTGCTGGGTGAAGTTGAGGGACATTATCTGCATGATAACCTATATGATGTAGTTGCTGTACCTTGAGTTGTTGATGACGAAGGAGTTGTGGTGATGCGAGTTGTCGTGACAGTGGTGCTTCTTGTCGTTGGCTCAGTTGTAGTGTATTCTGGAAATGAAAAGATTGATTTTGAGGTCATCCAAATACCTGTGAATTTTTCAGATTGAAAAAAAAAAACAGTGTACTTGGTTGCCTGACTTTGGTTCAGTCCACTCAATAGGAGGGAACAAAACGCTGGTGGATGAAGGGGTGAAGTTGATGAAGAAAGTTCTTGTAGGCTGAAGTGAAATAATGTCATATTTGTTGAAACCTACCTTTGATGCAACCCAATACATGTTGCTCAAATGTAATTGCATCAACATCACTGACACTGCGGAACTGAATGCGCAATTCGGTTATGCCGTCCAAATCATCTTCATCTTCCGGCAAGAGAGTCAGTGCAGGTTGATTTGCATCAAGAGTAATGGTGATCAACTGCAAAAGAATATGTGAAAAAAACTGTCGTTAAAAAGGTGAATGACAAATGCACAATTTAGAGCAATTGATCGTGGCTAGAAAATCCTGTAGACCTAAAATGTTTGGATGAGTTAAACGAATGAGAAGGGTCCTTTTTGCACACTCTACCTTGGGCTGGTTGGTGACATCATCAGTCACTGGAGTGAAGCTGGAGTCTCCCGGTTTTTTGGTCTGCAACGTGACAATGAGTTCTTTCGGCTGCTGCCCTGCAGCAGGTGTTGTTGTTGCACCTGCTCCTGGCTGACTTGGCGAACGCATGGTGGTGCGCAGTGCTGTGACCCTGACAGGTCTGCGGAATTTGCGATCCACACTTGGGAAACTGCCTGAGCTCTGGCTGATTGGCAATTCCGTTATGGTCACGTAGGAAGTCTCGTCATCAATGGTGAGTGCTCCATCTGCCGTCACTTGAGATTCAAGGTCTTTTTCGCCATCCATTGGCTCTTGACAGTACCCTGCATTGACATCATCCAGTAAAAGGTTGGTTTATGCAAGAAAGAATGGCTTTGTGAAAAAGTGGGGTATTTAAAAAGTGTTGAAAAGGAAAGGCAGTAAAAATGTTGGACTGCACAGAAAAATGTGTGTTTCCTGGCATTTACCTGGAGTGGTTGAAATCTCAGATGTTGTAGACTGAGATGTTGTTGTTTCTTCAGTAACAGTTGTGGTAGGCGTTGTGACAGTTGTGATTGTCGTCGTCATCTCGGTTGTGGTATATTCTAAGATAAAAATGATGCGATGAACTGATCATTGAGAAAATGTTTACATTGCTGCCAAAATGGGTGACAGCTGGATGACAGGCCTTTTTTTCGGGGGGGGGGGGGGGTCTGGAACCTTCAAGCAACAAGGGAAACACTAACAGAATCCTTCCGTATTTCATGTGCCTTGGAAATAGATTTTAAGACAACCCACCTTCTGCACATCCAAGGATTTGCACTTCCAGTCTCGCCGATCCTGCACCCGTCACAGTTCGGAACTGAATACGGAATTGCACAACACCTTGCAGAGTTGCATCATCTGGAAGCAGCACTGTCTTAGGCAGGTCTTCCCTAAGGTTGACTTGGAAGGTCTGAGGAGTAAAGTAGAGCAAACATTGTTTAGATGGATGTGATTGCAAATATCAAAATTAACACACTTGAGACTGTCAAGTGGGACGAGCAAAAGTATTGTGCTGTTCCAATTTTTGGGAATACTGACCTTTTCTTGATTGGAGGATTCTTCCTGCAAAGGCGAGAATTGTTCAGCAGCTGGTTTCTTGACAAGTACGGCAAAAGTGGCTGCAAGTGCTTTTGGCTCTTCACCAGTACCCGCCGGAGTTGTGGAAGAAGTTGGCAACAACTTGAAGCGGATAGCTCTGACAATCATGCGTCGGCTGAATGTAGTGTCTAGGCTAGGGCTATCTTGTGCCCCCTCGGTGATGGGAAGATTTGTCAATTGGAGCAATCCCTTGCTTTCACCCACCAAGGACAAGCCCTGACCCTCTGCATTCAGCAGAAGTCCAGATTCACTGTCTATTGGTTCCAAACAGTAGCCTGAAATGAAAAAAAAAAGTAACAGGGGGGTGTTTGAGTTCAAAATCTTAAGAAGGAGAAGTATCAAGTGTAGGAAGGCAAATGTACAGAAGGGCTTTACTGCTGGGTGAAGTTGAGGGACATTATCTGCATGATAACCTATATGATGTAGTTGCTGTACCTTGAGTTGTTGATGACGAAGGAGTTGTGGTGATGCGAGTTGTCGTGACAGTGGTGCTTCTTGTCGTTGGCTCAGTTGTAGTGTATTCTGGAAATGAAAAGATTGATTTTGAGGTCATCCAAATACCTGTGAATTTTTCAGATTGAAAAAAAAAAACAGTGTACTTGGTTGCCTGACTTTGGTTCAGTCCACTCAATAGGAGGGAACAAAACGCTGGTGGATGAAGGGGTGAAGTTGATGAAGAAAGTTCTTGTAGGCTGAAGTGAAATAATGTCATATTTGTTGAAACCTACCTTTGATGCAACCCAATACATGTTGCTCAAATGTAATTGCATCAACATCACTGACACTGCGGAACTGAATGCGCAATTCGGTTATGCCGTCCAAATCATCTTCATCTTCCGGCAAGAGAGTCAGTGCAGGTTGATTTGCATCAAGAGTAATGGTGATCAACTGCAAAAGAATATGTGAAAAAAACTGTCGTTAAAAAGGTGAATGACAAATGCACAATTTAGAGCAATTGATCGTGGCTAGAAAATCCTGTAGACCTAAAATGTTTGGATGAGTTAAACGAATGAGAAGGGTCCTTTTTGCACACTCTACCTTGGGCTGGTTGGTGACATCATCAGTCACTGGAGTGAAGCTGGAGTCTCCCGGTTTTTTGGTCTGCAACGTGACAATGAGTTCTTTCGGCTGCTGCCCTGCAGCAGGTGTTGTTGTTGCACCTGCTCCTGGCTGACTTGGCGAACGCATGGTGGTGCGCAGTGCTGTGACCCTGACAGGTCTGCGGAATTTGCGATCCACACTTGGGAAACTGCCTGAGCTCTGGCTGATTGGCAATTCCGTTATGGTCACGTAGGAAGTCTCGTCATCAATGGTGAGTGCTCCATCTGCCGTCACTTGAGATTCAAGGTCTTTTTCGCCATCCATTGGCTCTTGACAGTACCCTGCATTGACATCATCCAGTAAAAGGTTGGTTTATGCAAGAAAGAATGGCTTTGTGAAAAAGTGGGGTATTTAAAAAGTGTTGAAAAGGAAAGGCAGTAAAAATGTTGGACTGCACAGAAAAATGTGTGTTTCCTGGCATTTACCTGGAGTGGTTGAAATCTCAGATGTTGTAGACTGAGATGTTGTTGTTTCTTCAGTAACAGTTGTGGTAGGCGTTGTGACAGTTGTGATTGTCGTCGTCATCTCGGTTGTGGTATATTCTAAGATAAAAATGATGCGATGAACTGATCATTGAGAAAATGTTTACATTGCTGCCAAAATGGGTGACAGCTGGATGACAGGCCTTTTTTCGGGGGGGGGGGGGGGGTCTGGAACCTTCAAGCAACAAGGGAAACACTAACAGAATCCTTCCGTATTTCATGTGCCTTGGAAATAGATTTTAAGACAACCCACCTTCTGCACATCCAAGGATTTGCACTTCCAGTCTCGCCGATCCTGCACCCGTCACAGTTCGGAACTGAATACGGAATTGCACAACACCTTGCAGAGTTGCATCATCTGGAAGCAGCACTGTCTTAGGCAGGTCTTCCCTAAGGTTGACTTGGAAGGTCTGAGGAGTAAAGTAGAGCAAACATTGTTTAGATGGATGTGATTGCAAATATCAAAATTAACACACTTGAGACTGTCAAGTGGGACGAGCAAAAGTATTGTGCTGTTCCAATTTTTGGGAATACTGACCTTTTCTTGATTGGAGGATTCTTCCTGCAAAGGCGAGAATTGTTCAGCAGCTGGTTTCTTGACAAGTACGGCAAAAGTGGCTGCAAGTGCTTTTGGCTCTTCACCAGTACCCGCCGGAGTTGTGGAAGAAGTTGGCAACAACTTGAAGCGGATAGCTCTGACAATCATGCGTCGGCTGAATGTAGTGTCTAGGCTAGGGCTATCTTGTGCCCCCTCGGTGATGGGAAGATTTGTCAATTGGAGCAATCCCTTGCTTTCACCCACCAAGGACAAGCCCTGACCCTCTGCATTCAGCAGAAGTCCAGATTCACTGTCTATTGGTTCCAAACAGTAGCCTGAAATGAAAAAAAAAAGTAACAGGGGGGTGTTTGAGTTCAAAATCTTAAGAAGGAGAAGTATCAAGTGTAGGAAGGCAAATGTACAGAAGGGCTTTACTGCTGGGTGAAGTTGAGGGACATTATCTGCATGATAACCTATATGATGTAGTTGCTGTACCTTGAGTTGTTGATGACGAAGGAGTTGTGGTGATGCGAGTTGTCGTGACAGTGGTGCTTCTTGTCGTTGGCTCAGTTGTAGTGTATTCTGGAAATGAAAAGATTGATTTTGAGGTCATCCAAATACCTGTGAATTTTTCAGATTGAAAAAAAAAACAGTGTACTTGGTTGCCTGACTTTGGTTCAGTCCACTCAATAGGAGGGAACAAAACGCTGGTGGATGAAGGGGTGAAGTTGATGAAGAAAGTTCTTGTAGGCTGAAGTGAAATAATGTCATATTTGTTGAAACCTACCTTTGATGCAACCCAATACATGTTGCTCAAATGTAATTGCATCAACATCACTGACACTGCGGAACTGAATGCGCAATTCGGTTATGCCGTCCAAATCATCTTCATCTTCCGGCAAGAGAGTCAGTGCAGGTTGATTTGCATCAAGAGTAATGGTGATCAACTGCAAAAGAATATGTGAAAAAAACTGTCGTTAAAAAGGTGAATGACAAATGCACAATTTAGAGCAATTGATCGTGGCTAGAAAATCCTGTAGACCTAAAATGTTTGGATGAGTTAAACGAATGAGAAGGGTCCTTTTTGCACACTCTACCTTGGGCTGGTTGGTGACATCATCAGTCACTGGAGTGAAGCTGGAGTCTCCCGGTTTTTTGGTCTGCAACGTGACAATGAGTTCTTTCGGCTGCTGCCCTGCAGCAGGTGTTGTTGTTGCACCTGCTCCTGGCTGACTTGGCGAACGCATGGTGGTGCGCAGTGCTGTGACCCTGACAGGTCTGCGGAATTTGCGATCCACACTTGGGAAACTGCCTGAGCTCTGGCTGATTGGCAATTCCGTTATGGTCACGTAGGAAGTCTCGTCATCAATGGTGAGTGCTCCATCTGCCGTCACTTGAGATTCAAGGTCTTTTTCGCCATCCATTGGCTCTTGACAGTACCCTGCATTGACATCATCCAGTAAAAGGTTGGTTTATGCAAGAAAGAATGGCTTTGTGAAAAAGTGGGGTATTTAAAAAGTGTTGAAAAGGAAAGGCAGTAAAAATGTTGGACTGCACAGAAAAATGTGTGTTTCCTGGCATTTACCTGGAGTGGTTGAAATCTCAGATGTTGTAGACTGAGATGTTGTTGTTTCTTCAGTAACAGTTGTGGTAGGCGTTGTGACAGTTGTGATTGTCGTCGTCATCTCGGTTGTGGTATATTCTAAGATAAAAATGATGCGATGAACTGATCATTGAGAAAATGTTTACATTGCTGCCAAAATGGGTGACAGCTGGATGACAGGCCTTTTTTCGGGGGGGGGGGGGGGTCTGGAACCTTCAAGCAACAAGGGAAACACTAACAGAATCCTTCCGTATTTCATGTGCCTTGGAAATAGATTTTAAGACAACCCACCTTCTGCACATCCAAGGATTTGCACTTCCAGTCTCGCCGATCCTGCACCCGTCACAGTTCGGAACTGAATACGGAATTGCACAACACCTTGCAGAGTTGCATCATCTGGAAGCAGCACTGTCTTAGGCAGGTCTTCCCTAAGGTTGACTTGGAAGGTCTGAGGAGTAAAGTAGAGCAAACATTGTTTAGATGGATGTGATTGCAAATATCAAAATTAACACACTTGAGACTGTCAAGTGGGACGAGCAAAAGTATTGTGCTGTTCCAATTTTTGGGAATACTGACCTTTTCTTGATTGGAGGATTCTTCCTGCAAAGGCGAGAATTGTTCAGCAGCTGGTTTCTTGACAAGTACGGCAAAAGTGGCTGCAAGTGCTTTTGGCTCTTCACCAGTACCCGCCGGAGTTGTGGAAGAAGTTGGCAACAACTTGAAGCGGATAGCTCTGACAATCATGCGTCGGCTGAATGTAGTGTCTAGGCTAGGGCTATCTTGTGCCCCCTCGGTGATGGGAAGATTTGTCAATTGGAGCAATCCCTTGCTTTCACCCACCAAGGACAAGCCCTGACCCTCTGCATTCAGCAGAAGTCCAGATTCACTGTCTATTGGTTCCAAACAGTAGCCTGAAATGAAAAAAAAAAGTAACAGGGGGGTGTTTGAGTTCAAAATCTTAAGAAGGAGAAGTATCAAGTGTAGGAAGGCAAATGTACAGAAGGGCTTTACTGCTGGGTGAAGTTGAGGGACATTATCTGCATGATAACCTATATGATGTAGTTGCTGTACCTTGAGTTGTTGATGACGAAGGAGTTGTGGTGATGCGAGTTGTCGTGACAGTGGTGCTTCTTGTCGTTGGCTCAGTTGTAGTGTATTCTGGAAATGAAAAGATTGATTTTGAGGTCATCCAAATACCTGTGAATTTTTCAGATTGAAAAAAAAAACAGTGTACTTGGTTGCCTGACTTTGGTTCAGTCCACTCAATAGGAGGGAACAAAACGCTGGTGGATGAAGGGGTGAAGTTGATGAAGAAAGTTCTTGTAGGCTGAAGTGAAATAATGTCATATTTGTTGAAACCTACCTTTGATGCAACCCAATACATGTTGCTCAAATGTAATTGCATCAACATCACTGACACTGCGGAACTGAATGCGCAATTCGGTTATGCCGTCCAAATCATCTTCATCTTCCGGCAAGAGAGTCAGTGCAGGTTGATTTGCATCAAGAGTAATGGTGATCAACTGCAAAAGAATATGTGAAAAAAACTGTCGTTAAAAAGGTGAATGACAAATGCACAATTTAGAGCAATTGATCGTGGCTAGAAAATCCTGTAGACCTAAAATGTTTGGATGAGTTAAACGAATGAGAAGGGTCCTTTTTGCACACTCTACCTTGGGCTGGTTGGTGACATCATCAGTCACTGGAGTGAAGCTGGAGTCTCCCGGTTTTTTGGTCTGCAACGTGACAATGAGTTCTTTCGGCTGCTGCCCTGCAGCAGGTGTTGTTGTTGCACCTGCTCCTGGCTGACTTGGCGAACGCATGGTGGTGCGCAGTGCTGTGACCCTGACAGGTCTGCGGAATTTGCGATCCACACTTGGGAAACTGCCTGAGCTCTGGCTGATTGGCAATTCCGTTATGGTCACGTAGGAAGTCTCGTCATCAATGGTGAGTGCTCCATCTGCCGTCACTTGAGATTCAAGGTCTTTTTCGCCATCCATTGGCTCTTGACAGTACCCTGCATTGACATCATCCAGTAAAAGGTTGGTTTATGCAAGAAAGAATGGCTTTGTGAAAAAGTGGGGTATTTAAAAAGTGTTGAAAAGGAAAGGCAGTAAAAATGTTGGACTGCACAGAAAAATGTGTGTTTTCTGGCATTTACCTGGAGTGGTTGAAATCTCAGATGTTGTAGACTGAGATGTTGTTGTTTCTTCAGTAACAGTTGTGGTAGGCGTTGTGACAGTTGTGATTGTCGTCGTCATCTCGGTTGTGGTATATTCTAAGATAAAAATGATGCGATGAACTGATCATTGAGAAAATGTTTACATTGCTGCCAAAATGGGTGACAGCTGGATGACAGGCCTTTTTTCGGGGGGGGGGGGGGGTCTGGAACCTTCAAGCAACAAGGGAAACACTAACAGAATCCTTCCGTATTTCATGTGCCTTGGAAATAGATTTTAAGACAACCCACCTTCTGCACATCCAAGGATTTGCACTTCCAGTCTCGCCGATCCTGCACCCGTCACAGTTCGGAACTGAATACGGAATTGCACAACACCTTGCAGAGTTGCATCATCTGGAAGCAGCACTGTCTTAGGCAGGTCTTCCCTAAGGTTGACTTGGAAGGTCTGAGGAGTAAAGTAGAGCAAACATTGTTTAGATGGATGTGATTGCAAATATCAAAATTAACACACTTGAGACTGTCAAGTGGGACGAGCAAAAGTATTGTGCTGTTCCAATTTTTGGGAATACTGACCTTTTCTTGATTGGAGGATTCTTCCTGCAAAGGCGAGAATTGTTCAGCAGCTGGTTTCTTGACAAGTACGGCAAAAGTGGCTGCAAGTGCTTTTGGCTCTTCACCAGTACCCGCCGGAGTTGTGGAAGAAGTTGGCAACAACTTGAAGCGGATAGCTCTGACAATCATGCGTCGGCTGAATGTAGTGTCTAGGCTAGGGCTATCTTGTGCCCCCTCGGTGATGGGAAGATTTGTCAATTGGAGCAATCCCTTGCTTTCACCCACCAAGGACAAGCCCTGACCCTCTGCATTCAGCAGAAGTCCAGATTCACTGTCTATTGGTTCCAAACAGTAGCCTGAAATGAAAAAAAAAAGTAACAGGGGGGTGTTTGAGTTCAAAATCTTAAGAAGGAGAAGTATCAAGTGTAGGAAGGCAAATGTACAGAAGGGCTTTACTGCTGGGTGAAGTTGAGGGACATTATCTGCATGATAACCTATATGATGTAGTTGCTGTACCTTGAGTTGTTGATGACGAAGGAGTTGTGGTGATGCGAGTTGTCGTGACAGTGGTGCTTCTTGTCGTTGGCTCAGTTGTAGTGTATTCTGGAAATGAAAAGATTGATTTTGAGGTCATCCAAATACCTGTGAATTTTTCAGATTGAAAAAAAAAAACAGTGTACTTGGTTGCCTGACTTTGGTTCAGTCCACTCAATAGGAGGGAACAAAACGCTGGTGGATGAAGGGGTGAAGTTGATGAAGAAAGTTCTTGTAGGCTGAAGTGAAATAATGTCATATTTGTTGAAACCTACCTTTGATGCAACCCAATACATGTTGCTCAAATGTAATTGCATCAACATCACTGACACTGCGGAACTGAATGCGCAATTCGGTTATGCCGTCCAAATCATCTTCATCTTCCGGCAAGAGAGTCAGTGCAGGTTGATTTGCATCAAGAGTAATGGTGATCAACTGCAAAAGAATATGTGAAAAAAACTGTCGTTAAAAAGGTGAATGACAAATGCACAATTTAGAGCAATTGATCGTGGCTAGAAAATCCTGTAGACCTAAAATGTTTGGATGAGTTAAACGAATGAGAAGGGTCCTTTTTGCACACTCTACCTTGGGCTGGTTGGTGACATCATCAGTCACTGGAGTGAAGCTGGAGTCTCCCGGTTTTTTGGTCTGCAACGTGACAATGAGTTCTTTCGGCTGCTGCCCTGCAGCAGGTGTTGTTGTTGCACCTGCTCCTGGCTGACTTGGCGAACGCATGGTGGTGCGCAGTGCTGTGACCCTGACAGGTCTGCGGAATTTGCGATCCACACTTGGGAAACTGCCTGAGCTCTGGCTGATTGGCAATTCCGTTATGGTCACGTAGGAAGTCTCGTCATCAATGGTGAGTGCTCCATCTGCCGTCACTTGAGATTCAAGGTCTTTTTCGCCATCCATTGGCTCTTGACAGTACCCTGCATTGACATCATCCAGTAAAAGGTTGGTTTATGCAAGAAAGAATGGCTTTGTGAAAAAGTGGGGTATTTAAAAAGTGTTGAAAAGGAAAGGCAGTAAAAATGTTGGACTGCACAGAAAAATGTGTGTTTCCTGGCATTTACCTGGAGTGGTTGAAATCTCAGATGTTGTAGACTGAGATGTTGTTGTTTCTTCAGTAACAGTTGTGGTAGGCGTTGTGACAGTTGTGATTGTCGTCGTCATCTCGGTTGTGGTATATTCTAAGATAAAAATGATGCGATGAACTGATCATTGAGAAAATGTTTACATTGCTGCCAAAATGGGTGACAGCTGGATGACAGGCCTTTTTTCGGGGGGGGGGGGGGGGTCTGGAACCTTCAAGCAACAAGGGAAACACTAACAGAATCCTTCCGTATTTCATGTGCCTTGGAAATAGATTTTAAGACAACCCACCTTCTGCACATCCAAGGATTTGCACTTCCAGTCTCGCCGATCCTGCACCCGTCACAGTTCGGAACTGAATACGGAATTGCACAACACCTTGCAGAGTTGCATCATCTGGAAGCAGCACTGTCTTAGGCAGGTCTTCCCTAAGGTTGACTTGGAAGGTCTGAGGAGTAAAGTAGAGCAAACATTGTTTAGATGGATGTGATTGCAAATATCAAAATTAACACACTTGAGACTGTCAAGTGGGACGAGCAAAAGTATTGTGCTGTTCCAATTTTTGGGAATACTGACCTTTTCTTGATTGGAGGATTCTTCCTGCAAAGGCGAGAATTGTTCAGCAGCTGGTTTCTTGACAAGTACGGCAAAAGTGGCTGCAAGTGCTTTTGGCTCTTCACCAGTACCCGCCGGAGTTGTGGAAGAAGTTGGCAACAACTTGAAGCGGATAGCTCTGACAATCATGCGTCGGCTGAATGTAGTGTCTAGGCTAGGGCTATCTTGTGCCCCCTCGGTGATGGGAAGATTTGTCAATTGGAGCAATCCCTTGCTTTCACCCACCAAGGACAAGCCCTGACCCTCTGCATTCAGCAGAAGTCCAGATTCACTGTCTATTGGTTCCAAACAGTAGCCTGAAATGAAAAAAAAAAGTAACAGGGGGGTGTTTGAGTTCAAAATCTTAAGAAGGAGAAGCATCAAGTGTAGGAAGGCAAATGTACAGAAGGGCTTTACTGCTGGGTGAAGTTGAGGGACATTATCTGCATGATAACCTATATGATGTAGTTGCTGTACCTTGAGTTGTTGATGACGAAGGAGTTGTGGTGATGCGAGTTGTCGTGACAGTGGTGCTTCTTGTCGTTGGCTCAGTTGTAGTGTATTCTGGAAATGAAAAGATTGATTTTGAGGTCATCCAAATACCTGTGAATTTTTCAGATTGAAAAAAAAAACAGTGTACTTGGTTGCCTGACTTTGGTTCAGTCCACTCAATAGGAGGGAACAAAACGCTGGTGGATGAAGGGGTGAAGTTGATGAAGAAAGTTCTTGTAGGCTGAAGTGAAATAATGTCATATTTGTTGAAACCTACCTTTGATGCAACCCAATACATGTTGCTCAAATGTAATTGCATCAACATCACTGACACTGCGGAACTGAATGCGCAATTCGGTTATGCCGTCCAAATCATCTTCATCTTCCGGCAAGAGAGTCAGTGCAGGTTGATTTGCATCAAGAGTAATGGTGATCAACTGCAAAAGAATATGTGAAAAAAACTGTCGTTAAAAAGGTGAATGACAAATGCACAATTTAGAGCAATTGATCGTGGCTAGAAAATCCTGTAGACCTAAAATGTTTGGATGAGTTAAACGAATGAGAAGGGTCCTTTTTGCACACTCTACCTTGGGCTGGTTGGTGACATCATCAGTCACTGGAGTGAAGCTGGAGTCTCCCGGTTTTTTGGTCTGCAACGTGACAATGAGTTCTTTCGGCTGCTGCCCTGCAGCAGGTGTTGTTGTTGCACCTGCTCCTGGCTGACTTGGCGAACGCATGGTGGTGCGCAGTGCTGTGACCCTGACAGGTCTGCGGAATTTGCGATCCACACTTGGGAAACTGCCTGAGCTCTGGCTGATTGGCAATTCCGTTATGGTCACGTAGGAAGTCTCGTCATCAATGGTGAGTGCTCCATCTGCCGTCACTTGAGATTCAAGGTCTTTTTCGCCATCCATTGGCTCTTGACAGTACCCTGCATTGACATCATCCAGTAAAAGGTTGGTTTATGCAAGAAAGAATGGCTTTGTGAAAAAGTGGGGTATTTAAAAAGTGTTGAAAAGGAAAGGCAGTAAAAATGTTGGACTGCACAGAAAAATGTGTGTTTTCTGGCATTTACCTGGAGTGGTTGAAATCTCAGATGTTGTAGACTGAGATGTTGTTGTTTCTTCAGTAACAGTTGTGGTAGGCGTTGTGACAGTTGTGATTGTCGTCGTCATCTCGGTTGTGGTATATTCTAAGATAAAAATGATGCGATGAACTGATCATTGAGAAAATGTTTACATTGCTGCCAAAATGGGTGACAGCTGGATGACAGGCCTTTTTCGGGGGGGGGGGGGGGGGTCTGGAACCTTCAAGCAACAAGGGAAACACTAACAGAATCCTTCCGTATTTCATGTGCCTTGGAAATAGATTTTAAGACAACCCACCTTCTGCACATCCAAGGATTTGCACTTCCAGTCTCGCCGATCCTGCACCCGTCACAGTTCGGAACTGAATACGGAATTGCACAACACCTTGCAGAGTTGCATCATCTGGAAGCAGCACTGTCTTAGGCAGGTCTTCCCTAAGGTTGACTTGGAAGGTCTGAGGAGTAAAGTAGAGCAAACATTGTTTAGATGGATGTGATTGCAAATATCAAAATTAACACACTTGAGACTGTCAAGTGGGACGAGCAAAAGTATTGTGCTGTTCCAATTTTTGGGAATACTGACCTTTTCTTGATTGGAGGATTCTTCCTGCAAAGGCGAGAATTGTTCAGCAGCTGGTTTCTTGACAAGTACGGCAAAAGTGGCTGCAAGTGCTTTTGGCTCTTCACCAGTACCCGCCGGAGTTGTGGAAGAAGTTGGCAACAACTTGAAGCGGATAGCTCTGACAATCATGCGTCGGCTGAATGTAGTGTCTAGGCTAGGGCTATCTTGTGCCCCCTCGGTGATGGGAAGATTTGTCAATTGGAGCAATCCCTTGCTTTCACCCACCAAGGACAAGCCCTGACCCTCTGCATTCAGCAGAAGTCCAGATTCACTGTCTATTGGTTCCAAACAGTAGCCTGAAATGAAAAAAAAAAGTAACAGGGGGGTGTTTGAGTTCAAAATCTTAAGAAGGAGAAGCATCAAGTGTAGGAAGGCAAATGTACAGAAGGGCTTTACTGCTGGGTGAAGTTGAGGGACATTATCTGCATGATAACCTATATGATGTAGTTGCTGTACCTTGAGTTGTTGATGACGAAGGAGTTGTGGTGATGCGAGTTGTCGTGACAGTGGTGCTTCTTGTCGTTGGCTCAGTTGTAGTGTATTCTGGAAATGAAAAGATTGATTTTGAGGTCATCCAAATACCTGTGAATTTTTCAGATTGAAAAAAAAAACAGTGTACTTGGTTGCCTGACTTTGGTTCAGTCCACTCAATAGGAGGGAACAAAACGCTGGTGGATGAAGGGGTGAAGTTGATGAAGAAAGTTCTTGTAGGCTGAAGTGAAATAATGTCATATTTGTTGAAACCTACCTTTGATGCAACCCAATACATGTTGCTCAAATGTAATTGCATCAACATCACTGACACTGCGGAACTGAATGCGCAATTCGGTTATGCCGTCCAAATCATCTTCATCTTCCGGCAAGAGAGTCAGTGCAGGTTGATTTGCATCAAGAGTAATGGTGATCAACTGCAAAAGAATATGTGAAAAAAACTGTCGTTAAAAAGGTGAATGACAAATGCACAATTTAGAGCAATTGATCGTGGCTAGAAAATCCTGTAGACCTAAAATGTTTGGATGAGTTAAACGAATGAGAAGGGTCCTTTTTGCACACTCTACCTTGGGCTGGTTGGTGACATCATCAGTCACTGGAGTGAAGCTGGAGTCTCCCGGTTTTTTGGTCTGCAACGTGACAATGAGTTCTTTCGGCTGCTGCCCTGCAGCAGGTGTTGTTGTTGCACCTGCTCCTGGCTGACTTGGCGAACGCATGGTGGTGCGCAGTGCTGTGACCCTGACAGGTCTGCGGAATTTGCGATCCACACTTGGGAAACTGCCTGAGCTCTGGCTGATTGGCAATTCCGTTATGGTCACGTAGGAAGTCTCGTCATCAATGGTGAGTGCTCCATCTGCCGTCACTTGAGATTCAAGGTCTTTTTCGCCATCCATTGGCTCTTGACAGTACCCTGCATTGACATCATCCAGTAAAAGGTTGGTTTATGCAAGAAAGAATGGCTTTGTGAAAAAGTGGGGTATTTAAAAAGTGTTGAAAAGGAAAGGCAGTAAAAATGTTGGACTGCACAGAAAAATGTGTGTTTCCTGGCATTTACCTGGAGTGGTTGAAATCTCAGATGTTGTAGACTGAGATGTTGTTGTTTCTTCAGTAACAGTTGTGGTAGGCGTTGTGACAGTTGTGATTGTCGTCGTCATCTCGGTTGTGGTATATTCTAAGATAAAAATGATGCGATGAACTGATCATTGAGAAAATGTTTACATTGCTGCCAAAATGGGTGACAGCTGGATGACAGGCCTTTTTTTGGGGGGGGGGGGGGGTCTGGAACCTTCAAGCAACAAGGGAAACACTAACAGAATCCTTCCGTATTTCATGTGCCTTGGAAATAGATTTTAAGACAACCCACCTTCTGCACATCCAAGGATTTGCACTTCCAGTCTCGCCGATCCTGCACCCGTCACAGTTCGGAACTGAATACGGAATTGCACAACACCTTGCAGAGTTGCATCATCTGGAAGCAGCACTGTCTTAGGCAGGTCTTCCCTAAGGTTGACTTGGAAGGTCTGAGGAGTAAAGTAGAGCAAACATTGTTTAGATGGATGTGATTGCAAATATCAAAATTAACACACTTGAGACTGTCAAGTGGGACGAGCAAAAGTATTGTGCTGTTCCAATTTTTGGGAATACTGACCTTTTCTTGATTGGAGGATTCTTCCTGCAAAGGCGAGAATTGTTCAGCAGCTGGTTTCTTGACAAGTACGGCAAAAGTGGCTGCAAGTGCTTTTGGCTCTTCACCAGTACCCGCCGGAGTTGTGGAAGAAGTTGGCAACAACTTGAAGCGGATAGCTCTGACAATCATGCGTCGGCTGAATGTAGTGTCTAGGCTAGGGCTATCTTGTGCCCCCTCGGTGATGGGAAGATTTGTCAATTGGAGCAATCCCTTGCTTTCACCCACCAAGGACAAGCCCTGACCCTCTGCATTCAGCAGAAGTCCAGATTCACTGTCTATTGGTTCCAAACAGTAGCCTGAAATGAAAAAAAAAAGTAACAGGGGGGTGTTTGAGTTCAAAATCTTAAGAAGGAGAAGCATCAAGTGTAGGAAGGCAAATGTACAGAAGGGCTTTACTGCTGGGTGAAGTTGAGGGACATTATCTGCATGATAACCTATATGATGTAGTTGCTGTACCTTGAGTTGTTGATGACGAAGGAGTTGTGGTGATGCGAGTTGTCGTGACAGTGGTGCTTCTTGTCGTTGGCTCAGTTGTAGTGTATTCTGGAAATGAAAAGATTGATTTTGAGGTCATCCAAATACCTGTGAATTTTTCAGATTGAAAAAAAAAAACAGTGTACTTGGTTGCCTGACTTTGGTTCAGTCCACTCAATAGGAGGGAACAAAACGCTGGTGGATGAAGGGGTGAAGTTGATGAAGAAAGTTCTTGTAGGCTGAAGTGAAATAATGTCATATTTGTTGAAACCTACCTTTGATGCAACCCAATACATGTTGCTCAAATGTAATTGCATCAACATCACTGACACTGCGGAACTGAATGCGCAATTCGGTTATGCCGTCCAAATCATCTTCATCTTCCGGCAAGAGAGTCAGTGCAGGTTGATTTGCATCAAGAGTAATGGTGATCAACTGCAAAAGAATATGTGAAAAAAACTGTCGTTAAAAAGGTGAATGACAAATGCACAATTTAGAGCAATTGATCGTGGCTAGAAAATCCTGTAGACCTAAAATGTTTGGATGAGTTAAACGAATGAGAAGGGTCCTTTTTGCACACTCTACCTTGGGCTGGTTGGTGACATCATCAGTCACTGGAGTGAAGCTGGAGTCTCCCGGTTTTTTGGTCTGCAACGTGACAATGAGTTCTTTCGGCTGCTGCCCTGCAGCAGGTGTTGTTGTTGCACCTGCTCCTGGCTGACTTGGCGAACGCATGGTGGTGCGCAGTGCTGTGACCCTGACAGGTCTGCGGAATTTGCGATCCACACTTGGGAAACTGCCTGAGCTCTGGCTGATTGGCAATTCCGTTATGGTCACGTAGGAAGTCTCGTCATCAATGGTGAGTGCTCCATCTGCCGTCACTTGAGATTCAAGGTCTTTTTCGCCATCCATTGGCTCTTGACAGTACCCTGCATTGACATCATCCAGTAAAAGGTTGGTTTATGCAAGAAAGAATGGCTTTGTGAAAAAGTGGGGTATTTAAAAAGTGTTGAAAAGGAAAGGCAGTAAAAATGTTGGACTGCACAGAAAAATGTGTGTTTTCTGGCATTTACCTGGAGTGGTTGAAATCTCAGATGTTGTAGACTGAGATGTTGTTGTTTCTTCAGTAACAGTTGTGGTAGGCGTTGTGACAGTTGTGATTGTCGTCGTCATCTCGGTTGTGGTATATTCTAAGATAAAAATGATGCGATGAACTGATCATTGAGAAAATGTTTACATTGCTGCCAAAATGGGTGACAGCTGGATGACAGGCCTTTTTTCGGGGGGGGGGGGGGTCTGGAACCTTCAAGCAACAAGGGAAACACTAACAGAATCCTTCCGTATTTCATGTGCCTTGGAAATAGATTTTAAGACAACCCACCTTCTGCACATCCAAGGATTTGCACTTCCAGTCTCGCCGATCCTGCACCCGTCACAGTTCGGAACTGAATACGGAATTGCACAACACCTTGCAGAGTTGCATCATCTGGAAGCAGCACTGTCTTAGGCAGGTCTTCCCTAAGGTTGACTTGGAAGGTCTGAGGAGTAAAGTAGAGCAAACATTGTTTAGATGGATGTGATTGCAAATATCAAAATTAACACACTTGAGACTGTCAAGTGGGACGAGCAAAAGTATTGTGCTGTTCCAATTTTTGGGAATACTGACCTTTTCTTGATTGGAGGATTCTTCCTGCAAAGGCGAGAATTGTTCAGCAGCTGGTTTCTTGACAAGTACGGCAAAAGTGGCTGCAAGTGCTTTTGGCTCTTCACCAGTACCCGCCGGAGTTGTGGAAGAAGTTGGCAACAACTTGAAGCGGATAGCTCTGACAATCATGCGTCGGCTGAATGTAGTGTCTAGGCTAGGGCTATCTTGTGCCCCCTCGGTGATGGGAAGATTTGTCAATTGGAGCAATCCCTTGCTTTCACCCACCAAGGACAAGCCCTGACCCTCTGCATTCAGCAGAAGTCCAGATTCACTGTCTATTGGTTCCAAACAGTAGCCTGAAATGAAAAAAAAAAGTAACAGGGGGGTGTTTGAGTTCAAAATCTTAAGAAGGAGAAGCATCAAGTGTAGGAAGGCAAATGTACAGAAGGGCTTTACTGCTGGGTGAAGTTGAGGGACATTATCTGCATGATAACCTATATGATGTAGTTGCTGTACCTTGAGTTGTTGATGACGAAGGAGTTGTGGTGATGCGAGTTGTCGTGACAGTGGTGCTTCTTGTCGTTGGCTCAGTTGTAGTGTATTCTGGAAATGAAAAGATTGATTTTGAGGTCATCCAAATACCTGTGAATTTTTCAGATTGAAAAAAAAAACAGTGTACTTGGTTGCCTGACTTTGGTTCAGTCCACTCAATAGGAGGGAACAAAACGCTGGTGGATGAAGGGGTGAAGTTGATGAAGAAAGTTCTTGTAGGCTGAAGTGAAATAATGTCATATTTGTTGAAACCTACCTTTGATGCAACCCAATACATGTTGCTCAAATGTAATTGCATCAACATCACTGACACTGCGGAACTGAATGCGCAATTCGGTTATGCCGTCCAAATCATCTTCATCTTCCGGCAAGAGAGTCAGTGCAGGTTGATTTGCATCAAGAGTAATGGTGATCAACTGCAAAAGAATATGTGAAAAAAACTGTCGTTAAAAAGGTGAATGACAAATGCACAATTTAGAGCAATTGATCGTGGCTAGAAAATCCTGTAGACCTAAAATGTTTGGATGAGTTAAACGAATGAGAAGGGTCCTTTTTGCACACTCTACCTTGGGCTGGTTGGTGACATCATCAGTCACTGGAGTGAAGCTGGAGTCTCCCGGTTTTTTGGTCTGCAACGTGACAATGAGTTCTTTCGGCTGCTGCCCTGCAGCAGGTGTTGTTGTTGCACCTGCTCCTGGCTGACTTGGCGAACGCATGGTGGTGCGCAGTGCTGTGACCCTGACAGGTCTGCGGAATTTGCGATCCACACTTGGGAAACTGCCTGAGCTCTGGCTGATTGGCAATTCCGTTATGGTCACGTAGGAAGTCTCGTCATCAATGGTGAGTGCTCCATCTGCCGTCACTTGAGATTCAAGGTCTTTTTCGCCATCCATTGGCTCTTGACAGTACCCTGCATTGACATCATCCAGTAAAAGGTTGGTTTATGCAAGAAAGAATGGCTTTGTGAAAAAGTGGGGTATTTAAAAAGTGTTGAAAAGGAAAGGCAGTAAAAATGTTGGACTGCACAGAAAAATGTGTGTTTCCTGGCATTTACCTGGAGTGGTTGAAATCTCAGATGTTGTAGACTGAGATGTTGTTGTTTCTTCAGTAACAGTTGTGGTAGGCGTTGTGACAGTTGTGATTGTCGTCGTCATCTCGGTTGTGGTATATTCTAAGATAAAAATGATGCGATGAACTGATCATTGAGAAAATGTTTACATTGCTGCCAAAATGGGTGACAGCTGGATGACAGGCCTTTTTTCGGGGGGGGGGGGGGGTCTGGAACCTTCAAGCAACAAGGGAAACACTAACAGAATCCTTCCGTATTTCATGTGCCTTGGAAATAGATTTTAAGACAACCCACCTTCTGCACATCCAAGGATTTGCACTTCCAGTCTCGCCGATCCTGCACCCGTCACAGTTCGGAACTGAATACGGAATTGCACAACACCTTGCAGAGTTGCATCATCTGGAAGCAGCACTGTCTTAGGCAGGTCTTCCCTAAGGTTGACTTGGAAGGTCTGAGGAGTAAAGTAGAGCAAACATTGTTTAGATGGATGTGATTGCAAATATCAAAATTAACACACTTGAGACTGTCAAGTGGGACGAGCAAAAGTATTGTGCTGTTCCAATTTTTGGGAATACTGACCTTTTCTTGATTGGAGGATTCTTCCTGCAAAGGCGAGAATTGTTCAGCAGCTGGTTTCTTGACAAGTACGGCAAAAGTGGCTGCAAGTGCTTTTGGCTCTTCACCAGTACCCGCCGGAGTTGTGGAAGAAGTTGGCAACAACTTGAAGCGGATAGCTCTGACAATCATGCGTCGGCTGAATGTAGTGTCTAGGCTAGGGCTATCTTGTGCCCCCTCGGTGATGGGAAGATTTGTCAATTGGAGCAATCCCTTGCTTTCACCCACCAAGGACAAGCCCTGACCCTCTGCATTCAGCAGAAGTCCAGATTCACTGTCTATTGGTTCCAAACAGTAGCCTGAAATGAAAAAAAAAAGTAACAGGGGGGTGTTTGAGTTCAAAATCTTAAGAAGGAGAAGCATCAAGTGTAGGAAGGCAAATGTACAGAAGGGCTTTACTGCTGGGTGAAGTTGAGGGACATTATCTGCATGATAACCTATATGATGTAGTTGCTGTACCTTGAGTTGTTGATGACGAAGGAGTTGTGGTGATGCGAGTTGTCGTGACAGTGGTGCTTCTTGTCGTTGGCTCAGTTGTAGTGTATTCTGGAAATGAAAAGATTGATTTTGAGGTCATCCAAATACCTGTGAATTTTTCAGATTGAAAAAAAAAACAGTGTACTTGGTTGCCTGACTTTGGTTCAGTCCACTCAATAGGAGGGAACAAAACGCTGGTGGATGAAGGGGTGAAGTTGATGAAGAAAGTTCTTGTAGGCTGAAGTGAAATAATGTCATATTTGTTGAAACCTACCTTTGATGCAACCCAATACATGTTGCTCAAATGTAATTGCATCAACATCACTGACACTGCGGAACTGAATGCGCAATTCGGTTATGCCGTCCAAATCATCTTCATCTTCCGGCAAGAGAGTCAGTGCAGGTTGATTTGCATCAAGAGTAATGGTGATCAACTGCAAAAGAATATGTGAAAAAAACTGTCGTTAAAAAGGTGAATGACAAATGCACAATTTAGAGCAATTGATCGTGGCTAGAAAATCCTGTAGACCTAAAATGTTTGGATGAGTTAAACGAATGAGAAGGGTCCTTTTTGCACACTCTACCTTGGGCTGGTTGGTGACATCATCAGTCACTGGAGTGAAGCTGGAGTCTCCCGGTTTTTTGGTCTGCAACGTGACAATGAGTTCTTTCGGCTGCTGCCCTGCAGCAGGTGTTGTTGTTGCACCTGCTCCTGGCTGACTTGGCGAACGCATGGTGGTGCGCAGTGCTGTGACCCTGACAGGTCTGCGGAATTTGCGATCCACACTTGGGAAACTGCCTGAGCTCTGGCTGATTGGCAATTCCGTTATGGTCACGTAGGAAGTCTCGTCATCAATGGTGAGTGCTCCATCTGCCGTCACTTGAGATTCAAGGTCTTTTTCGCCATCCATTGGCTCTTGACAGTACCCTGCATTGACATCATCCAGTAAAAGGTTGGTTTATGCAAGAAAGAATGGCTTTGTGAAAAAGTGGGGTATTTAAAAAGTGTTGAAAAGGAAAGGCAGTAAAAATGTTGGACTGCACAGAAAAATGTGTGTTTTCTGGCATTTACCTGGAGTGGTTGAAATCTCAGATGTTGTAGACTGAGATGTTGTTGTTTCTTCAGTAACAGTTGTGGTAGGCGTTGTGACAGTTGTGATTGTCGTCGTCATCTCGGTTGTGGTATATTCTAAGATAAAAATGATGCGATGAACTGATCATTGAGAAAATGTTTACATTGCTGCCAAAATGGGTGACAGCTGGATGACAGGCCTTTTTTTCGGGGGGGGGGGGGGGTCTGGAACCTTCAAGCAACAAGGGAAACACTAACAGAATCCTTCCGTATTTCATGTGCCTTGGAAATAGATTTTAAGACAACCCACCTTCTGCACATCCAAGGATTTGCACTTCCAGTCTCGCCGATCCTGCACCCGTCACAGTTCGGAACTGAATACGGAATTGCACAACACCTTGCAGAGTTGCATCATCTGGAAGCAGCACTGTCTTAGGCAGGTCTTCCCTAAGGTTGACTTGGAAGGTCTGAGGAGTAAAGTAGAGCAAACATTGTTTAGATGGATGTGATTGCAAATATCAAAATTAACACACTTGAGACTGTCAAGTGGGACGAGCAAAAGTATTGTGCTGTTCCAATTTTTGGGAATACTGACCTTTTCTTGATTGGAGGATTCTTCCTGCAAAGGCGAGAATTGTTCAGCAGCTGGTTTCTTGACAAGTACGGCAAAAGTGGCTGCAAGTGCTTTTGGCTCTTCACCAGTACCCGCCGGAGTTGTGGAAGAAGTTGGCAACAACTTGAAGCGGATAGCTCTGACAATCATGCGTCGGCTGAATGTAGTGTCTAGGCTAGGGCTATCTTGTGCCCCCTCGGTGATGGGAAGATTTGTCAATTGGAGCAATCCCTTGCTTTCACCCACCAAGGACAAGCCCTGACCCTCTGCATTCAGCAGAAGTCCAGATTCACTGTCTATTGGTTCCAAACAGTAGCCTGAAATGAAAAAAAAAAGTAACAGGGGGGTGTTTGAGTTCAAAATCTTAAGAAGGAGAAGCATCAAGTGTAGGAAGGCAAATGTACAGAAGGGCTTTACTGCTGGGTGAAGTTGAGGGACATTATCTGCATGATAACCTATATGATGTAGTTGCTGTACCTTGAGTTGTTGATGACGAAGGAGTTGTGGTGATGCGAGTTGTCGTGACAGTGGTGCTTCTTGTCGTTGGCTCAGTTGTAGTGTATTCTGGAAATGAAAAGATTGATTTTGAGGTCATCCAAATACCTGTGAATTTTTCAGATTGAAAAAAAAAACAGTGTACTTGGTTGCCTGACTTTGGTTCAGTCCACTCAATAGGAGGGAACAAAACGCTGGTGGATGAAGGGGTGAAGTTGATGAAGAAAGTTCTTGTAGGCTGAAGTGAAATAATGTCATATTTGTTGAAACCTACCTTTGATGCAACCCAATACATGTTGCTCAAATGTAATTGCATCAACATCACTGACACTGCGGAACTGAATGCGCAATTCGGTTATGCCGTCCAAATCATCTTCATCTTCCGGCAAGAGAGTCAGTGCAGGTTGATTTGCATCAAGAGTAATGGTGATCAACTGCAAAAGAATATGTGAAAAAAACTGTCGTTAAAAAGGTGAATGACAAATGCACAATTTAGAGCAATTGATCGTGGCTAGAAAATCCTGTAGACCTAAAATGTTTGGATGAGTTAAACGAATGAGAAGGGTCCTTTTTGCACACTCTACCTTGGGCTGGTTGGTGACATCATCAGTCACTGGAGTGAAGCTGGAGTCTCCCGGTTTTTTGGTCTGCAACGTGACAATGAGTTCTTTCGGCTGCTGCCCTGCAGCAGGTGTTGTTGTTGCACCTGCTCCTGGCTGACTTGGCGAACGCATGGTGGTGCGCAGTGCTGTGACCCTGACAGGTCTGCGGAATTTGCGATCCACACTTGGGAAACTGCCTGAGCTCTGGCTGATTGGCAATTCCGTTATGGTCACGTAGGAAGTCTCGTCATCAATGGTGAGTGCTCCATCTGCCGTCACTTGAGATTCAAGGTCTTTTTCGCCATCCATTGGCTCTTGACAGTACCCTGCATTGACATCATCCAGTAAAAGGTTGGTTTATGCAAGAAAGAATGGCTTTGTGAAAAAGTGGGGTATTTAAAAAGTGTTGAAAAGGAAAGGCAGTAAAAATGTTGGACTGCACAGAAAAATGTGTGTTTCTGGCATTTACCTGGAGTGGTTGAAATCTCAGATGTTGTAGACTGAGATGTTGTTGTTTCTTCAGTAACAGTTGTGGTAGGCGTTGTGACAGTTGTGATTGTCGTCGTCATCTCGGTTGTGGTATATTCTAAGATAAAAATGATGCGATGAACTGATCATTGAGAAAATGTTTACATTGCTGCCAAAATGGGTGACAGCTGGATGACAGGCCTTTTTTCGGGGGGGGGGGGGGGGGGTCTGGAACCTTCAAGCAACAAGGGAAACACTAACAGAATCCTTCCGTATTTCATGTGCCTTGGAAATAGATTTTAAGACAACCCACCTTCTGCACATCCAAGGATTTGCACTTCCAGTCTCGCCGATCCTGCACCCGTCACAGTTCGGAACTGAATACGGAATTGCACAACACCTTGCAGAGTTGCATCATCTGGAAGCAGCACTGTCTTAGGCAGGTCTTCCCTAAGGTTGACTTGGAAGGTCTGAGGAGTAAAGTAGAGCAAACATGGTTTAGATGGATGTGATTGCAAATATCAAAATTAACACACTTGAGACTGTCAAGTGGGACGAGCAAAAGTATTGTGCTGTTCCAATTTTTGGGAATACTGACCTTTTCTTGATTGGAGGATTCTTCCTGCAAAGGCGAGAATTGTTCAGCAGCTGGTTTCTTGACAAGTACGGCAAAAGTGGCTGCAAGTGCTTTTGGCTCTTCACCAGTACCCGCCGGAGTTGTGGAAGAAGTTGGCAACAACTTGAAGCGGATAGCTCTGACAATCATGCGTCGGCTGAATGTAGTGTCTAGGCTAGGGCTATCTTGTGCCCCCTCGGTGATGGGAAGATTTGTCAATTGGAGCAATCCCTTGCTTTCACCCACCAAGGACAAGCCCTGACCCTCTGCATTCAGCAGAAGTCCAGATTCACTGTCTATTGGTTCCAAACAGTAGCCTGAAATGAAAAAAAAAAGTAACAGGGGGGTGTTTGAGTTCAAAATCTTAAGAAGGAGAAGCATCAAGTGTAGGAAGGCAAATGTACAGAAGGGCTTTACTGCTGGGTGAAGTTGAGGGACATTATCTGCATGATAACCTATATGATGTAGTTGCTGTACCTTGAGTTGTTGATGACGAAGGAGTTGTGGTGATGCGAGTTGTCGTGACAGTGGTGCTTCTTGTCGTTGGCTCAGTTGTAGTGTATTCTGGAAATGAAAAGATTGATTTTGAGGTCATCCAAATACCTGTGAATTTTTCAGATTGAAAAAAAAAACAGTGTACTTGGTTGCCTGACTTTGGTTCAGTCCACTCAATAGGAGGGAACAAAACGCTGGTGGATGAAGGGGTGAAGTTGATGAAGAAAGTTCTTGTAGGCTGAAGTGAAATAATGTCATATTTGTTGAAACCTACCTTTGATGCAACCCAATACATGTTGCTCAAATGTAATTGCATCAACATCACTGACACTGCGGAACTGAATGCGCAATTCGGTTATGCCGTCCAAATCATCTTCATCTTCCGGCAAGAGAGTCAGTGCAGGTTGATTTGCATCAAGAGTAATGGTGATCAACTGCAAAAGAATATGTGAAAAAAACTGTCGTTAAAAAGGTGAATGACAAATGCACAATTTAGAGCAATTGATCGTGGCTAGAAAATCCTGTAGACCTAAAATGTTTGGATGAGTTAAACGAATGAGAAGGGTCCTTTTTGCACACTCTACCTTGGGCTGGTTGGTGACATCATCAGTCACTGGAGTGAAGCTGGAGTCTCCCGGTTTTTTGGTCTGCAACGTGACAATGAGTTCTTTCGGCTGCTGCCCTGCAGCAGGTGTTGTTGTTGCACCTGCTCCTGGCTGACTTGGCGAACGCATGGTGGTGCGCAGTGCTGTGACCCTGACAGGTCTGCGGAATTTGCGATCCACACTTGGGAAACTGCCTGAGCTCTGGCTGATTGGCAATTCCGTTATGGTCACGTAGGAAGTCTCGTCATCAATGGTGAGTGCTCCATCTGCCGTCACTTGAGATTCAAGGTCTTTTTCGCCATCCATTGGCTCTTGACAGTACCCTGCATTGACATCATCCAGTAAAAGGTTGGTTTATGCAAGAAAGAATGGCTTTGTGAAAAAGTGGGGTATTTAAAAAGTGTTGAAAAGGAAAGGCAGTAAAAATGTTGGACTGCACAGAAAAATGTGTGTTTCCTGGCATTTACCTGGAGTGGTTGAAATCTCAGATGTTGTAGACTGAGATGTTGTTGTTTCTTCAGTAACAGTTGTGGTAGGCGTTGTGACAGTTGTGATTGTCGTCGTCATCTCGGTTGTGGTATATTCTAAGATAAAAATGATGCGATGAACTGATCATTGAGAAAATGTTTACATTGCTGCCAAAATGGGTGACAGCTGGATGACAGGCCTTTTTTCGGGGGGGGGGGGGGGGGGGTCTGGAACCTTCAAGCAACAAGGGAAACACTAACAGAATCCTTCCGTATTTCATGTGCCTTGGAAATAGATTTTAAGACAACCCACCTTCTGCACATCCAAGGATTTGCACTTCCAGTCTCGCCGATCCTGCACCCGTCACAGTTCGGAACTGAATACGGAATTGCACAACACCTTGCAGAGTTGCATCATCTGGAAGCAGCACTGTCTTAGGCAGGTCTTCCCTAAGGTTGACTTGGAAGGTCTGAGGAGTAAAGTAGAGCAAACATGGTTTAGATGGATGTGATTGCAAATATCAAAATTAACACACTTGAGACTGTCAAGTGGGACGAGCAAAAGTATTGTGCTGTTCCAATTTTTGGGAATACTGACCTTTTCTTGATTGGAGGATTCTTCCTGCAAAGGCGAGAATTGTTCAGCAGCTGGTTTCTTGACAAGTACGGCAAAAGTGGCTGCAAGTGCTTTTGGCTCTTCACCAGTACCCGCCGGAGTTGTGGAAGAAGTTGGCAACAACTTGAAGCGGATAGCTCTGACAATCATGCGTCGGCTGAATGTAGTGTCTAGGCTAGGGCTATCTTGTGCCCCCTCGGTGATGGGAAGATTTGTCAATTGGAGCAATCCCTTGCTTTCACCCACCAAGGACAAGCCCTGACCCTCTGCATTCAGCAGAAGTCCAGATTCACTGTCTATTGGTTCCAAACAGTAGCCTGAAATGAAAAAAAAAAGTAACAGGGGGGTGTTTGAGTTCAAAATCTTAAGAAGGAGAAGCATCAAGTGTAGGAAGGCAAATGTACAGAAGGGCTTTACTGCTGGGTGAAGTTGAGGGACATTATCTGCATGATAACCTATATGATGTAGTTGCTGTACCTTGAGTTGTTGATGACGAAGGAGTTGTGGTGATGCGAGTTGTCGTGACAGTGGTGCTTCTTGTCGTTGGCTCAGTTGTAGTGTATTCTGGAAATGAAAAGATTGATTTTGAGGTCATCCAAATACCTGTGAATTTTTCAGATTGAAAAAAAAAACAGTGTACTTGGTTGCCTGACTTTGGTTCAGTCCACTCAATAGGAGGGAACAAAACGCTGGTGGATGAAGGGGTGAAGTTGATGAAGAAAGTTCTTGTAGGCTGAAGTGAAATAATGTCATATTTGTTGAAACCTACCTTTGATGCAACCCAATACATGTTGCTCAAATGTAATTGCATCAACATCACTGACACTGCGGAACTGAATGCGCAATTCGGTTATGCCGTCCAAATCATCTTCATCTTCCGGCAAGAGAGTCAGTGCAGGTTGATTTGCATCAAGAGTAATGGTGATCAACTGCAAAAGAATATGTGAAAAAAACTGTCGTTAAAAAGGTGAATGACAAATGCACAATTTAGAGCAATTGATCGTGGCTAGAAAATCCTGTAGACCTAAAATGTTTGGATGAGTTAAACGAATGAGAAGGGTCCTTTTTGCACACTCTACCTTGGGCTGGTTGGTGACATCATCAGTCACTGGAGTGAAGCTGGAGTCTCCCGGTTTTTTGGTCTGCAACGTGACAATGAGTTCTTTCGGCTGCTGCCCTGCAGCAGGTGTTGTTGTTGCACCTGCTCCTGGCTGACTTGGCGAACGCATGGTGGTGCGCAGTGCTGTGACCCTGACAGGTCTGCGGAATTTGCGATCCACACTTGGGAAACTGCCTGAGCTCTGGCTGATTGGCAATTCCGTTATGGTCACGTAGGAAGTCTCGTCATCAATGGTGAGTGCTCCATCTGCCGTCACTTGAGATTCAAGGTCTTTTTCGCCATCCATTGGCTCTTGACAGTACCCTGCATTGACATCATCCAGTAAAAGGTTGGTTTATGCAAGAAAGAATGGCTTTGTGAAAAAGTGGGGTATTTAAAAAGTGTTGAAAAGGAAAGGCAGTAAAAATGTTGGACTGCACAGAAAAATGTGTGTTTTCTGGCATTTACCTGGAGTGGTTGAAATCTCAGATGTTGTAGACTGAGATGTTGTTGTTTCTTCAGTAACAGTTGTGGTAGGCGTTGTGACAGTTGTGATTGTCGTCGTCATCTCGGTTGTGGTATATTCTAAGATAAAAATGATGCGATGAACTGATCATTGAGAAAATGTTTACATTGCTGCCAAAATGGGTGACAGCTGGATGACAGGCCTTTTTTTGGGGGGGGGGGGGTTCTGGAACCTTCAAGCAACAAGGGAAACACTAACAGAATCCTTCCGTATTTCATGTGCCTTGGAAATAGATTTTAAGACAACCCACCTTCTGCACATCCAAGGATTTGCACTTCCAGTCTCGCCGATCCTGCACCCGTCACAGTTCGGAACTGAATACGGAATTGCACAACACCTTGCAGAGTTGCATCATCTGGAAGCAGCACTGTCTTAGGCAGGTCTTCCCTAAGGTTGACTTGGAAGGTCTGAGGAGTAAAGTAGAGCAAACATGGTTTAGATGGATGTGATTGCAAATATCAAAATTAACACACTTGAGACTGTCAAGTGGGACGAGCAAAAGTATTGTGCTGTTCCAATTTTTGGGAATACTGACCTTTTCTTGATTGGAGGATTCTTCCTGCAAAGGCGAGAATTGTTCAGCAGCTGGTTTCTTGACAAGTACGGCAAAAGTGGCTGCAAGTGCTTTTGGCTCTTCACCAGTACCCGCCGGAGTTGTGGAAGAAGTTGGCAACAACTTGAAGCGGATAGCTCTGACAATCATGCGTCGGCTGAATGTAGTGTCTAGGCTAGGGCTATCTTGTGCCCCCTCGGTGATGGGAAGATTTGTCAATTGGAGCAATCCCTTGCTTTCACCCACCAAGGACAAGCCCTGACCCTCTGCATTCAGCAGAAGTCCAGATTCACTGTCTATTGGTTCCAAACAGTAGCCTGAAATGAAAAAAAAAAGTAACAGGGGGGTGTTTGAGTTCAAAATCTTAAGAAGGAGAAGCATCAAGTGTAGGAAGGCAAATGTACAGAAGGGCTTTACTGCTGGGTGAAGTTGAGGGACATTATCTGCATGATAACCTATATGATGTAGTTGCTGTACCTTGAGTTGTTGATGACGAAGGAGTTGTGGTGATGCGAGTTGTCGTGACAGTGGTGCTTCTTGTCGTTGGCTCAGTTGTAGTGTATTCTGGAAATGAAAAGATTGATTTTGAGGTCATCCAAATACCTGTGAATTTTTCAGATTGAAAAAAAAAAAACAGTGTACTTGGTTGCCTGACTTTGGTTCAGTCCACTCAATAGGAGGGAACAAAACGCTGGTGGATGAAGGGGTGAAGTTGATGAAGAAAGTTCTTGTAGGCTGAAGTGAAATAATGTCATATTTGTTGAAACCTACCTTTGATGCAACCCAATACATGTTGCTCAAATGTAATTGCATCAACATCACTGACACTGCGGAACTGAATGCGCAATTCGGTTATGCCGTCCAAATCATCTTCATCTTCCGGCAAGAGAGTCAGTGCAGGTTGATTTGCATCAAGAGTAATGGTGATCAACTGCAAAAGAATATGTGAAAAAAACTGTCGTTAAAAAGGTGAATGACAAATGCACAATTTAGAGCAATTGATCGTGGCTAGAAAATCCTGTAGACCTAAAATGTTTGGATGAGTTAAACGAATGAGAAGGGTCCTTTTTGCACACTCTACCTTGGGCTGGTTGGTGACATCATCAGTCACTGGAGTGAAGCTGGAGTCTCCCGGTTTTTTGGTCTGCAACGTGACAATGAGTTCTTTCGGCTGCTGCCCTGCAGCAGGTGTTGTTGTTGCACCTGCTCCTGGCTGACTTGGCGAACGCATGGTGGTGCGCAGTGCTGTGACCCTGACAGGTCTGCGGAATTTGCGATCCACTCTTGGGAAACTGCCTGAGCTCTGGCTGATTGGCAATTCCGTTATGGTCACGTAGGAAGTCTCGTCATCAATGGTGAGTGCTCCATCTGCCGTCACTTGAGATTCAAGGTCTTTTTCGCCATCCATTGGCTCTTGACAGTACCCTGCATTGACATCATCCAGTAAAAGGTTGGTTTATGCAAGAAAGAATGGCTTTGTGAAAAAGTGGGGTATTTAAAAAGTGTTGAAAAGGAAAGGCAGTAAAAATGTTGGACTGCACAGAAAAATGTGTGTTTCCTGGCATTTACCTGGAGTGGTTGAAATCTCAGATGTTGTAGACTGAGATGTTGTTGTTTCTTCAGTAACAGTTGTGGTAGGCGTTGTGACAGTTGTGATTGTCGTCGTCATCTCGGTTGTGGTATATTCTAAGATAAAAATGATGCGATGAACTGATCATTGAGAAAATGTTTACATTGCTGCCAAAATGGGTGACAGCTGGATGACAGGCCTTTTTGGGGGGGGGGGGGGGGTCTGGAACCTTCAAGCAACAAGGGAAACACTAACAGAATCCTTCCGTATTTCATGTGCCTTGGAAATAGATTTTAAGACAACCCACCTTCTGCACATCCAAGGATTTGCACTTCCAGTCTCGCCGATCCTGCACCCGTCACAGTTCGGAACTGAATACGGAATTGCACAACACCTTGCAGAGTTGCATCATCTGGAAGCAGCACTGTCTTAGGCAGGTCTTCCCTAAGGTTGACTTGGAAGGTCTGAGGAGTAAAGTAGAGCAAACATGGTTTAGATGGATGTGATTGCAAATATCAAAATTAACACACTTGAGACTGTCAAGTGGGACGAGCAAAAGTATTGTGCTGTTCCAATTTTTGGGAATACTGACCTTTTCTTGATTGGAGGATTCTTCCTGCAAAGGCGAGAATTGTTCAGCAGCTGGTTTCTTGACAAGTACGGCAAAAGTGGCTGCAAGTGCTTTTGGCTCTTCACCAGTACCCGCCGGAGTTGTGGAAGAAGTTGGCAACAACTTGAAGCGGATAGCTCTGACAATCATGCGTCGGCTGAATGTAGTGTCTAGGCTAGGGCTATCTTGTGCCCCCTCGGTGATGGGAAGATTTGTCAATTGGAGCAATCCCTTGCTTTCACCCACCAAGGACAAGCCCTGACCCTCTGCATTCAGCAGAAGTCCAGATTCACTGTCTATTGGTTCCAAACAGTAGCCTGAAATGAAAAAAAAAGTAACAGGGGGGTGTTTGAGTTCAAAATCTTAAGAAGGAGAAGCATCAAGTGTAGGAAGGCAAATGTACAGAAGGGCTTTACTGCTGGGTGAAGTTGAGGGACATTATCTGCATGATAACCTATATGATGTAGTTGCTGTACCTTGAGTTGTTGATGACGAAGGAGTTGTGGTGATGCGAGTTGTCGTGACAGTGGTGCTTCTTGTCGTTGGCTCAGTTGTAGTGTATTCTGGAAATGAAAAGATTGATTTTGAGGTCATCCAAATACCTGTGAATTTTTCAGATTGAAAAAAAAAAAACCGTGTACTTGGTTGCCTGACTTTGGTTCAGTCCACTCAATAGGAGGGAACAAAACGCTGGTGGATGAAGGGGTGAAGTTGATGAAGAAAGTTCTTGTAGGCTGAAGTGAAATAATGTCATATTTGTTGAAACCTACCTTTGATGCAACCCAATACATGTTGCTCAAATGTAATTGCATCAACATCACTGACACTGCGGAACTGAATGCGCAATTCGGTTATGCCGTCCAAATCATCTTCATCTTCCGGCAAGAGAGTCAGTGCAGGTTGATTTGCATCAAGAGTAATGGTGATCAACTGCAAAAGAATATGTGAAAAAAACTGTCGTTAAAAAGGTGAATGACAAATGCACAATTTAGAGCAATTGATCGTGGCTAGAAAATCCTGTAGACCTAAAATGTTTGGATGAGTTAAACGAATGAGAAGGGTCCTTTTTGCACACTCTACCTTGGGCTGGTTGGTGACATCATCAGTCACTGGAGTGAAGCTGGAGTCTCCCGGTTTTTTGGTCTGCAACGTGACAATGAGTTCTTTCGGCTGCTGCCCTGCAGCAGGTGTTGTTGTTGCACCTGCTCCTGGCTGACTTGGCGAACGCATGGTGGTGCGCAGTGCTGTGACCCTGACAGGTCTGCGGAATTTGCGATCCACTCTTGGGAAACTGCCTGAGCTCTGGCTGATTGGCAATTCCGTTATGGTCACGTAGGAAGTCTCGTCATCAATGGTGAGTGCTCCATCTGCCGTCACTTGAGATTCAAGGTCTTTTTCGCCATCCATTGGCTCTTGACAGTACCCTGCATTGACATCATCCAGTAAAAGGTTGGTTTATGCAAGAAAGAATGGCTTTGTGAAAAAGTGGGGTATTTAAAAAGTGTTGAAAAGGAAAGGCAGTAAAAATGTTGGACTGCACAGAAAAATGTGTGTTTTCTGGCATTTACCTGGAGTGGTTGAAATCTCAGATGTTGTAGACTGAGATGTTGTTGTTTCTTCAGTAACAGTTGTGGTAGGCGTTGTGACAGTTGTGATTGTCGTCGTCATCTCGGTTGTGGTATATTCTAAGATAAAAATGATGCGATGAACTGATCATTGAGAAAATGTTTACATTGCTGCCAAAATGGGTGACAGCTGGATGACAGGCCTTTTTTCGGGGGGGGGGGGGGGGGGGGGTCTGGAACCTTCAAGCAACAAGGGAAACACTAACAGAATCCTTCCGTATTTCATGTGCCTTGGAAATAGATTTTAAGACAACCCACCTTCTGCACATCCAAGGATTTGCACTTCCAGTCTCGCCGATCCTGCACCCGTCACAGTTCGGAACTGAATACGGAATTGCACAACACCTTGCAGAGTTGCATCATCTGGAAGCAGCACTGTCTTAGGCAGGTCTTCCCTAAGGTTGACTTGGAAGGTCTGAGGAGTAAAGTAGAGCAAACATGGTTTAGATGGATGTGATTGCAAATATCAAAATTAACACACTTGAGACTGTCAAGTGGGACGAGCAAAAGTATTGTGCTGTTCCAATTTTTGGGAATACTGACCTTTTCTTGATTGGAGGATTCTTCCTGCAAAGGCGAGAATTGTTCAGCAGCTGGTTTCTTGACAAGTACGGCAAAAGTGGCTGCAAGTGCTTTTGGCTCTTCACCAGTACCCGCCGGAGTTGTGGAAGAAGTTGGCAACAACTTGAAGCGGATAGCTCTGACAATCATGCGTCGGCTGAATGTAGTGTCTAGGCTAGGGCTATCTTGTGCCCCCTCGGTGATGGGAAGATTTGTCAATTGGAGCAATCCCTTGCTTTCACCCACCAAGGACAAGCCCTGACCCTCTGCATTCAGCAGAAGTCCAGATTCACTGTCTATTGGTTCCAAACAGTAGCCTGAAATGAAAAAAAAAGTAACAGGGGGGTGTTTGAGTTCAAAATCTTAAGAAGGAGAAGCATCAAGTGTAGGAAGGCAAATGTACAGAAGGGCTTTACTGCTGGGTGAAGTTGAGGGACATTATCTGCATGATAACCTATATGATGTAGTTGCTGTACCTTGAGTTGTTGATGACGAAGGAGTTGTGGTGATGCGAGTTGTCGTGACAGTGGTGCTTCTTGTCGTTGGCTCAGTTGTAGTGTATTCTGGAAATGAAAAGATTGATTTTGAGGTCATCCAAATACCTGTGAATTTTTCAGATTGAAAAAAAAAAAACAGTGTACTTGGTTGCCTGACTTTGGTTCAGTCCACTCAATAGGAGGGAACAAAACGCTGGTGGATGAAGGGGTGAAGTTGATGAAGAAAGTTCTTGTAGGCTGAAGTGAAATAATGTCATATTTGTTGAAACCTACCTTTGATGCAACCCAATACATGTTGCTCAAATGTAATTGCATCAACATCACTGACACTGCGGAACTGAATGCGCAATTCGGTTATGCCGTCCAAATCATCTTCATCTTCCGGCAAGAGAGTCAGTGCAGGTTGATTTGCATCAAGAGTAATGGTGATCAACTGCAAAAGAATATGTGAAAAAAACTGTCGTTAAAAAGGTGAATGACAAATGCACAATTTAGAGCAATTGATCGTGGCTAGAAAATCCTGTAGACCTAAAATGTTTGGATGAGTTAAACGAATGAGAAGGGTCCTTTTTGCACACTCTACCTTGGGCTGGTTGGTGACATCATCAGTCACTGGAGTGAAGCTGGAGTCTCCCGGTTTTTTGGTCTGCAACGTGACAATGAGTTCTTTCGGCTGCTGCCCTGCAGCAGGTGTTGTTGTTGCACCTGCTCCTGGCTGACTTGGCGAACGCATGGTGGTGCGCAGTGCTGTGACCCTGACAGGTCTGCGGAATTTGCGATCCACTCTGGGGAAACCGCCTGAGCTCTGGCTGATTGGCAATTCCGTTATGGTCACGTAGGAAGTCTCGTCATCAATGGTGAGTGCTCCATCTGCCGTCACTTGAGATTCAAGGTCTTTTTCGCCATCCATTGGCTCTTGACAGTACCCTGCATTGACATCATCCAGTAAAAGGTTGGTTTATGCAAGAAAGAATGGCTTTGTGAAAACGTGGGGTATTTAAAAAGTGTTGAAAAGGAAAGGCAGTAAAAATGTTGGACTGCACAGAAAAATGTGTGTTTTCTGGCATTTACCTGGAGTGGTTGAAATCTCAGATGTTGTAGACTGAGATGTTGTTGTTTCTTCAGTAACAGTTGTGGTAGGCGTTGTGACAGTTGTGATTGTCGTCGTATCTCGGTTGTGGTATATTCTAAGATAAAAATGATGCGATGAACTGATCATTGAGAAAATGTTTACATTGCTGCCAAAATGGGTGACAGCTGGATGACAGGCCTTTGTTTGGGGGGGGGGGGTGGGCTCCGGACCTTCAAGCAACAAGGAAAACACCAACAGAATCCTTCCGTATTTCATGTGCCTTGAAAAAAGGTTTTAAGACAACCCACCTTCTGCACATCCAAGGATTTGCACTTCCAGTCTCGCCGATCCTGCACCCGTCACAGTTCGGAACTGAATACGGAATTGCACAACACCTTGCAGAGTTGCATCATCTGGAAGTAGCACTGTCTTAGGCAGGTCTTCCCTAAGGTTGACTTGGAAGGTCTGAGGAGTAAAGTAGAGCAAACATGGTTGAGATGGATGTGATTGCAAATATCAAAATTAACACACTTGGGACAGTAAAGTGGGACGAGCAAAAGTATTGTGCTGTTCCAATTTTTGGGAATACTGACCTTTTGTTGATTGGAGGATTCTTCCTGCAAAGGCGAGAATTGTTCAGCAGCTGGTTTCTTGACCTGTACGGCAAAAGTGGCTGCAAGTGCTGTTGGCTCTTCACCAGTACCCGCCGGAGTTGTGGAAGAAGTTGGCAACAACTTGAAGCGGATAGCTCTGACAATCATGCGTCTGCTGAATGTAGTGTCTAGGCTAGGGCTATCTTGTGCCCCCTCGGTGATGGGAAGATTTGTCAATTGGAGCAATCCCTTGCTTTCACCCACCAAGGACAAGCCCTGACCCTCTGCATTCAGCAGAAGTCCAGATTCACTGTCTATTGGTTCCAAACAGTAGCCTGAAATGAAAAAAAAAGTAACAGGGGGGGTGTTTGAGTTCAAAATCTTAAGTAGGAGAAGCATCAAGTGTAGGAAGGCAAATGTACTGAGGGCCTTTGCTGCTGGGTGAAGTTGAGGGACATTATCTGCATGATAACCTATATGTTAGTACAGATTGGCTGTCTACTGATTCCAAACAGTACCCTGGCCAGAAAGAAAACAGGTTTTCATATGAGAAGGAGGCTTGACTAGGTTAGAAAGAAATGACAACATAGCACATAATTTTGTATAATATATAAAACTCCCATCTTTTACCAATATCAAAGTAAGATTATTTGGAAATGACACATTTCTTGTTGATTCCTGTTTTTTTTCTTTTATGAGGCTTTTTACCTGTTGTTGGTGATGATTGTGCAGTCATTGCAGTTGAAGTGGTAACCGTGGTACTTTCTGTTCCTGGGGATAAGATAATTAGATTGAAAATGTACTTTTCAGTTTGACATTTGCCTTGTGAAGGACACAGTACGGAAAAGGTGTACTATGCTGACTGGGAACAAAAAAGCAAAGGTGCTTTCTAACTCTCAGCAAAAAAATAGTGATGATGAGGGGAAAAAACACAGATTTTTGATGAAAGGTTTCGAACCAAATTAAGTGCTAAAAGAATTTTTTTTTGCTGTTTGTTTTTTGCAGTGATAATTTCAGCTGTTAATTGAGAAACAGCTTATACAAGTTTCTTTTCACAAAAGTTCAATAAGATTAATATACATACCTATACAAACTTTCATCCCATGCTCATTAACACATTGAGATTTTGATCCAAATGAATTTTCAATTGCTATGCTGTATTTTATTTAAAAACTTTTCTATTGTATGCATTTGCAAACGTCTGCACTACATGTTTTATGGCTATTTGGGGTTGGAAGCAGTATACCCTTTGTGAATTGTTCATTGGGCCAAAACAATTCAAATTTGGAATTGAATAAGTTGGTAGAAAAATATCGCTTAAGAAAATGTTTCCTGGAGTTAAAGTAAAAAATTCATAGAAGGTAATATCAGAACCTCCTGGAGCACCTATTTTGATAAAAGTAACACGATCAATATTAAAGCTACATACATGCTGTGTACCGGGGTAGTTGCCTACTTCTGAAATATCCAGGATATTTGTAATTTGCATTTAATAATGGGTAATTATTTTTTTTTTTTGGAGACACCTTGTATAATGAGGAGCTGTGAACGTTTGTAATGAACATGAACATGCATTTGCATACGTCTGCACTACATCTTTTATTGCTGTATGGTGTTGGAAGCAGTATACCCTTTGTGAATTGTTGTTTGGGCCAAAACAATTCAAATTTGCATATTTATTCCAAAAACTAAATGTGGACCGATTGCTTTTGCTTCAGTGTCTCATTCGGAATTGAATAAGTTGGTAGAAAAATGTCGCTTAAAAAAAATGTTTCCTGGACTTAAAGTAAAAAAAAACATAGAAGGTAAGTCTTAAAAATGATTCGTAAAATTGTCACTTTCATTGAACTATTAAAGATTTGTACATACGAGAACGTGTTGGTCTTGTTGTCGTTTCAATATCAGAACCTCCTGGAGCACCTATTTTGATAAAAGTAACACGATCAATATTAAAGCTACATACATGCTGTGTACCGGGGTAGTTGCCTACTTCTGAAATATCCAGGATATTTATAATTTGCATTTAATAATGGGTATACATTATTTTTTTTGGAGACACCTTGTATAATGAGGAGCTGTGAACGTTTGTAATGAACATGAACATGCATCTGCATACGTCTGCACTACATGTTTTATTGCTGTACGGTGTTGGAAGCAGTATACCCTTTGTGAATTGTTGTTTGGGCCAAAACAATTCAAATTTGCATATTTACTCCAAAAACTAAATGTGGACCGATTGCTTTTGCTTCAATGTCTCAATAGGAATTAAATAAGTTGGTAGAAAAATATCGCTTAAAAATGTTTCCTGGAGTTAAAGTAAAAAAATACATAGAAGGTAAGTCTTAAAAATGATTCGTAAAATTGTCACTTTCATTGAACTATTAAAGATTTGTACATACGAGAACGTGTTGGTCTTGTTGTCGTTTCAATATCAGAACCTCCTGGAGCACCTATTTTGATAAAAGTAACAAGATCAATATTAAAGCTACATACATGCTGTGTACCGGGGTAGTTGCCTACTTCTGAAATATCCAGGATATTTATAATTTGCATTTAATAATGGGTATACATTATTTTTTTTTGGAGACACCTTGTATAATGAGGAGCTGTGAACGTTTGTAATGAACATGAACATGCATTTGCACACGTCTGCACTACATGTTTTATTGCTGTATGGTGTTGGAAGCAGTATACCCTTTGTGAATTGTTGTTTGGGCCAAAACAATTCAAATTTGCATATTTATTCCAAAAACTAAATGTGGACCGATTGCTTTTGCTTCAGTGTCCCACTCGGAATTGAATAAGTTGGTAGAAAAATATCGCTTAAAAAAAAATGTTTCCTGGACTTAAAGTAAAAAAAAAAATAGAAGGTAAGTCTTAAAAATGATTCGTAAAATCGTCACTTTCATTGAACTATTAAAGATTTGTACATACGAGAACGTGTTGGTCGTGTTGTCGTTTCAATGTCAGAACCTCCTGGAGCACCTATTTTGATAAAAGTAACACGATCAATATTAAAGCTACATACATGCTGTGTACCGGGGTAGTTGCCTACTTCTGAAATATCCAGGATATTTGTAATTTGCATTTAATAATGGGAAATTATTTTTTTTTTTGAGACACCTTGTATAATGAGGAGCTGTGAACGTTAATAATGAACATGAACATGCATCTGCATACGTCTGCACTACATGTTTTATTGCTGTATGGGGTTGGAAGCAGTATACCCTTTGTGAATTGTTGTTTGGGCCAAAACGATTCAAATTTGCATATTTATTCCATAAACTAAATGTGGACCATTTGATTTTGCTTCAATGTCTCAATCGGAATTGAATAAGTTGGTAGAAAAATATCGCTTAAGCAAATGTTTCCTGAATTTAAAGTAAAAAAATACATAGAAGGTAAGTCTTTAAAAATGATTCGTAAAATCGTCACTTTCATTGAACTATTAAAGATTTGTACATACGAGAACGTGTTGGTCTTGTTGTCGTTTCAATATCAGAACCTCCTGGAGCACCTATTTTGATAAAAGTAACACGATCAATATTAAAGCTACATACATGCTGTGTACCGGGGTAGTTGCCTACTTCTGAAATATCCAGGATATTTGTAATTTGCATTTAATAATGGGTAATTATTTTTTTTTTTGAAGACACCTTGAATAATGAGGAGCTGTGAACGTTAATAATGAACATGAACATGCATCTGCATATGTCTGCACTACATGTTTTATTGCTGTATGGGGTTGGAAGCAGTATACCCTTTGTGAATTGTTGTTTGGGCCAAAACGATTCAAATTTGCATATTTATTCCATAAACTAAATGTGGACCATTTGATTTTGCTTCAATGTCTCAATCGGAATTGAATAAGTTGGTAGAAAAATATCGCTTAAGCAAATGTTTCCTGAATTTAAAGTAAAAAAAAAAATAGAAGGTAAGTCTTTAAAAATGATTCGTAAAATCGTCACTTTCATTGAACTATTAAAGATTTGTACATACGAGAACGTGTTGGTCGTGTTGTCGTTTCAATATCAGAACCTCCTGGAGCACCTATTTTGATAAAAGTAACAAGATCAATATTAAAGCTACATACATGCTGTGTACCGGGGTAGTTGCCTACTTCTGAAATATCCAGGATATTTATAATTTGCATTTAATAATGGGTATACATTATTTTTTTTGGAGACACCTTGTATAATGAGGAGCTGTGAACGTTTGTAATGAACATGAACATGCATTTGCATACGTCTGCACTACATGTTTTATTGCTGTATGGTGTTGGAAGCAGTATACCCTTTGTGAATTGTTGTTTGGGCCAAAAACAATTCAAATTTGCATATTTATTCCAAAAACTAAATGTGGACCGATTGCTTTTGCTTCAATGTCTCAATAGGAATTGAATAAGTTGGTAGAAAAATATCGCTTAAAAAAAATGTTTCCTGGAGTTAAAGTAAAAAAATACATAGAAGGTAAGTCTTAAAAAATGATTCATAAAA